CAGAATTAAATGCATTTTTTCGACTGAATGACGCACTGATGGAATAATAAAATGTCACGTTTTTCATCCGATTCTTGTGCACTCCTTGCGAAATATTCGCCACGCACTGCGAATAAACAAACAGTCAAGTTTAAGAGTTTATTAAAAAAGCACATATAGGGAAGTGTAGAGCTGATTTGATCTCAAATTTCTGGTCAAAAATTGCCCCTCTGTTCGCTACGATCACTGCACAGTATTGATATTCTATGAAAATTTTTAGTATTCGTAAGAAATTGCACTTCCCATCCCATAAATCATCGTTATTAATGATACTTGATGTCCTCTAGACTTATGCTTCTTTCTGCTCCTCAAGTATTTCATTCAGCCTTCCTTCCACTTAAAATCCACCCACTTTCGCTCTACTTTTCACCACCACCCTAACAAGCGAAACGACATTCACAAATTTATGAAAAATACTCTGTTTTGTTTCCGGATTTATTACACTGCTCTCATCTCGAAACAGTTGAACGAAAAGATGGCAAATTAGAACCCAGCTTTTAATGCATTTGTGTTTGAATTTCGACTATAACAATTGTGGGTGGGTGAGAAACTTTATGACCAACGCAACGTTATGCAGAAGCATTACGAGCGAGTATCTATTAAAATGTTCATAGTTTTAAAGGCGATTGTAATGATGGTCTCTCTTTTATGAGTTGGCAAGAAATATTTGCATGAGGGTGAAAATTATAGTTTTAGCACACCTTTTTTCACTCTGTCACGATGACTTCTTCTGCAACTTTGATGGTATTCGTGGTGAAGAAATGTTGGGTGATTTAATAAAAGATTGTTTGTGAACGATGGCCAGATATTTTTAGTCGTGAATTGGGATATTTTTAAAAGTCGCGACATTTTCCTAATCTCTCACGATGACTCCAAGTCTTCTCACTCTGTTTTTTTTTTTCTTCTTCTGCTCACTATTGATACAATACGCGCATTTTTCGTGAACCATGAGGACAAGTTGACAGAACTAAAACTAATGATGCTGACTATCTTTATTAATATTGGTTCAGTGTGAATTTTTCCCCCAAAGAGTGACAATAATTGGGACTTTCATTCATGAAACAACATGCCAACATTGCCAACAAAATGCTATTCTGGCGCACTGAAAATAGTCAGTGGCGAAGATTGTCAATCAACTTCAGATGCAGATTAACATCAGCTAATCTCTCTGCATTAATCCATTATTTGACATGGAAAATTTTCCTACATAAAGGATTAATCTTAAGCACACAGCCCAAGTGCTAATGCGCGTTGCCCACCGGGATTCCATGTGGGCGTTTTCTTTTGCCTTTCCACATCACAATTTTCTTACTATGCATCGCGCATTTCCTCCAATTATACGTTCTCTTGAGAGTATGCAGGGAAAATGCACACACTGCACTTTACAAAAAGAAACAGCACTTCACCATAATTAAAAAAAGAAAATAGATAGAGAATGTTGAAAGAAATGCAAATGAAATTATCAACCCTGGTGTAAATCTCGGCAAAGTTCTCAAGTGAGCAAAGTTGTTTTCTCAAAATTATAAGACTGAAAATGCACTTGATAATTAATTGAATACACCACATATATACATAGTTCAATCTCTGGCGGAAGCTTTTGCCCGCAGAGGGGAGGATATTGGGGAAGGCAGAGCGATGAAAATTGGCAAATTTGCTCCATCAACAATTGCGCAGAAGCAAACAATCGCACGGCAAAAATTTTCAATACTTCTCCCTCTCTCGCTCACCCACACTTTGCGCGCCAAACTGATGGAGACAGAGAGAGAATTTTCCGGATGTTGAGGTGTGGGTGGAATTGTCAGGGAAAAAAAGCACCTCTATACACGGAAGGTATTTGGAGTTGGCAAAGAATTTTTCACTGCAAAAATGCAATTGCTGAAGTGTGTGAAATGAAAATGTGGAAAATACACTCAGAATAATTCCCAAGATTCCAGTTTTATGCCGAATTAATTCCCTATCTCTTCTCTCAGTTAATCGCACACATTGTTTGTCAAGATTTGGTAAACAAAGTTTTGGAAATTGGAAAATTAATGAAAAGAGCTTCTCTTGCGGAGGTGTTCTAAAGTACCTTTTCGACCCCGTCTTGTACTCATTTTGGGAAAATTGCGAATATGATTTATTCGTTTGTTTTTCTCTCTCTCTGCTCTCGCACAAACTTCTTCTCGACCCATTTTGCCATTTTCTCTCTCTCTCTCTCTCTCTCAATGTACAATTTTTTTTTATTGTATATCCGCCAAATAGGCTGTTCATCGACAAATTTTCCCATGAAGAGAACTCGCGAGAGAGAGGAAATTACAGTGTTATTGTGAGAAACAATAAAATTGTGGCTAAATCCGCTTCTTTTGCCGCGGATTGCATGTTTGTGGAAAATGACTCTCGCACACCAACAAAAGGAGAGAGACTCATCAATGTTTGAGCTTTTGAATGTCATCATGTCATGGGGTTGAACCTCAATCGCCAACTTTATCTGCCTTTTTGCTTTGCCTCCCGTTTTTCTTTTCCTTCTTTCCTATTCCAACACACAGTCAAATAGCATTTCTGAAACTTCTCCATCTTAAAAACTTATCAATAATTTAATTGTGAGACTCTTTTTCTCTCCTCCTTTTCCACTACTCCTTTTGCCGATAGTCTGTTGTATCGGTCGTATCGCTAGAGACGTTCAGACGAGAGGCCAGAAAAAAGAATTGATTTTGTCCCCAGCGCGCGCCGGTCGACAGAAAAACCATGTGAGTTCGATTCTAATAGAGACTTTGGTCACATGAGGGATTAGTAGGAGGTTTCGGGCAGCTCAATTAGCGGACTTTCGGCAAAGCACAGCAAAGACTCAATCATTCATTTTGAGTATAAAAATGAGATTTGTTTGCGCCAAAGAAGGTAATATCAAGATGTTGTTTAGGTCAACTTTAGGAGTCAACGACGCAACTAATATGAATATGCTCGCGAATAATGTTTAAAAGTGATTGCCTCGTGCAGAAATAAAACTTATCACCTTCCCGTGCCTTTTGCCCTTTTCCCCGCGTTTAAAGCTCACACGCCCCTTATCAGTTATTGACTGATTAGAGACAGACTTTACGAGTGCGCGTGATAATATTCGGCGAAATTTGGCGTTGAAATTGCACCCAGAGCTGATGAAATTTTCACGCATGGAAATTACTCTCACGCGAGATGCCACAGCTGTATCTAATCAAATATCATGGCGCAAGGCGATAAGTGGATGGAATCTGAGGCACAATTTCACATCTTTCTGGCAGTCCGTTTGCGACACAATGCGGCAGAAGTGATAGCAAGTGGGAAGGCTTATCAGCTAGCTAGATAGGGACAGTAAATCTCCTCTGCGAGTTAATAAATTCCCAAGTACTTCTTTGGGCAATTGAGTGTGTCGCCAACACAGATGAGTGTCTCTCCGTCAGATGGATAGGTTGATAAGCGTATGGTTTGAGTGTGTTGATTCCTAGTCAATTCTTCAATTAAATTTTCCAGAGCGACAACCAAGGCGTTGAGTGATATCTCGAAGAGACATGACTATGTGTTTTCGGTACGAGCCTCCATATGATTAACTCTCATTTGGACATCGGACTAAATTGTCGCCAATGCGCACAAAACATAAAACCCAACACTCTCGTTCTCTTTCTGCCTACAGTCACACTTCACCAATTACAGCTGGGCCAACAGCATAGCGTTCGTTCTACGAGAAAAAAACTAAGTAAAGGAGAATGCGAAGCTTTAGAAGTACTTCGAGTAATATAAAACAATCTTTCCTTAACAACCCATTTCAGTGCAGGACAACATGTCTGTCTAAGGATTCAGAGGTATCTCTAGAGATTGAGTATTAAAATTATCATTTAAGAAAGCCTAAACAGTAATATTACGACATTGACTATCTAAACTAGAATTGAAGCGGTTCAAATTTTAAGTTCACCTTCAAATCTGCTGGTTAATTACAATACAAATTCCACAATCTGAACAAGTCAAACATCCTATAATTGTCCATCAATTCTCCTCTCTTCTCCTGGTGAAAAACCACCCAATTATGCTTTTCATCCGTCTTGGAAATACATCTCTGACATTCTTGAAAATTCCCTCATGGAATATTCATTGCAATTTGCATCAATTCCTAGCCTGACACTTACACGACTTTTCCATACTATGAATGGCGTGAGGCATAATCTGGAAATTGATGAATTTGTCGTGTGCCTGATAAAAACATCGCTCTGGATGTGCTGCTGATACAAGCGTGCACAGAATCATCTGGCTCTCAAACTCATGTTGTCTGAAAATTGATGAGATTCAGGAACGCGCGAATATAAAAATTTCGCTTTTTCTTGTGTGTCTGTCTATCTCGAGAGTCGCTTTTTTGCTAGTCTCTCACTCTTCTCATGTTGGATTTGCTGGCTCACTTTTTTTTGCTGTCGTGCAGCGCTAATCCATCTACACATGGGCTCAAATTCACTTTCATGTGACCAACACACATCGAGTATAGAGAAGGCCTCATTTTTTCCAACGCTAATAGAGGTGTCTCTGTGTGGTAAAAAATGTGTGGCTGTACCGAGAGGTGGATAAGCAATGAATTGTACTGGAAATTCTCAGAATTCATGTGTATTCTCAGAGTGAGAGAGAGAGAGCGAGAGAGAATGATCAGCGAAACACCCTCTGGAATAATCCTTCAATTCTGCTACTTTAGCTAAAAGGATCCCCATTTCTTGGACTCTCACACACAGTGTGTGTGTGTGACGCAGTGTGTGCCGCTGGAATTTAACACACAACACAAACTCCGTGTGTTTTAATCAAAATTATCACATCACATGTCTTCAGGTCTCCGAATATGTCGCAGACTGAATAAATTATGGAATTTTTTGCCGGCATCAAGGCTCACGGAAAGTTTCTCTCTTTTTTTTCTTCACAAAAATTCAGGGGGGGGGGAGGTCATGAAGAGATGGGGAGAGACTCACCATTTATTCCACTGATCAGGGGGTAGTTGCTGTCGCGTCCACCAATGAGTGTTTTTAATCCACTTTCAATAAGAGTCGGAGATGATCGCTCCCTGTCACTCATTATCCTCAACTTTGTGAACTGCCGAGGGTGTCACTGGAACTGCCACTCACTTGGGTGGGCCCGCAATTGGGGGTGGGTTGCACACTTTGGGGCACTTCTCGGGGCTCTCGCGCTACGCCAGATCGCGGCACACACACACGCGCGCACGTCTCGGGGGATGGTGGGTGGTGCCTCCCTCTTTTCACCGCTGGTGAGACAATACCGTCGCGGCGCACGGACGCTCCCGGACACTTTTCACACAATTGACTAAATCGATTTTCGCGCCGAGCAACTCTGCACAGACCATCGATTTCACAGGCACTGGCAGAAAGGGCGTCGCGCGCTGGGTTGGACACACACGGTCTCTCTGTCCTCCTGTCAGAGGGGGGCTGTGGGGGGCACCTTCTGCAACTTGCCCACACTGGGACTCCCGTGAAGTTGTGGCCCGCTAGAGCAGCACTTGCAACTGTGTCGTGGATTTTTTGGGTGGGCACACTCGACAGATGCGCGTGATTCGCTTATTGAATTTTCCCGTCACTGATCAGGCCCCAACACTTCTCCTCCTGAAGGGGATGAGCCCGAATTTTCTCACTCTCTTTCTCTTCTCGCCACACTTTTCCGCGCACAGGGGAACCACTCACACAGAAACTCTCCCTTCTCTCTCTTTCTGGCTCTCGCTCTGTGTCCTCTCTGCACGTTGACTGTGATCCAGAAAACCAGAGCTCTGGACGTGGTGGATTTTAGGCAGGGGAGCCAAGGATGAGACCAAGAAAAAGAGCCGTGAGGAAACTCTCGCCTAGATAGAGGAGAATTCTCGAGCGCGAGACCCGTTCGACAAGCTTGGAGGAAGCTCTCTTCCAATACTCTCGGTTGAGTTGTTGATCAAAAAATAACACTGAGTCGAGATGGGAGTTGATTTGAGTGGCACTGAGTCACTCACACAAGCACAGCTCGACACACTCTGAGAAAAGTGAGGTGGAAAGGCTTGAGAATATCACTGGAAGTCAGTTGTATAGGAAAATGACCAGTAAATCTCGCCGAAACCCTGAAAATATCCCCTCGCGCTGTGCACTCGCTGAACAATTTTTCGCACAATTTGTTAAATCGACAATACCGATTGCTGAAAGTACAAATAAGCACACACAGCTTTGGAGCCAACACACCGACTCAGCGGCTTGAAGAACTTTTGACGCACGAGGAAAATTACTGGGCGAAATGCCTCTCAAAAGCACACCCACAGAAAGCTCTGCACCAGGATCAGGCCAGAAATATCATCAAGTGCAGTAGAAAAGGACTTCCAGAAGAGTGATCACGAGGTGTTAAAAATCGCGGGCACAGACACACCGATTCACGCTAGAATATCAACACTCGCACTGCGGTGCACACATTTGGAGGTTTGTGGGATCACATGAAAAGACCGTCTCCGACGAGACTGAGCGATTGGGGCTTCGCCAGCCGATTCTAACACTCTCACCATCGTGAAAAACCCCGCACATCCACAGCGCAATGTCCATACTTTTCCCTCTTATACCGCCAAACATCAAGAGAATCATGCACACACGCCATTCTCGTATATGCCCCAGAGTTGAGGCGCAACTCCGGCAAGAAGATGTTCTAGATAGGCTTGGGAAACGTGTGTGAAGCACCAGAGCCAAAGGCTAAAGGTGACCATCAGGCAATCGATAATCGTGGCACACAGTGATTAGATTGTGATTTGAGAGAGGATTTATGCTCCAACTGATAACAACTGACACGCATAAATATGGAATTTTGTGCCTTGCAAAGTAAACAAAACACCCTTTTCTCCACCATTGACGCCAACACAGATTTTTCCTGTTGCCAGTCAATGATTGAGAATTTATTGAGCAAGTATAGGAAAACATGTGTGAAAATGCCAGAGATCGACAAGGGCGATTGTCGGTGAAATTGAATGTATTTGCATGAGTTTTGAGCATTTTTAGCAACGCGTTTAGCACTTACAAGTTCCTCTGCTTCCACATCTTCCACTCAGATAAGAACTTTTCACCCACGTTCGCAACATATCGCTTTGTTCTTGCAAATACACACATATGAAAAAGAGAACAATATGAGAATGTCATTAAAACGCAGGCTGAGATTGTGATCAGAAAAAAGATATTCAAATACACTTGCTAAACTAGAAAAACAGGGCAATTCGCAAATTTTGCCACCACGAGGACTTTCGCAGAAAGCTCTCTCTCTCTCTCAATTCTCTCTCTTTCTCTCTCTCTCTCTCCGTTTCGCAGTAATTCGGCCAGCACCAGGCGCCTCCATCGTCATCACCTGATACTCCGGGAAGGCGCAGTCTCGCCTCCGGTCGTCCCATCTAGAAATAGTTCAGCACGAGCAGTTGCTTCGTGTGCACACATTTCTTGCGCACTTCCCAGTCTCGCACTTCAGGTCTGGCAGGAAGCAGTGAAAAAAGTCCTCCAAATTCACTTTAACCCAACACACAAGCTATCAATTTTCATGTACCTGCAGTGAGTCGCTTTGAAAGTAAGCAAAGAGTTGAGAGTTCTTTGTGCGTCTGGAATTTCACAGTTGGACTAACATCGCGAGCTGATCTGCCTTCTGTGTGTGCCAGAAGTTATGTAAAGAGCTCCTCTGGGGTGAGAGAGACTTTTGGGCAGAGGCAGAATCCTTTCAGGGTGTTGCAATTATGGCAGGCAGAAGGGCGCAATCAACAGTGCATTTCTTTGAGAAGTTCAAGGTGCTATGGAGATGGCAAAGAGAGTCGAAGGCTCTGATAGACAATATCGCATTGTTCTTGAACTACACTTCTAGGCCACACACACATCCTCCACGACCCTTAAATCTCCGAGAGCCTCCTCTTCTCGCTTCATTGTCAACCCTTATCGGAAAAATCAATTCTCTTTTTTAATTAACTACCATCCCTCATCGTGAGATTCTATCTGCAGACGAAATTTCTTGTGGTAATTTGCATGAAATTAGGCAGAAGTGTGACGTGATGGAGGCAAACATAAGGCCCGAATTCTGTATCCCAAAAATTTAGGTCATGAACTACATAAAATCAGATAAACTCACTCCACTCTCATAGCGCTATATAGCCTTTTCTTTTTGTACCAACACTCATTGCAGGACCGCACATCATCGTAGAGAAATTTCCTCGATTGTTGCACATTCAATTCCCTGTGCCAAATTACACTTTCTGGCAACCGGAGCATCTGTGTGGCCAAATAGCAGGACAATGAAGCTTCTCTGTGGATTTATGGCCAAAAAAGTCCATTCTCTCTGCTGAATTTTGTTGCTCAACATCCCGGAAAAGAGGCGCTCTGAGGAGGAATTGGAAAAAATGCCCATCCAAGTGCTCGATTACGACCACTTTGCCATCAGTGCAATTGTAACAGTGGCCATGCAAATTATATTCTTCATCATTGCCGCAACATTTCAACTGGACAAGCTCACAGACTTTGCCGGAGGCGTGAATTTCATCATTGTGGCCCTACTCACATTCTTCCTTGGCCAGATTGATAGGACAATGAAGGCCTACGACAGCCGACAGCTCATGGTCACCGTGTTTGTGTGCATCTGGGGAGCGAGACTGTCCGGATATCTGCTCTATCGCATTGTCAAAATCGGCAGAGACAAGCAGTTCGAGGACACAAAAAGAAATGTCATTCGATTTGCCGTCTTCTGGACATTTCAGGTGAGTTAAGTGTTAATGTTCTGAGGAAGGGGTTTAAGGACAAATTGTATTCAATTTGTATTTCCCAATCTCAAATGTAGTGCAAAATACATTTTCAGGATAATTTCAACATGTCAGAAATGCGTTTTCCATTAATAATTTGATATCAAATCAATTCATTATTGGCAAATCGGTTTCCAACAATACTACAGAACTCTTGGCGACTGATTTCCCACTGTCAACAGTTGGAACATTGAATAGATTTAATATTTAAACTTATCATCGCTTTAAATTGCTGTTTCACTGCCAAGTCTCTTTAGCTAATTGACCTACAGAGTGTAATTCGCCCATTTCACCAAACATTATTTTCTTGTTCAATATGCATAGGGCAAAATGCATTGCAGGTTGTGGAAAATTGTGTAAAACATTCTACCACAATTCGATATTTCGCACTATTTTTAAACACCTTTGAAAATGCACACTTTCCATCCATCGTAGATAAATGCACTCTGTTCCAACATGCGAAGATTTATGCATACACGAGTGGCAAAGTTGTTTTGCGAAAGAGGTGGGAAAATGAGCGGAAAAGCGTGTGTATATATTTAAAGTTAAAATAAAAACTAGTCACGCGAAAGCCCTTTTCACTGCTCACACACACACGCCAGAACAGTGCAGAAAATGGCCAAAATTGCTGATACACTCTATCATCGTATCTTTGCAGGCAGTGTGGGTGTTTGTTGTGTCTCTCCCTGTGATAATTATAAACTCCCCGAGGCATTCGCAGCCCAACGCGCCGCGGACAATGACAACACTGGACTCCGCCGGAACGGGAATGTTCACGGTGGGTCTGCTGGCGGAGACTTATGCCGATCTGCAGAAGTTCAGCTTCCGCCAGGATCCGGCGAATCAGGGCAAGTTCTGCAATGACGGCCTGTGGCGCTTGTCCAGACACCCCAACTACTTCGGCGAAATCGTGATCTGGTGGGGCGTATTTGTCATCTCACTGAATGTGATCAATGGCTTTGAGTGGGTGGCGATCATGTCGCCGATCTTCACCACCTTCATCATCCTCTTTCTATCCGGAATCCCAGTGCGAGAACGCTCATCCGACGACAAGTACAGAGAGTAAGTTTCCCAAACCATTTCTTGCAGGCCTTCAATAATCACTTCCTCTCCTTTCTCTTCACACCAGCAACATTGAATACCGCAAATATAAGGCCACCACGTCACCCCTCATCCCCATCCCGCCGGCCATCTATGCCGAGGTGCCGCGCGCCCTGAAGTTCATCCTCTGCTGCGAGTTCCCGCTGTACGACTCCCTGGACATGCACACGGACGAGATGCCCTACGCCATCTCGCTGGCACACTCGCACACATAGCAATCAATGCCGGGGCCCAGCAGCCAGCACCACCGCTCTTCGGGCTCCGGCCACCAGCGCACAGCGGCCACCAGCTCCTCAGCCTCCACAGTGCACGAGGAGCCGGAGGCGAAGCAGTTCTACGTGTCCGCCACCGCGACCCACTGCATCCCCGGAGCCACCGGCAGCTCCACCGTGACCACCATTCTGTGATTCCGCCAGAGACAGGCGCGGTCGACAGGGCGAAAGGACTATATTTTTCTAAGACCCACAAGTAGAGAGTTGGAGAAAGTGTGATTAATTCCCAGAATGCTCACTGTTAGTTCGCTCAAGTTTTTGTGTTGAGAACAGCAAACAAAACACCAACAAACCATTCTAGTCCTCCTAAGGAGTGAGACGTATGTATTTTGAAAGTCTATTTTTTTACTCTCAGCTCATCAAAGATTTTATTTTTATATGTTAGCCACCAAGAATATTAGCAATTGAATGTTACTCAACTAGCCTAGCATTTATTTTAGTAATGTAAAAAAACAAAATCAAACAGTAGAATTGACGTGAACAAATACCTAATAATACTTAAAATGATATTAGAAATAAAAGAAAAAAAACTCTTCCTGCCATCGAAAGATCCTCAAGATTACTCACAGAGCTCAAACCCCAGCCAGCGATTAGGGAGATATTACTAATAACTCTTATAATAATGAGCAATCAAATACAATATCAGAGATAAAGTAAGTTGCATGCGACTTTTTTTTTAGCGTCATGTTAGTTTCGAAAGAGATTTTTTTCCTGAAAATAACTACACAACACCCAAAAAATAATAAACACCGTGTTTGACTAAGATTCTGCACAGAGGAAATGCTCAAAAATCCCATTTTCGAATAGATTTTATCGCAAAGTCAAACCTAAATATATAAAACAAATGTCAAAGGTGTGACCAGAAAGAGCACGCAACACTTAAAAAAAACTGCATAAAAATGTTCATAATTACTAATTTTTTCAATTCCAATTTTGCAGTTTTTAACGAGAAATTCTCACTGGTACAAATCTTCTGGCGTCACCTTTGACTACTAAAACATGTTTAAAACTATTGAATGTTGTTTACATCTCGAGGATAAAGACTTGCATTTGAGTTAACCTCCGTATTGGAAAAATGTGAGCCTAACAATATCAATCATCTTCATGTTCGTTGAAAGGATTTTTACCCGAAATAAAGAAAAAAAGAATCTCTAGCTCAATTATTGTTCAAGTTCACCCGAATTAACAACATATCGCGCGGTGACAGATTTTTCTGCTATATGGAAAATATTGAGAACAATAAAAATCTATGGTGTCTACTAGAAAATAGAGAGTCAACATATCTAAAACTTAAGAAAAAGAGTCTTGTGCCAACTTGCACGAACAACAACCTCTCTCGAGAGACACGAAGGAGAATCTCGAAGAAACCTATTTATTGAGTTCGTTGTGTGAATTGATGATGTGTTACTGTTGGAAGTTAGAAAATATATATATATATATAAAAGATGTTAGACTACATGATTTTATTGAGTGAACTTATAAAAACTCGTTCATGACAGAATAAATTAGCCGAAAATTTTACACACATAGTTTTGCCGCCAATCATCAGGAAAAACGCGCTTATTTCTCATCTATCTTCTGATCCACCGTTGATTTCGCGATCATCTCAATCAGGGTCCGTGTTGGACGTCCTGCCATCCCGTCCTGAAGATAGGAAGCTTCCCCACCCTTGGCCACCATCACTCCATAAGCATCCAGATGCAGCCAATCTGTACTCTCCACGAATTCACTGAGAATTGCCGCCGATTTGCACGTGTAGCCACTGCCGATGCCCAAATTTGTCATATCCACATGCGGATGCGCCTTGATCTTCTTCCTGAACACATCCCAGAGCGGCAAGCGCCATAATCTGTCACCCGTGTGAATGCTCGCTTCTCTCATACGCTCCCACAGATCGTCAGAATTCGTGAAGACAGCGCTCACTTCATTTCCAAACACACCGCAAATCTCCTGAGAAATTGTGCCAACATCAATGACAAATCGCGGGAAGAAGTTCTTTGCATACAGCAAAGCATCCACAATCACCAGAGGTGCCTCGGCATCTGTATCGGAAATCTCTATGCACTTCCCATCCATTGTCTTCACCACATCGCCAGGCTTCATCGCTCCGGCGCCCATGATGTGCTCACAAAGTGGGATCAATCCGCGAATATTCACAGGAAGCTTCATTGACGCAACAGCTCGACACGTGGCTACGATCACAGCGGCTCCAGTCATATCTCCTCTGCCGTACTCCTGGTCAACGGCTCTCTTCTTGCACAATCCGCCACTGTCGAAAGTCGTCCCCTGACCAATCAGCACTATTGGCCGCTCATCATATTCCGCTCCGAAGTAACTCAACTCCAGGAAAATCGCAGGTTCGCAAGATCCTTTCGCCACAGCGAGATAAGAGCTCATCTGACGACTCTCTGCCCAGTTCTTCACCTTCACCTCCACATTGACTCCCGATCTGGTCAGGATATTCACAATGTTCTGGGCAAACATCGACGGAGTCAAGAGATTAGCTGGAGTATCTTGCAGCTGACGCGTCAGATTCTGAGCTGAGGCCTTCTGCAGACCAATTTCCCAGTCCATTTGATCATTCTCACCTCCCTCGATGTCGTACAAGTGGATGTTCGATTCAAAGGGATAGGCGAGGGTGCGGAATTCGTGATTTGTCCAGATCCCAAGAGCCGCTCCCTCAGCAGCGGATTCCGCATGGCCAAAGCTCTCCACGCTCACATCCGCCGTGTGCAGCCTCTGCAACTCCCGACATCCCACAGCAGCGGCAATCCTTATGGCCTCCTTGCTCTCGTCCATGACCTCTGAAGCGCAGAAGTCCAGGCATTCACTTCCCAATCCTGTGATGACCACAGTGGAGAAGATCGGGTCGATGTTGTAGAAAATTCTGGATTCCCCCAATTGAGGACAAGGTCCAGACATCTTTAGCAGTTCCAAGAGTCTCCCATTGGCGAATCTCTGAAAAGACACTCAATCACTACACAATTCCTTGTCCGTATTAATATAAAATCCTTACAGAATTGTACTTAAACCCAGTCTGAGTCAGTCTTCCTCTGTCATATGGATCCTCCTCATCGACATAAATCCCCAACACAAGTCCCTTCGACGGCACATCAAAGCAGGAATTCTCATGAGAGGCTCTGGTGGTCATCAGTCGACGAAGATTCCCAGTACTTGATCGCAGGGATTTGGACAGATTCCTCACAGCAGAAAACATTGTCTTCACACAAAAACAATTTCACCTGCACACTTTGACTGCTACAATTGCAAAGTGAAATCAATCTCAGTGAGAACTATGAGAAACTTTTTATTTTTCCTTTTTAAACCTTCTCATGAGAATTGTAAAGGATTCTATACAAAAATGCTTTGATTGCGCGTAAAAAAATTGATTCGCATTTGCTTTCAGAGAGATTTTCACACACACTATTTGAGTGTTGTTGCCTTCAGTAAGACAATATTTATGTCCATCGGAGGAAAGTTCTGCAACAGTTTCACATTGCTGGCAAAATCCTGTTCCAGGATCTGCTCCCTGAGCAGTCTGCAACACAAATGAGCATTAATACATCATCTCAGTTGAGTCTCAAATTCAACTTACATAATCATGGCGCAGCAGATGTGAACCAGGAACTCGAACCTATTCTCATCGGACAGCACAGAATCCCAGATTCTCACCACATCAGGCAGCGGAAACTCCTGCGACAGGAGCAACGTCAGCCAACGGAAACCATAGTACTGCGGATAGAGTTCCTGATCTCTCAGTCTCTGCCACACCTCCAGATCTTTCACCTCCAGCAATTTGGTCATTTTGTTCATCATCGCCTTAATGCCACCCTCAGATTCATCCAGTGTCTTGATGAAGAAGTCCCGAATCTCTCCCATGAGCGCCGTGAAGCAGAAGAAGCAGTCCGCCTCGGCGAATTCTCTGAACACCATGTTGGGATCTGAAGCCATTACATAGTAAATTGGTCCAACAATCTCGTTCATGCCCTGTACGTATCCGATTCCGGGATTGAGTTTGGCAAAGAGGAACAGAATTCTCTGCACGACTTCCCAGTGCGCCTCCAGACCCTCCTCCATCGCCTCGTAGCTCTCCTGGGCGCGTTTTGTGATGAGATTGATCTGGAAGCCACAGAAGAATTGATTCAGAAACAACACTGATTGCAGACAATGCAAAGTCAAACTCACTTGCTGTGGTTCATTAGAGTGAGACATGAGAGATGAAGGAGTGTTAAAAGTGCAACATTAGGATTCTTTCAAGACTGTGTTTCCTCACCTTTGTCATCCCAAACTTCCCCTCCACATTCGCCGATGACAGCCTGGACGGCGCCACGCGGGAATGCAGTCTTCTCTCGCCATTGCTGTTCACCACAACTTCACAGGGAAACTCTGTTGCTTGCTGGAAGAAGGATATATCCGGACACAGTCTCCTCACATCCTTGTCAATCTGCAGGAGGACTTCGTTGTCCTTGAAGAATGTGCTCCAGGCACTCTCCGGCCCATCGCTCAGCGGATGATCCAAGGAACCTCCGGACGTTCCGGGCGACACAATCATCTCATCAATGAATTGCTGGTAGAGCTGACGCTTCTTCTGTAGCGTCTGCGTCCAGGTGCTCCGCTGGGGCCCGAGGTAGCCCAGCAAGAGGCGCCAGCAGAGCGCTCTGAAACCTCCGCCATCGGGAATGCCATTGAAGCAGAGCTGCTTGAGACTCCTCAGGTCAATCACGTCATTGGCCAGGAAAGTCTCGAACTCCTTCACTCTGCAGAGAGATTGGGAAGACTTCTGGAATCTCAATTGCTTGTGGCAGGAGTAAAACAACTCACCTTGTTTTGTAGAGTGACATTCCGCCCAATGAATTCCTCCCACTCGGATACTCTTCCGGAACCAGCTGTCCATCTCAGACTCTCAGACGCACGTGAAATTGTGTTGCTTCCAGATGGCGCCACTGGTTCCGGAAACATTCCCGCGAAAATTCAAACGCTCCATGCTCTCGACATGCAAGAAGGGCGCAAATTGTGCCCAATTGCAGCTCTTAAGCACCATAAAATTCAGAGAAAATACTTCAAAACAGCGGGAGAAACTCAAAAGTCTTCTTATTACCTTTGTCATGCCTCTCAAATCGCGATGATTCCAATTGATGTCCCCCGAAAATAGTCACCAGTCATCGTATTATATTTAATTTTAGAACAAGAACATCGGCTTCTCCACAACACGCACTTGAACGGCTGAATTACTCCGCTCCTCTTCGGCATCTCATTTGCACAGCTTCACGTCTTCGCCAAGAGACAAGTGACCAAAATCGCGATTGCAATGCAAGTGGCGTTAAATTAAGTTGTGACTCGATCGCAGAATTGATCGTGAACTTGATTGAGTGCGTCCATGTAATCCACAGAGAGATTCTTATGTGTCATTTTTGTCTTGCATTTATCAGTGCTATCAGATCATAAAGTGAGTGTGAAATTGCTGCGAATGAGCAATGAATGAAGATCGTATACAAGGTAGGTTGTTATTTTAAGCCACCCTCGCGAGACTTTTTTGCAAAGATAGGCGAAATATATTCAGCAATTTCGCTGATGCTAGATTTCTTTGCACGGGGGAGACAACGTCATTCGCCTCAAACTCACTCCTTTGCTGCCCCCCAAAAAATATAAATATAGCATCTCGTGATGAAAAATCACTTCCCAAGTGACCAAAAAATCTCCGATTCCTCATTACAACATCTGAGAAGAAAACAGGCGCATTTCAAGTGTGCGCCGAAAAGCCAGATGTGGAAATCTGTGATTTCTCAAGGAGACTTTTATCCTATTTCCCCGCAGAAAATTGCTCAATTATGTTGATTTAATATTCCTCATCAGAAACAGTGGCAGATGATCTAATTTTTCCGCAATTTAAATAGAATGATTTACCTTGTCATTGATCTTGGACCATTTTTCTTCCACCGCGACACATCAATCGCCTAATCGATGATCCGTGAAGGCTAGCAAAGACGCCTCCATTTCGCAATGCAGAGCACACAGTCGCGCAGATTTGCTTCACAGGCCATCCATTCACGTGTCGCACTATGTTTTGAAATCTTTAGAATCTAATTGTGAGCTGAGATAGCCGTTGTATTTTGTCAAATTTCTTATTAATCTAATCTGCTTCAATCATATTAAAAATCTGTCCCAGTTTCATTGGGCTTTTGAGGGTATTTCGCAGCAATCTATTGTCGTAAACATCTTATCGCCTTGGAATTTCTGATATTTCAGTATATGAATGATAAAAATTTAAAATTCGATCAAGTGATCACTGGTATTTCAATGTCACAGAGATATTTGTTCAGAATCATTTCTTTCTGAGATGACAGAAAATTCAATATACTTCCATTTAACATCTAATGGTTAATTAATCCTTTTGATGTTATTTAAAAACAACCCAGTTATAGAAATGCGTCTAAAAATATTTCTGGCAATTCACAGACACAATTGAATCATTTTGTCTGCCAATTACCTCCCATAATTCCTCTCAAAATAATATGTATGTAAATTAATGTTGAATTTCCGGCCTGCCTGAGAGCCAAAAGGGTAATAATCTCATGTTTTGCACTCATTTTTAAGCCGCAAAATATATCTCCGTTTCACTCAAACGCACTTGTTTGCAAAAATCACAGAAATAAAGTCTATTTACACCCACAAGATATTGCTAATGAGGTGGGATTCGTTCGCAACTTTCACAATAGCGGGCGGGAATTGCTCATGAGTACTTACAATATTATTCTTATCATTTTTTTTCACCGTGCGAGCAGCGCACAAACAAATACTGATAAGCCGAATACTTTATTACACCACGGCAATTACCTCCTCTCTCTGTACTGTGATCGCACAACTACCAAGCACTGAGAGCCGATGTTCATTGAGGGAAATATCTTACATAATTTTTCAAAGGCAAATTCGCCAGATCGTCAGTCAATTGACTCAGTTTGTACTGATATTTTGCCACATAAAAGCAAACTTCTCCACCGTTCTGTGGCATCATGAATTGTACTTCGTTTAGCACCTCTCGTGAAATTTGTGCCTCAATTCCGCTATCAATTAGCACAGAAACTACGTGATTTTCCTGTTCGTGCGCAAATGTGATTCTCTCTCTGACCAGCAATTTTCCACACCACAAATACATTCCCAAATGATCACCATCTTCTTCAGTTTGGTTGCGAATTATGGTAAGAAAAATATATTCAGTGTTAGTCTGTCATTATAAATCAATAGCCTTTCCAATATTGCAATATTGGCAGAGTGTATACATAGAATAGAAAGTGTGTATGATCTTCAGTGCGGTATTATTGGCCCATTTCGCAAGTGATACAACAGAGATCAAAATGCTAAAAATAAGTTCGTGTTGTCCCCTCAATTCCTCACGAAAATACGCCATCATCTGTATTAGTGTCTTCACAGGCGAATTTTATGTGGTCCCAGGAAATATATTTTTCACTCTTCGTCTCGCATTTTCACCCAACAAACTCATCATAGGGGAGGCTCGAGTGTGGCCGGCAATTCTATGACGTTCAAGCAAACTCCTGTAGCTGAAAAGCTTCCATGTGACCCTCAACTCCGCTATCACATCGTAACTCGTCCCATATTATTCTTTCTCACACACGCAGACCCACACCCAAAAAGCTCCCAAGAGGATCATTTAACTCTGAGAATCATTTCAGTGTCTCTGCCGGGCGCTGGAGAGACGGAGTCACTGACAATACTCGAACAGCAAAACCTAGGATTAGTCGCACGGGGTGAGAAGGAAGAGCCGCGAGAGGAAGTCAACAGTGCAGATCCTGTGACTGTGATTAGTGAGGCGGATCAGGAAGTAAAGGAGGAGAGTGAAGAAATCAGTTCAGATCCCGAAGGAAGTGACGTAAAATCTCCACAGGAAGATGATGTTGTGCCTCCTGAAATAGCCGACGAAGCGAAATCATTTGAAGGTGAAACTGACGATGAAGTGATTGAGAAAATACTGCGTGACTCTGAAGAAGAAGTTGACATAGATCACTTAGTTCCGGAAGAAATCGTCAAAGATCACAGTGATCCTGAGAGTAAAGCAGAGGAAATCCGTGATATTCCAATAGTAGATCCTCAAATTTCCGCCCAAATTGCCAGTCTGTACGAGGAGGAACACGGCGAGGAAGATAATCGACCGCCAGTGCCAATAAAGACATACCGCTGGGAAGACGTGAGACGTGCCAAACAACAGGTTGGTGACTTGTAATTAATACACCCTTCAAGACTCCCTCGACCCAACACATAAAATACGAGAAACTGCCAAATTTTCCATTAGTGTGTGCAAAATGGCATAAAACCCCATCATTCTCAAGTGAGGTGAATATCTGTAAACAAAAATAGAATGATGGCTTCTCGAGTGAATTCCAAGACAGATGTGTTTATGTAACTCTAGCGATCATTCTTTATCTCATAACTTTACAGTCTTTAGTATCTCCTGTTCTCATTCTTCTCATAATCAAGGACAGAATTTACTCAACCATGTAATGCTCTATCTCTGCTTCACAGGGTGGATATCCATGGACACATCTCTACAAACCACCCCTCGGTCCAGATGATGAGCCAGAAGTGATCTTCCGCTATCGAACGTCCCCAAAGAATCGGCGATCTTTCGAAGAAAAACTCTTGGACTCACCGAAATCGGAGAAGAGAGTGCGAATTGACAGTGAGGTGTCCATCCAAGATTGCTGCTATCCCGACATCCTCGCTGATGAGCCCGATGAAGAACCAGTGACCGAACCGAACGCCACAGAAGAAATTTCCAAGGAAACACCGTCCGTCCAGCCGCCGAAGACGATCTTGAGGAAGATCTTCAGCCCCAAGAGTATCCTAAAGAGAGCCAACAAATCGGAGAGGAGCAAGAGTCTTCCACCGCCCGAAATTGAGTCTGATTCATCTGAGAAGAAGGTTAGATATTGCCATCCTCTTGTGGACAAGCTCAAAATCATGGCCGAAAAGCAATTGTCCAAGACATCAGGGAAGAAGATCAAGAAGATACCATTGAAGGAATCCAACAAGATCACACTGGAAGAGGAGCAGAAGATCCTCAAGTTGAAGGAGTCACCAAAAGCCAGTCACAAAGGCTTCACTTCTTACGTAGAGAGACACGATAGTGATGATGTTGTGGAGATTGTTGAGTTGGATGAGTCCCCAGGAGAGGCTAGGAGACGTCGAGAAGAGGAGAAACCCGAGTCCTCAAGTCATGTGACACCTGATGAAATCATAGAACTTCCGGCAACAGAGCAGACTTCTGAGGAGCCCAAGAAGAAAATCCCAAGACGCCAAGAGCATGTCTATGAGGAAGTTCAGGCTGGAGAGAATCCTACAGTCATCCTCACAGGAGACACGATGGATCCTTCCTTTCTTCACGACATAATCGCCCCCACAGACCTGAAAACCTCCCTCAGGGTTCAAGACAAGCAACTTCTAGACGAAGTCGAGTACAAGAGGAAACCTCTTGATGAAATTGCCCAAAGCTCTGAAGAGTCTCAAAAGTCCGCAACGGGCATGTTGGCTCCAATCTGCTCAGTGGACTCCGCCTCGTCGGACGACGAGCGGAAGCCCATGCTTCAGGCAGTCATTGAGGAGAGTGACAGCGAGCATCCTCTTGAGAAAGTGCCGGAGATTCAAGAACCCGCAGCCGAAGTCGAAGGCCTAAAGTCCGTCCTCAAAACCGAAGCCTCTCCAAACCTCGATAAGCGTGTCACCTTCTCGCCTAGCACTGAAGATGATCCGGATTTGCTGAAAGAAGACGTCCACCTTGAAGGACTAGACGTCAATCATCGCTGGTCCAAGATGAGGTGAGCTTTCCATCCCCTCTCGAGTGTGCATTAAAATCAACTAACAAATCTGTTTGTGTGTGGTTTTGACTTGGCTCTTCCAATCCCTTGGCTTCGCCACTTTATAACGCGCATTCGGTAACAGACAGACACACAGCCAGCCGGTCGTCGTACAGTATGGAAAAAATGTCGCAGAGAAAGAGAGCGAGAGAGGAATGGTATTTTCGCAATGGGTCCTAAGGCGAAAATAATCTCACGACAGCGACAAAGTGGCAAGAAAATAAAAGAAATCTCTCGCGACCACTGCCAAGATATGGCGGCTCCGACCAAAATAGACCGTAGCTCAATGGCATGCAGCAGATTTATCTGTGGGGTAATTTCTCAGAGTGTATGTCCAAGAGGCTCGCCGAAGAGTCAGTGGCAATTAGGATTCGCAGAGATGAACGTCTCTTGAGCTAAATCCATCATCCTAAAGGCATCGCGCCATTCGAGAGTATGTGTGACCTTTCGCGCGTGATCGAGAGTGATAGTGTTGGCTAGATAAGGGCCTGGAGCTATTCTCGCCAAATCACATCCACAAATAGAAACTTGCTTCTCATCAGCACAGAGAGTCTTGCAATTTTCCCCCCTCATCTTCAAATAGCGCTCGTGTGTGTCTCTCAGCAAATGAGTGGTATTTATAAAAGCAGAACGAGAGGCATTACATAAAGGAGACCAAACACCCCCCACGACTGAATGTCCTCACGAATCCGATCGGCTTCCGTGGGAGCATCGCCCCGTGTAAAGCCCGTCACCATCTCACGTGCTGACAGCGCTCAGGCCACAGTCCCCGAAGTCCGCTGCGCTTGCCAATATTTCCAGAGCGACTCCCTCCTGCCCGAGCGTGTCAATCCGGTGGGCTCGCGGCCCTCTTCGCGTACAGATTACTACACGGAAACCATCTCGTCGCGACCCAGTTCAAGGGGTGCAGAGCTCATTCACTCTGACCGCGATCTCCCCCATGAATCCGCGCTTGGCTTCGAGCCAAAATTCGAGGAGATCCACACGGAAGAAGTCACCATGCCAAGTCCACCGAGCACATCAATGATCGTCCACGACAATGATCTCTTCGTGGGGATGAAATACGGCGAAGCGTACACAATGTCCCGAAGTAGCTCGCAGGATCGACAATCAAGCGTCAGGAGTTCAGTTGATAGATTTCCCAGTGCTGGGAGAATCATGAAAACTGTGAGCTTTGATGCCGAACAGTCAGGGATCAAGGAGAGCGATCAGACAGTGAGTCAAGTGAAGTTCCAGCTTCACAATCGCGCTGCATTGGGATTGGATAGAAACTATGATATTCGGTGAGGGACAAGCCAAGAGTAATCGCGCATACTAACACTATATGTAAATACTTTGGAATATGTGACCATTCAAATCTTTCTTTCTGTCTTTCCAGCGATCACGAATACGAACCCATCGGCCAACCTGTGGATGAGAGTGCTCGAGCAGAGCTTGAAGCTGAGGAGCTGGAAGGCGCTGTTGGTGGTCAGGAATCTCCAGAGCCCGAGCGTACAAAGCATCCTGCCTCGGAGACTTCCAGCATCACGTCTCACGAGAGGAAGCTCCTCAGAGTGCCCACAGAAGAGGAAGGCGCCGATGATGAAATGAGTGTTCATGACATTCAAAAGGACATTGAAGATCGCTACTTCACCAGCGCCACTCCTGAATCCCGAACAGATGGAGAACTACACACAAGTGCTGTGGACTCCAGCGCTCTTGAAGATCTTCCCCTTGAGCGTGGCAGCCGAAAGAAGACCATGTTGAGCTCTGCTCAAGCACGCGGAAGGCAAATGCAGCAAAATCTGAGAAATCAAGCTGGTAAGCTCAGATCTAAGCTCAGGAGTATGAAAAAGACCCAGAACGGCAGTCCAAAAACCAAGGAAAGGAAGAAGTTCAAAGCTCCGGAGTTTACGAAACTGAAGAATATTCACATGCCAAAAGTTAATAAGCCGGAAATGCCGAAATTTAAGAGGCCTGAATTTACAAAGATTGAGTTCAAACGACCTGACTTCTCGAAGATCACTCTACCTGAGCGTCCCAGTATGGCGAAATTCAAGATCCCAGAGAAGTTCAGCAGTTTGAAGCTGAGGAGAAGCAGGTCAATGAAGGAGTCTACAGGATCCACAGGAGACTCCACTTCGGGCACCAATGAACCTCCAGCGGTGACTAAGAAGAGATTTGACTTTGCGACTTATCCCAGGATATTCGATAAGATACGGCGACAAAAGACAGAGGGAGATAAGCCCGAGAGGCCAGGAACGCCTCCGCCACCAACTTTTGCCACAGTGCCCAAGAGTGCCGTGAAGAAGGATTCTCTTGTGCCTGAAGATGGAGACAGCGATGTGCGGAGGCAGTACTCGCTGGAAGAGGAGGATTTCCAGCGCGAAAGCTCGCTGGAGAGACGCATGAGGCAGCATTTCTCACGCCAGCGGCAAGAGAACGAACAAGAGCAGGCTCTGGACACTGAAGAGCAGCGTCAGTTGGCTGACTTTGACAAGGAGAATCGGGAGATTCATGAAATATCTCTGGCTCGTCAGGATGAATTCAAACAGAGACTTCCACTTGTGCACCAAGATTCAGATTTGGTGTCCGAAGAGAGCGCTGGCAAGTGGACAGGATCACTGAATCTCACACAAGGATCTTCCTTGCAAGGCAGCGAAGGCAAGTTTGAGTTCGACAACAACACAATCCCAATAGAGGTGAAGGAGCCACGAAAAGGAGTCATTGAGCAGATTGACGATGACGAATTCTTCCTGAGATCGAAGGGAATCTCCCAGGATAACATTCAAATTGGGGAATACATCAGTTCAGCCATTCGTGAAGGTCTCACCACACCAATGAACACTCTCGCTCAGGTGGGCAGATACTCGCCGTACTACGATGAGGATGTGGATCTGAACAGTGAGCCCATCGATTATGGCTACGATGTGCCGAAGAAGCCACGCCGCGTCCGAGATCGGAGCAGTCTGGAGAAGGATGAGTACTTCGGAACTTATCCGCCAAATAAGCCCATGCGCAAGCACAGGAATTACGAGTCGGATGAGAGAATTGTGCCACACACGGAAACTTACTATCGCGACACGGAATCCCACTCCTTCTACGACAACGACAACCTGGCGGGCCTGGATCAGCCTGACATGTACATCGATGACGAGGAGGAGCAGAGATCCGATGCACTGGACCGTGTGCCGTACCCACCGACCCCACCAAAAGCGCCCAAAAGACGCAGGAAACTCCACCGGCCACAGCCGAGGAGTGTGCCTGCCTATGACAACCTGGCCGGAAGATCTGTGTCCAACAATTACATCCCCAACGGTGATACTGACGAAAATGTAAGTGGAAATCCACCGTTGAGTGCATCTTTTTTAAACTGTCTTTCGCTTCCATTCCACCAGATTATTGTCTACCGAACGGAACACGAATACCCAGTGCCTTTAGCCACCCCTGAGAACTTCACGCCCATCCCCACACCAAGATCAAGATCACGTTCACAAGCTTCGAGGCTCACCGATGACGACAGGACATCGCACGGAGCAGAGTCTCTAGTCTCAGACACTCATATTCACGTTGAAGATTTCTTGAGAAATGAACTCGACATCACAGGAAATAATGGGTAAGTTTAAACAGCCTTCAGACTTGAGAACTATGAGCACACTTTCTTGACTCTCGGCAGATATGCTGTGGTCAAGAAGGAGCCTCCACCGCGACCTCCGCCGCCTGTTCGTCGGAAGAAGCCATCAAAATCTCTGGGAGAGAGTCAATTTGCCACAATGCCCCTGCCGAAGAGGAGCGTTTCGCCTCCAGCTCGTCCCAAGAGGAACTACAGCACAATCGCCCCATCGAGACCGCCCAGAACAAAGTCTGTGTCCAGTCTTGGAGAGGAGATGAAGTGAGTGTCCCACATAAAAGCTTACCACACGCATTTCAATCAATGATTATTGCAGACCTTTCAGGAGTGCCACTCCTGACTTCACCCAGTACGAGGAGATCGAAGATTTGGACTCGCACAAGGACTTACAGTCCGGTGAGGTGATCAAAAAGATGCAGGAGCGACCATTGCCACCACCGCCTCGGCCCAATCGCACGCTCAAGAGGGCCAAGAAGGACAAGGATGATAAACCAGATGACGATCGTGACGGTGGAGGAATTAGGATAGAATCGCGTGCGTCTGGTATTGAGGAGGTCGAAGTGTCCACACAAACGGATCCCTTGCCGGATGACTTCCTTTGTGAGGAATTGGAGATCACCAGTGATATGAAAACCATCACACCCAGTCAGTGTAAAACATTGGAGGACATCCTGAAGGAGGAGCAGGAGGCTGAATTCGAGAGGGCGCAGCAATTGGCTGCCGAACAGAGCCTGTCGAGAGGATTGCAGAGGTTTAGAGAGGGCAACCACAGGAGTTTATCAGAGAGATCCAAGGCTTCCACTTTGGACAGACCCAAGACTCCCGGGAGTAGACCTATTTCCCCAAATGCCGTGGTTGTTGAGCGGAAGATCTCAACGCCCACAATGCTAACAGAGGCCACACTATCTGTAGAACCTGTGGATGAACCTTACTTGGCTACTGAACTTCCTGAAGAGGAGGAAAAAGATGTAGATAAACTGGAAGAATATTTACCAGACGTCGAACGTGAAGTGATCCTAGAACCTGAAGTGATCCCAGAACCAGAAGTTATCCCAGAGCCAGAAGTAATCCCCGAACCAGAAGTAATCCCCGAACAAGAAGTAGAAGTAGAAGAGATTATCCCAGAACCCGTTCGAATTTCCCAGGAAGAGCAGCAGCGCTTGCAGCAGGAGGAAATAGCCAGAAGAATGCATGACGAAGTGGAGGCAGAATTGGAGAGATGCGCCCAAAGACTGGAACAAGTGATTGATGTGCTGCAGCAAGAAGAAGAAGTGCCGCCAGTTCCTCCGCCCCGGAGAAAATCCTCAGCCGGGGACTCTCTCATCCCACAAACCACCTCAGGAAATCTCCAACTCAGAGATTTAAGTGTGGATCGCCTGAATGTGAATCAGCTGCAAGCTGGAAGACTCTTGGTATCTGAGGTGGAGAGTTCTTCAATGACTGCCCAGGAGTTGGACTGCAAATCTGGGAATCTCGTGGTGAAGAGCATTCAACTCCCCAAAGAAGTTATTGAGGAGATTGTGGATCGCGTGAGGAATCAACTGCCGACCAGTCAAGCCACCACCGTTCACGAAGATCCCGATCTCGAGAAGGAGCCTCCAGCTCGACCGCCACCACCTCATGGCTACTACTATCCCTACTCCTTGCCGCCGCCCTCTTTCTACCGCCTCCGCGATCCCTCTGACGAGGACGAGCAGCCTCCTGCCACTTCCCACCGCCGTCGGCGCCATCACAGAGCCCACCGCGAGTCCTCAGAGGACGACGATCCCGCTCCGCGCACGCGCAGTCGTCACAGTTCCCGCTCGCAGGATGTCATTGACCTGGGCGGACAATTCCTCCGCGCTTGCAGCAACTCAGCGGGACGCTCAGTGAGGAATATCCTTCAACTGGTGCGCGCCACAGTGGTGAAGGAGGAGAATCGCAGTGAGGTGAACATTGTGGCAATGCTGCTCATTGTCCTCATGGCGAGTCTCATCCTCATCTGCATGGGTGGCAGCGACAGAACCGTCCATCACCATCATTGGGACTTCTTCAATGCCCCTGGCAATGGGAATCTCCCCAAATGAGTGCATTTCTCACGCATACACATTATCACTTATCCCCTAACAGTGCCCCACAAATTGAGATCTGCACAGCGCAAGCATTAATCATCAGTTTTTTGTGCTCCAAATTGTGGGAATTACGGAAGTGTTTCGAATAAAAACATGAAATTACATATTGGAGAAAGCGTTTAATTTATACCTCTTAGTCGTCTAAAATATGTCGTCATAGTGGACCATTTCGCGCTTATCCTTGAGACTGCCCTTCTGCGAGTGACTGGCCGCCAGTGTTGACCACACAGCTGAAGAGGAGGCGTCGTTGATCGGTTCAATTTGTGGTTGTCGTCTGGCCAGCTGAACTTGCAACTGAATCCCAGCCACAGACTTGCTGTGCATATCGCTGATCGCCTTCTCAGCAGATTCCGGCTTTGTAAACGTGATGAATCCACGTCCCTTCTCGATCTCCATCGACACATTGACAATTGTCCCGAAGCAGCTGAAGTGCTTCTTCAGGAAGTCTTCTGTCACCTTATTTCCCGACACATATATCGTGTTCCCTGTGCGGGGCTTGTCTGGACGCACCACTGGTGCCTCCATGATCTTCTTGTCCACCAATCCTCGCTCCTCTCGATCCCTTTCTGTGGCCAATTGCTGATACAAGTTCTGCACGCGCCCAGAAACCTCTTTCTCTGGACTGGGAGGCACTCCAGCCGGCGCTCCAGCTTCGGTGCTTTGTGTGGCTGAGAAAGGTTGATAGGAGGCCACATTAGCTGGACTTTCCGGCAAGACACGCTTCCTTTCCTGTCCCTTTGGCCTCTTAAAGGACACTTGATCTTGCTTCGACTGAGGCTTCTGAATCGCCTGAATTGCACCGCTTTTTATCAGCTTCCTTGCCACTTCTCGCGCATCTCTAGCGTCTGCTGGTCTCTTGGGTATTAGAGGCTTCTCTGGCTCCTGTTTAGGTGTCTTCAGAGCCTGCAATGCCTTTTTCTGAAAGATGTAAACAACGCGTTACAAGCACAAAAATTTCATGATATTCATAGTTATTTACCTTTTTCTTCAACTTCTGATACTTTGTCTGCAGCATCAGTTCCTCCTCTGTCAGATTCGATGGGAAATGAATGTACACCATGGCTTTTTAGCAGGGAAAAACAATGAAATACCAGAAACACAAATATTTCTTTCGCAGCTTTGTTTTGACAGCAGAGAACAGTCAGCGCCTCTAGTGGCAAAATCAAACTTTTGCCTTCTTAACGGCTTCGGCGTCTGGAGAATTTTCCTTGGGATTCAGCTTTATCTGTGCTGCCGTGGATGTGTCCGTCTTGAGAACCTCCCGGAGAGCCATTGTGGCGTACGTGGATGAGGGAAGACAGAAATCCAGAAGCAGCGCGGTTTTTGTTCCATTTGGATCCTCAGGAATCACTTTGTTGCGCATCTCATCCACATCTGAGGCCAGAAGTAGGTCATTTGTTGAGTTGTACTTCATTAAACTCCAGGTAAGATTCTCAGGTTTGGCCATGAACTTTCTGTACGTCCCGCCCAGCGAATATGTTCTGAAAATAACAGAAATTAGGATTGATAAACTCAAAATAAATTTATACAACTCACTTGACTTTCTGCTTTAGTTTCTCGGAAGAGAGATCATCAGTGGCCAGGAGTTCCTGATACCATTCCCCACATTGATTGTTTGGGTATGTAATATCATGTCCAGGAAGGGGTAAAACGACATCAAAGATGCTGTAATTGCCTGATTTCGCCTCCTCTTCTGTGAGTCTTTTCACCATATTCTTGAACTTTGACTCTTCCTGACCACAATCTTCCTCCTCATCTGACTCCTCTTCGTCAATAGTGTCTTCCAGATCCTTCTCAGCAACCTCAGATGCTTCCTCCCTGTAAACAAGATCTCCAGGTAGTGGTTTCAGTCCCAGTTTGAATCGCTTGGAAGCAATCCTGTTCCAAATCAGACTCTGATAGGAGTGAATGTAGAGAAGTCTAGTATTCCTGGGCACTTTTTCCAGAGCTCCCACGAGATCATTGGCTCCATGCTGGGACATTCCTCTCAACAGATCAATTTCTATGCACTTCTGATGTCCATCCACCAAAGCCAGGGCTTTCTTTGCATCTCTACTCTCCCACCAGCACTCACGCACGCGTTGCATATCCGGCAAGTCTCCCGGACGGGGCTTCAGTATCAATTCGCATGCCTCCAACCATTGGCCCTTGAGCAGGGCTCTTCCAATGGTAAATGTAGGAACAACAGCGGAATTCCCGAATCTCTGCAACCCGTAGTAATTGATGAATCCCTTCTCGCGGAAGCTTAGGAGAGAGTCTCCAATGACTTGAGGATCTGCTGTGATTTCCTTCAGTGCTATTCTGAAGCGATTTCCCCGGAGTTGACCGAGTTTCAACACCTCCGGACGGCTGGTGAAATTTCCCACCTCAATGTTATTTGTCCTTTTCGCCGCTGCCATGATCATCGCCGGCTCTCTGCGCTTCACACAGAACAGTTGAGAAGTCAGAGCTCTCTTGTCCTTCGTTCCAGCATAGGTCAGAAGAGAGGGTTTGATCCTGAAAGCGAAAAAAAACATTGATTTCGGTCTCCTTCTCAACAAGTACAAGACTGTCGTCTCACCTCATGCTGCTGGCGAGAGCACTGGCAGCCTTCATGGTGTCGATGTTCATCTTGTGAAGCACGAAATAGATGTACTGATGTGGCCAGAGCCATCGAGTTCTCTCCTGATCACGACCTGTGAAGAACCTGGCATGAGAATCACGTTGAAGCCATCTCTGCAATTCTTACTCACCGTTTTTCTTGGGTTTGAAGCACTTGATAAACTTCCTCTCCTCCTTGGAAATGGTATTTGCGATGATTTTCTGACCAAACTCTTCCCGGATGCCAGCGTGAATTTGCGTTCGCTGCTCCTTGCTCATCTCTGTCACGTCTATTTCCAGGAATTCCTTATCTGAGTTCTCCAAGAGGCCACGCAATGATGTTAAATCTTCTGCACTCAGGAGAGATTCTCCGTTATCAGGAAGTTTATCAACTTGACACTCTGGCACGGAAGTGTCAGTCAATTTCACAACATTTCCATCCAGATCAATTTCATTCACTTGGAAGTCTGAAAATTTACACTTGATGATGCCCGAGAAGCCCAGAGAATCTCCCACAAACTCTGTGATCCCGACATCGACTTCCTGGACATTGATCATCTCCCGCACGAAACCTTCCGCCTTGTGTGGGAATTTTCCCTGATTTCCGTGGAACTTTCGCTTCTTCCCCTGAAATTTTCCTCCAAATCTTCCACCTCGCTTACTCATGACGATAGTGGCTTATTCTGAGAGTGTTTCCTAGCCAGAAAATTGATATATTTGCAAAATTTTGTTCTTCGCCTCGCAACGTAAACACAAACACTTTGACGTCTGTGGCGTCACCAAACGCACGTGGCGACTGTTCTCAAGCTGTTGAATAAGCGGGGAAAGTGTTCCCAAGTGGGGAAAGTGCTGCTTTTACTGCTCCTGATAACGATTTTCCGAGCAATTTCAGGGCTTCCCACACCCTGTCCCCACGGGAATTGATCTCAAAGTAATTCACCAGGACTTTTATTGAATGAAAATTGCCACAAATTACGAATTTCTTACTCATTTCCTTGCACAATTGGTGAAAAAGCAATTTTCCTGGGGAAAATCCTGGGATTTCATTGAGCTTTCTCCAGGCATCATGGGTCACTCTTCCCCTTCCCCGAGGCGGGAAATTAGGTGGCGAAAAATGGTTAGAATCCACGCGCGCCAAAGAGGAATTCCACAGCCGGAAAATCAATATTAACGGACAGTCACATGTATCGATTTTCCTCACCACCCATGCGTCCGTCTCGCTCTGGCAGCGTGGAATAGCGTGAGCGGGAGAGTGAGAGAAGAGTGAGAAAATTGAGGAGGATGCGAAGCGTCGATTTTCGCTTGCGTTATTGTCGCTTTGCATGCGGAATCTGTAGCATCTCTCGGAGACGCATCTCTCTTCCTGCTGGTGTCTGGTGTTGTGTCGTGCTTTCTGTGACTTCCTGCCAGTCGCCCAATCATCTGCAGAAGGCCTCTTCTTGCTAGAAGTGCAGAAAAAGTCTATTGAGGTGAGTATTGAGCGATTTTCCCATCCCGTAGTCTTTGTTCTCGGCGCTGGGTAGCAGCAGAAGATGCCTTCCTGGCCTGCCAGCAGCTCTTGGATCTGAGAAAATCCCTCCGCAGCGTCCACAGCTCCCTGTAGCGAGCTCTGGCAGACCCACCCAGACTGACTCTGTGCGTGGCGGAGTTGAGAAACGGCGGGAAAAGCACAACTCGTTTCCATAGTTCTCCTTTCCCTGGACTCCCAAATCCCTATCCACGCCAGTGTGAGTCCCCACAGGGCCTCAGGAGTCCAGGAGCATCTGCCCCGGGAGCGACTCCCAGTCTATGGTGCGAGACTCCGTGGCCCAAATCGATAAAAGGTGAAATTTGAGGAAATCAATAAAATCGCGCTTTGTGTGCTCTTTGCTTACGATGCCGTTTTTCCTCTCCACTTGTCTGGCTCTATATGGCTATATATTGGAAAATGTGCGCCTCGAAAAGGGAGGGAAAATTTTCCGTTATTGATTTCCCTCGTGTTTCTGGGAAAATACACTCGTCTGCATGCGTATTTGTGATGGGGCGTTTTTTTACCATTTCCCGCACTATATTTTTAACACTTCACCTTTATTTATGGCCTCATTGATTGCATTTTTATGCCCATAACTACATTTTCCAGTCCATTTTCCCATCAAACCCGAACGTGCCAGTGCGGGAAGTCCTTTTTTTCTCCTCTCCTTCAGAGACCTGTAGATTTGTGAACAAAGGCAGTGTGAACGAGCTTTCCCGCCGTGGAAATTGTGTGGCTGCTCAGGAAATCAATATTTGGGATCGTCCCTCGACTTTTCCAATAAATCACACATTCAAGAGCGCCCGAGAGAGCTACCGTGACGTCATAGGAGGGTCTCTATTGATTTTTCATTTCCCTAAATTCACAGCGAGAGAGAGAGAAAGCAGCTCTATATCAGTCCGCCTAGGATGACTTCGACGGGTCAGGCGGAGAATTATCAGCTAAAGTGGCACTCCCACCTGTCGAATTTGAATTCCTCAGTGGCCACTCTCTACAGGTGAGCTCGCAATACTTTAGGGGAAATCCTCAGGAGTCAAGTTATTATTTTCCGCTGACAGAAATGACAAATTTGCCGACGTGATGCTCCTGCCGAGCAACAGTGTCGACTGTGGAGTGGGAATTCCGGCCCACAAAATCATCCTCAGCACATGCAGTCATGTAAGCACATCCGCTTCGTCCGCGCCATGGAAGCGCTTAAGAGCACACATTTCTCTTGCAGTACTTCGCGTCGATCTTCGAGAATAATCCCACACCCCCGAACTCCCTAATCTATGTCGTTCTGCCGGCCGAACTGAGCCGCAAGTCACTCCAGATCCTCATCCAGTACATGTACAGCGGTGAGGCTACAGTGTCCAACGACATCCTCAACGAAGTTCTGCGCGGCGGAGAGCTGCTCCGCATCCGCGGCCTCTGGCGCAACCACCACCCCGCCGAGGCGCCCCAGCGACCTCCCGCCGAAGCCGCCGGCGCCACACGCGTCATCAAGCAGGAGGTGAGCGTGATAGACAAGCATCTGCCCAGCAATGGCGCCGCGAAGGAGAATCCGGTGCTGGTGATGAATCCGCACGTGTCCACGCCTTCGTCCTACACGCCACCCCAGAACATCGCCGTGAAAAAGGACGTGGCCATCGATCCCGCAGACGGAAGGCCTATTCCATCCGGCCACTACGGACTGGTGTCGCTGCAAATCGCGGCGGCGGTGAAGAAGGCTCAACAACACTCTGAGAAGCGCACCAAAAGTCTGCCAGGTAAAGAAGTTGATTTTTGCAATAAAATCATTCATATTTATTTGTATCCTAGAACTGGTAGTGAAATTGTCAAACTCTACATTGAAATGTTCAACTTAATGGACTCAAGAAGAGCGATCGAAGAATGCTCAAGTCAATCGATGTTAATTACAAGTGAATTGACAATGTAATTCTAAGAGATTTCTATATTGCAATGATTCCTATATATAGTATATGAGCATGAGCGGGGCTTAGAACGCATCTCCATAATTATTTTGCACACAGGCGAAAACGGCCCTTCGCCATCGAACATCTCTGGGAAGTCTTCGGAGGCTGCGTCCTCTCGTTGTATCCTCTCGGCTGACTCCTCGCGGTCTTGCCAGGACTCCCGGCGCATCGTTGAGTCGTGTGCACGCCCAGATCTTCCGGAAGGCATCCCGGAGCACGACCTCAGCTTTCTGGGCATCAAGCAAGAGCCCGTGGAGTGGACAGACTTTGAGCAGCAGAACGGCGTGGAACGCCAGCACATGGAGATCACGGTGAAGCCGGAGATGATCTACCCGGATGATGCACCGGACGAACACGTGGAGGAGATGCAGGAGCCCATCTACTCTCCACTGACGTGCGAGCTGTGTAGTGAGACGTTCACCATTCCTGGCGAATGGGTTCGCCACATCGAGAGTTTCCACTCGGACTCGCCGTCGCAGACGATTCCCAAGAAGAGGAGACGAACTGATGTGAGTGGTGAATTGTGGGTGTTTTGGTGCGGGAATTGATACGGCTTATGGTGACTTTCAGGACAGCACGAGTGACAATATCGCAGCGCTGAGATGCGATCTCTGCTCCATGTTCTTCATCACGCCGGCAGAGTGGGTGCGGCACGTCCAGAACACGCACACGGAGACGGAGCTGGCCATCTCCAACAACAGCGCGCCGCCAAAGAGGTGAGTCCCGGAAAATCCCGCTGGCCGCTTGGCTGACCGGCAGACGCTCTTGCAGAAACGTCCGCGTGAGTCGTCCCATGGATGGCCAGATGCAGGACAAGTGCTGCTCCATCTGCCACAAGACCTTCCCCTCCTATGCCAGCATGGAGATCCACAAGCGGACACACACAGGTGAGCACCCGCGTCGCCCCCTTTCAGACTCCTCCGAGACACTCCCCATAGGTGAAAGGCCCTTCTATTGCAGCCTGTGCAGCAAAGGATTCAATGTAAAGTCCAATCTGCTGCGCCACATGCGGACGCTCCACAACCAGTTCATCAATCCGTCGAGCGTCCAGGACGTGGCGGAGGACAGCGGCTCAGAGTGATTCCATGGCTTAAGTGGTTAGTGATGTTGCCCGTCTCTTTCTTCTCAATCTTGTCGTCGTAGATGTTAGAACAAGTTTAAAGACCCCCCGATCCCTCTTCCTTCGTCAGGGATGTGCGCGAATTTTGTCAGTTCCACACGAGAACTCTTCGTTTTGAAACATAAATCCAAAAATTAGAATAGATAGAGTGGAAAGGAGAAGAAAAATTCTAATAGAAATTGTCCGATAAAATATAGACTTAAGAATTTGGTCTCAGTGTAAATAATAAACTAAACGCACATCCCAGGTTTTCCATTCCTCGATTTTAAGATTCCTCCTTTAACAGATTTAAATCTTCGATGTTCTTTTTGTGCAATTTGAAGATTTGTAAATAGAGACAAAACAAAATTATTCAAGTGATTATATTTTTTACGACATATATATTTATTATAAAATAAATTATGAACTTATTTGGAAGAGCATTTAAAAGACCAATTATCAAGGCAGTTGTTATCGTTTGAAACCTGACCTAAAAAATGAGGCTGACGAAACAAATTCACGGATTTCCATGTGAAAATCCGCGGGAAAACGCCACCCAACGAATTCTGCAAAAACCATGAACCAAATCTGTTCTCAATTGATAGCAGAGTCACCCACCTTTAGAGTACTGAAGTCGGAAAAAGAGCGCTTCGCGGATCTCGGCTATGCGCCAAGGGCGCCTCTAGTGGTGGACACAGCAGTTGGTGAGAGAGAGTGATATTGTTTGTTCATCGCTTCCGCACAAATTGGCCTTTTTCCCGTGTTTTTAGTGCAGAAAAGCCATGAGTTTGGAGCATTTTCCTGACTACGAACTCCCCGGAGTTATAAAGCGTGACTTCTACCCTTATGAATCCAACGGAGGGTGAGAAAAATTGCCATTTCATGGCTTTGAGGTTATGTTGCCGTGGCTCAGCAAATTCTCACAATTGCAGGAGTGTCGTTGCCATTGCCGGGGATGATTTTGTGGTGATTGGGGCGGACACCCGCCTCAGCTCGGGCTACTCCATTCACTCCCGGAATCAGGGGAAGCTGTTCAAGTTGACGGACTCGTGTGTGCTGAGCGCCGGGGGCTGTTGGTGCGATATTCAGGCGCTGACGAGTCTCATTAATGCCAAGATGCAGATGTACAAGCATCAGCATCAGCGCACCATGTCCACGAATGCCATCGCCCAGATGATATCTATTACAATGTACAACAAGCGCTTCTTTCCCTACTACACGTCCACAATTGTGGCAGGGCTGGACGTGAATGGCAAGGGCAGAGTGTTCAGCTATGATCCGATCGGGAACTGCGAGGAGTCCGACTACAAGGCTGGCGGATCATCGGGGGCGCTACTTGTGCCTGTGCTGGACAATCAGGTGGGTCTCAAGAACATGGAGAATGCCCAGGGCAGGAAGATGACGGTGGAGAAGGCAGTTGCCCTCACCAGGGACACTTTCATTTCGGCTGCTGAGCGGGATATTTACACCGGAGATGGAATTATTGTGAACGTAATTACCCAGGATGGCATTGAGGAGAAGCGCTTTGACTTGAGGAGAGATTAAAGAATGTATTCTCATGTGGATTTCCCAATAAATTTCTACGATTTTCCGGACACACACGCCAATTGTAATCTAACCTCATTCGCGATGACAAGCAGGGAAGAGCGGGCAGAGCTTCTCCGGCTCATTTCCCAGGATTTGAGAGCAAGTAATCCATCTCTGGAGGTGGAAGAATTTCAATGTGGGTCAGAAGTTTATCTAGCATCCAAGAGACGTGATTCCAGCTCCAAAACCCTCATAATTCCCCAAGCTTTTGGGGAAAAGATTGATCTTGCAAGAGTGGCTAATTCTCTTGGTCAGGAAGCGTGAGTATTACTGAGTGAAATGCACATTTCTCAGCTAAAATCTCTTGTAATACATTTGCAGCGTAACATTGGCTATTTGCGATGAAGCTGGAACTTTACTGTACTATAAGATGAGAGAATACAATAGTACTTAAGCTACTGTACCGCGATTCCGGACGATTTGCTCCTTGACGGCGTAGAACCAGCCGGCAATTTGGGTGTTTTCGAGACAATCCATGAACGCGCGGCATCCCTCCATGCTGCTAAGCACACCAAACACTGCCAAATCCGCCAGATTGGGCTTTTTACCACCCATGAACGGCGTCTTCTTCTGCTCAATGGCGTTTGTCCACTTGTCCAGCGCGTCGTAAATGTGTCCTCGCACGTCATCGGAGAGATCGTGGCGCTTCTTCAGACGCTTGCTGATGGCCCACATCGCAGCCGCTCCCAAGTACACCATCAGATTTCTCTCCCAGGCGGGGAAGTGCTGATCCCACTCGCCGGTCTCTGAGAACCACTCAAAGGTCTCCAACGCTTCTTCCTTCGTGCGATAGACATTGGGCGAGATGAGGTGAACGAGGTGATTGTCTGCCCATGTCCGCCACTTGCGCTCCTCCTCGAGAGTCTCCTTGGAGAGCGACCGAGGCGTGCCATCCTTGAACATGAGGAAGTACTTATTCATGATGTCCGCCTTTTTCTTCCCCTTCTCATCCAGAAACGTGATGCTAGGATAGAAGGATGCCAACTCCACAATATCCTGGCCGCGTTCACGCAGAAAACTCGACAACACCGAGACAATCATGCTGGAGTCTGTGAGTTGCAGGAATTTCCCATCCGGCGTCTTCACCAGCATTGTGGGCACTTTCTTCGATGGAGACCACTTGATGTCCTGCCTCAACACTGCATCCACTTCCACCACGTCATACGAGATTCCATTGTGGTCCAGAAAGGCTCGCACTTTGCAGCAGAAAGGACATGTCTGGTACTGAAACAGAGTGACTTTCAAGCCACTCTTGTCTGCGGGATTCACAATACTGCGTGTGATCTTCACGTTGGGAAACTTGTCCAGGAAGAAGAGCTCCTCCTTCTCATTCACAAGATGTGCCTTTGGCTTCGACTCCGTCACGAAGGTGTATCCGGCGTAGCCAGTGCCCAGGACGAGTCCCAAGCCCAATCCCTTGAGTGTCAACTTGAGAGTGCCGGGAGACTTTGCACTGGTGCTGGAAAATCGCACGAAACTACCGCCCAGAGATCGTGTCAACGCCACCTGGCCACTGTAGCGGACCACTTGTCGACCTAGGATAGTGAAACTCCTACTAGCCATCATCGACGCCGGATTTTTCTTAGAAAATCGCAAGTTTTTCACTGCGAAGAATTCGAAGAATTATACTGAGAACGTAAATTCCGGCTGTCAAATACGTGAAACATTCGTGAAACATGAATGAAAACCCAACATTGCAATACATTTTTTAATCTTGCACCGATTTTTTCCATAATTTTATTTACTTCTGTTTTGTAATATTTTATAAACCAAGCATAGCAAAGATGAGAATGACTTTGTTTATCTGTAGTTTAGCTATTATTAATTTTTAAGATCTAAATCGTTGAATCAATATTTTGTAGTACTATGGGTACTATGCATAAAATAAATATGTAAATATTGTAGATATCGTGCTGCATTTTTCTGAGTGCAATTTATCAAGTGCTCATTTACCAAAGACACAAACCTGCTTGGTCTCAAAAGTGCCAATTCCAAGACTGGAAAAAACCAGAATAACAAATCATCCAGAACCTGGCAATGTTTTGGGACCTGTAATCCCAAGTCGAACTCCTCCCTTCACAAATGCCTTTCACTGACACTCCCGGACATAAATAAAAGCGCCTCGGCCTTTCAAATAAGCGGTATTTCACTTATTTATTAGATTTTAAGCGGATTCGCGCTCAGTTTCGCCTGTTGAAGGTGGTTGTGGGCTGCGTGAGCTGGAGTCCCGTGAGATTATGGAAGTCCAGCATCTTCAGCATCTCCTTGGTCTCCGGATCCACCTCAATGATGTCCTGCTCCAGCGCGGACACATCCGGAACGTAGTTGTCGCGGCGCTCGCGCTCCTCCTCCTGCAGTTTGATGGAAATGCCGCGCACTTGCGAGTGACGGAGGCGCTTCATCAAGTGTGTCACATAGCCGGCGATCTTGTTGCGCAGGGGCTTCGTGGGGATGATTGCCACCTCCTCGCAGATGCGCTTGTTTGTATGGAAGTCCAACGTCAAACGCGTGTAGTACTTCTCAATTATGACCTTTGCGGCCTTCTTAATCGTCTTTGTCCTGACGCGACCCTACAAAGAGACACATTGCGCGATGAGAAAGAGTGTGGCACACAATACTGCACGGGTATTTACCATTTTCTATGGGAAAATTGGTGAAAACTGCGTTGACAAAACACGCCGTGCACACGAATTGGGTGAAAAGAAAGACGGAACCGGATGCCGTCACTGACATTTCGTCTTCGATACCTCTTGCCGCCGCGAGCGCCACAGCGGCAAAATGAATTTAACATGGCAACGGATTTTGTTGATTTTCAGAGTGAAAAATTTTCGGCAGTCGTGCAAAATTAATTCAACAGTGAAATGATCAACACGAGTGCTACGCAGGATGAGGCGGATTACCTGGGCGGAGTGGTGTGCGACGACGAGGCCAAGGGAGAGATTTCTATGAACCGCTTCCTGGACTTCCTGAAACTCACGTGCCAGGTGAACGAGTCCATCGAGTGCAAAGACATCCGCAGCACCGCAATAGACTACAACGACCTGGCCAAGAACGACATGGTGAACTCTATCCTCCACCGCACGGTGCCGGGTATTCACCAGGACGCGAAGAAAAACTCTCCGGGCGCTGAGAAGCGCGAGAGAGGAATCACAGTTTCGAGCTTCAGGCCGAAGAGGAGCGCTTCTGGGACGAAAAATCCCGCCAAAGGCAAGACGGACGGCCAATTGGACGGGATGCTGAGCGAGAAGCTAGACGAGGTGATTAATGAGGGCATCCTGGACTCTGTCTTGCCGTTTATTTGTCCAAATCAACCTCCCACGAGCTTGATGTCCAGCAGCAGCGGCACAAATTCATCCGGCAAGAAAGTCACTCTTCCTCTGAATCTCAAGACATCGTCGCAGACTCTGCAAGTGGCTGATGGACACCACAAGAGCCCAGCAGTCTCTCCCACAATCGTGGAGTCCTCTTCGGATGGTGGAAGCTTTACAGGAAGACGTCCGTCCAAGTCTTCGGATACTTTGGCGCCCTCCAAGGCGCGTCGGAAGTCTCTGATGAGCCCCATCGCTGGCGAGGGACACAAACAGGAGGCTGAGATTGTGATTCACGTGTGTGACGAGGTGAAGAACATCTCGCGGGACTTCACTTGTCCGCAGAAGCTGCTGGTCAGCAAGATGGGATACTTTCCCGAGGTCACAGCCGGCCAGAGACTGGAGGATATGGACATCTCCGTGCATTGCGACATTCAGATCTTTGAGTGGCTGATGAAGTGGGTGAAGAGAGACATCCTGCCGCAGCCCGAGTGGCCGACGCTCGATCCCTTCAACGTGATTCCCATCCTCGTGTCCGCCAGCTTCCTCCAGATGGAGCCTCTCCTCCTGGACTGTCTCTCCTTCTGCCACGCGCGCCTCTCAGACATTGTCAAGGCCTCGGCGAATCTCTCGTGCCTCAACGAGGGCATCGTCACCCGGCTGGCGGCGATGTTCACGAACCTGGAGCTCGAGGGAGTGCGAGACAAGAAGGACAGAGTCGTGCCACGCCTGTGGACGAAGATGATCCAGAGTCTGTGCGAGACGGAGCCTCAGGCGCTACGCGGACACTTCGCCAGTCTGGCCGGCCTATTCCGGTGCAGTCGCTGCGGGCGATTTCTCACTCCGGCCGTCGCCTCGTATGTCTTCTGCCAACCACAGAATATGCGCGTGAATCGCTGGGGTCAGATCGTGAGCCAGCACACGCGCGACTCCAACTGGAACATCACCAGCTTCATCGCGGCGTTGTATAAGGAGCTGCGCTCCTGGCGCCGACTCTACTGGCGCCTCTGGGGACACTGCCACTTCCTCTACTGCGCCGCCTGCGAGATGCACTTCCCCGTGTACCAGATGAACTGGTGCCAGTACCATCCGGACCAGCCGCAGTTCCTCGGGCCTACGGTGGAGGGCAGGACAGCTGGGCCCGGAGGGCGCTATCCGTGCTGTGGTCAGCAGGCGTATCGCTACGAGACACTGACGGGACCGTCGGGATGCCAGTACAGAGAGCACACGGTGCAGATCGAGACGGACCGCGACAGGTCAATCCTGCAGCTGGCGCAGGTGGCGGCTGAGGGTGGATTCCTCTTCGACGTGGCGCCGGTGAAGAGCCACACGCAGAACGGAGAGCCTTGGTGGACGGGAATCGCTCTGCTGCCGCATAGATCGCGCCAGGGACTGCTGCCGATGCTGCACGTCGAAGGTGAGTCTGGGGAATACGCCGAAAGACTGAGATTATAATCCTTGCCGATGACTTTGCAGAGCCCGTGCTGTCCAAGAGCAAGAAATGCGCCACGCGACAGACTTCCATGATGCTGGACTCGAGCAGCGACTCAGAGTCCAGCGACAATGTGAAGAACCACCGCTCGACGCTGGTCAGGCAGTCGTCGTACAGCAGTGACGGCGGTGAGTCGGAGTACAGCAGCCCGCGCCAGTATCGCTATCGCAGCTCCAAGCGGCGCCCCAAGATGCCGAGCGGGCGATACTGGTCGGGCGAGATGTCGGCGCGCAGCAATCAGGACAACCAGCGCGAGTTCGAGGAGCGCGCCATGAAGCAAGTGATCGCGATGCTGTGCAAGAAACAGGGCAGCGATTCTGGCCAGCAGCACCATCAGCAGAAGGAGCACAACTACCACCACCAGGGCGGCTCGTATGTGCGCCTGGAGGCGGAGTGGCGCGAGAGCCTGAAGAGCCGCGGCGCCGTGGCGTCGAAGGGCAAGTCGCAGAAGTAGCGCTCGATTGGCACGAAACAAGAGAAGTGACCATTTTAACATTTTATTACACTTTTCAAATTTCACTCAATTTCTCGTCTCTCTCTTTATCAGCTGTAAATATTATTCTTGCATTCAGGAATGGTTGTTGCGCAAAAAACGTAAAGGCAAAGATTGATCAAAGAAATCCTGTAATTTGTATCATTGTCTCTCTCTCTCTCTCTCTCTCTCTCTCGCTAGATATTATTGTTCAATTTACCGCAGAGGCTTTTAGTTTTTACAATTTTTTTTCTCTCTGGAGATTCACCACAATCAACTGAATCTGTCAAAAATTAAAAAGGCCGATCGAAAGGGAAAATAAAAAAAGAAATAATCAGAATGTTTCAGGGGCATTCGTTAAAAAGAGCGCAAGAATATTGATAAAAACTAACTAAATAAATTTTGTGTCGCTCTTTCAATGTCCCAATTGTATCTGGATAGCGCGGCCCGCGCCTCATTCTCCTCAATCCCCATGTCTTTGAGTCTCTGTATCTTCGCGTCCAGCTCGAGGAAGTGCAGAGGACCTGCAGAGAGACAACAGAGTCATTGCAGCGAGTGACGAAAGACGCTTATCACAATGAAATAATGCAAAAAACTGCAGCGAACTGCAGAAGATTAGACCAGCTGGAATCTCAGCAAGATAAACAGAGCAAACCAGTACACAAGGGCTAAGATATCAAAACACGAATCCATTTGCACACTTGAGAAGTTCATAGAGAAGCTGAATTGAAGCTCTGCAGCTTGAAAGTCTTTCTTCTGCCATTGAAATCATATTTCTGCCTAAATTCAGAAGCATGATTTTGACTAGATTAAAGTAGAATTGAAAAATGACGCCCAATTTCTTAATCATGAGCGACTTCAATTAGTAAAAATGCAGAGAAAACAAGAAAAATAGGGATATTTTCTGGCGTACGAATCAAAATTTAAACAGCAAATACAGTGTTTAATATATAAAATAGAGGCTTAGAATAAACAAAAAAATCACACTTGTTAAGGATTCAATAAATAGGAACAAGCAGTTGCGGAAAAAATTACAGATAGATGATTTCGCAAAGCCAAGGATTTGATTTCAGATATAAAATAATAATAAAATTGACAATCACTTCTTAGCTTAGAAAATACTATTCGTAAAAGCAACTTGATAATTGACGAGACTCGCTAAGCTAAATTATAATCGTTATCTTGACGATTTTTCATGTCTTTCTTCAAGGGAAGCTTTGTTGAGTGAATCATTTGCATTAGATAAGCCTCGGATCGATAATGAATATTCTTCTCTAGGAATGATTAAAGTATGATTTATGTGAAGCAAGAAACCTCCTAAAAGAGCTTGCATGAGTGAATCTAAATCGCAGCATTCTCACCGTTTGCATAAGCATTTGTCCAGTGTCTGGCGGTGAGGACAAACATATCATAGTTGTCTTTATACTGTGACGCCACGACTGCGTCTTGCGGGTCGTCGGGCTCAGCGGCCGACAGGAGAGCCTGGAGTGACAGCAGAACCGTCCGCAGAGTCATCGCCGCGGCCCTGAAGACGAGGACGAGAATTAGAGCAGCGCGATTGGGCGGAAATACTCGGCACTACTCACCAATTCTCCTTGAGGATGTCCAGGCAGATCGCTCCGGTGACAGAGGAGATGTTGGGATGCCAGATTTTTGTGATGAACCGCACCTTGGGCGGATTAAATGGATACGTTTCCGGTACCTTGATCTCCAGCTGAAACTTGCCGCCCTCGTACGGAGTGTCGGGCGGTCCCGCGATCTCGCCCTTCAGTTCTGTCCAGCTGTCATTGATTAATTCTATTTTGATGCTACATTGTACGATCTGCAAGACAGAGAGAAGCTTTCCTCAGCTGATAAACTCTTGACCACGCGAATGCACTCCGGGAGTGAATTTCTGCCTGACTGATAAGTGTGATTGAAAAGCGCGCACTATTGATTACACAAGTGCGGCTCTGTGTCACGGGGGCATCCCGAGGGCGGCGAGGCAGAGCTCATGTCGTGGGCAGGCCAGTGTGCGCAGCGCGAGAGTCTCAGGAGGCGAACAATTGCGCGTCCCTTTGACAGTGACAATCGCGAACGTGTGTTTCTCGTGCGCTCCGTCACGGCCCTAGCCAATGCTCACGCCCGCCCGCGACCGCTCGCGACACAATGGACAGCAATGCTGCGGAATCTGCCGACTTGGCCAACGAGGAACCGGCCAGCAGTAACATTGGTAAGAAAGCCCCACTCGGAGACTCTCTCACGTCGCCGCCAACGCAGCGCCCTTGCCAATCTAATTCCACGCACAGCGCCGCCCTTATATGGCCGGCAGGCAAGTCCCTGAGGAGTTCGCGCTCTCCCGCAGCGCACGGATCATTGCTAAACTTCCCGGAAAGAGAGTTCTTTATGCGGAGCACAAAGACCACACTTTTAGCCAGCCAACTTTGTCCGCCTGACGCACAGAGCTCGCTCCGCGAATCGCCCCAGCAGCGCCACAGATTCATTGTCTAGTCAATCTACTGGTGAAATCCCATATGCATACCTCCTCGCTCTTTATCACTTCTTTGAACTCGCGTTTTATTCTCGAGACAGCCATGTTCGCCGCCATTTTGTTTCTGTTGCTGAATTATTTTCGCTACACATCCGCACTTTGGCCGTCCACTGCCAATTCGCTAGGACACGCTGAGGCAATTTCTGGGCATACAATCACCTGCCCACCCCTGTCGATACAATTCACCGATCACTTGGCGAATTGCGTGCGGATTTCAGCGTGATTTGTTGTTTTTTCTGCACACCAAAATACTCACTCCTCTGACAGCTCGACCCCACACACACACACACACACTCTCGCACGCTCTCGAGCTCTGATTGGCCGCCACTCGAGGCCCTCGCAGCGCCGTGCGCCCCCTGGCGGGGTTTCTGGCGTCAAGGTCGGCTGCTAACTTCACGTGGCTAACAACTTTTTTTCTGTTTGCCATGCCAGTCATCAATTCGATCCGCGCGAAATCGCTTCTTCGCAATCAACTGGAGAAAGCCACAGTGATACAGTCCAGGATGCCCAACATCAAAGTGTTCTCGGGAACGTCGCATCCGGATCTCGCGCAGCGCATCGTGGATAGACTCGGCATCGACTTGGGGCGCGTGGTGACGAAGAAATTCAGCAATCTGGAAACATGGTGAGTGCCTTCTATTCACCGGACCCTTTTTCCTCGCCCTTTTTTCATCTACTTCCACTCGCTATTCTACCTGCTCGGCATTCTTTCGTCACGCTGCGGGGTGTGTAGTTTCTGGGAAATGCAGCGGAATGCAGGCTATTGAGCTGTGAGGATGTTTGTTTCGTAGTTTCATGCAATGCGATGGCGAATGCGAGTGTCGTGTGAAAATGCGATTTATCGCCCACGGGAGGCGAGTGTTCGCCCACGGAACATCTGTACCGTCGCGAGGGGTATCCTTGGGGCCACCTGGTGTGACCATCAGGCGGAAAACGCGTGTGCTTGAGTGGTTTCGGTGTTACATAAAAAAAGCCCTTCGGGGAAAAGATGTCATCGAGATTTGAGGTTATGCGCGTCCGGATACCATGCGCACTCGCGAGAAGCGTAATATTTTGATAAAATTGGAATTTATCACTCTGTGTGTCGCCTCATCTGGCTGCGGTGATGCCGAGAGGAGATTCCACACGTGCAGCAGTGTCAGAATGCTGGCATTTGTTTATTGCACAGCACACGATCAGGTGACGCGTGCCTGTTGTGTGCAAAAAAAAATTGCTGCAGAAGCTTTCTGCGACTTTGAGCGCCACCGGGGAGTTTATTTATTTTCTGGCGTGCTGCTATTGCCGACATCCACACCGCTGGAATGGGCGGGGGAGTAAACAAAGCCGCAGAATGTTTGGTCGATGTAAGTGGATGAAAATAGGCACGGGAGCGAAGACATTTTGGGGGCGCTGAAGTGCCTTCTCTCCAGTGGTCAAGTGTCGGCTTCTGACCACGTGTTCTGGGCAGCGGCGATAAGATAAGAGGCCGTGAAAAGGGGGCAAAGCATCAAGTCTCGGCGATTGCTGACGGGCAGATCATGATGAGCGCTCAATCCTCCTTATTTTCCCCATCGCAGGACAATGTTGCTCTCGCGCGCGCTGTGTTGATAAACTTTGACTCTGTTTACGCGATGCAGCGATCGAAAGGGTTGCAAAAAGTCAAATCGCTGACGAAAGTATGCCCACAAAAACATGATGTTTTCAGCATTGCAATGCAACTGCACTCGAGAGGTTTATCAGCTTATTTTTGGCGTGCGAGTGACTTTATCAACTTGAAAGAAAATTTATTGCTTCTTTGCCGGGTTTTTGCGCTCAACCCCGGAACACTGCGGAATTCATGTAATGAGATAAGTTTTAAGGTTTTATTGACTGACTTTCAGACTGATCTTCGAATGTGTATGATTTAGTGTCTCTCCAGAGCAGATTATTGCTTATCAGTTTTTTGTGCCAAGGCTGCGATAGTTTTCATTTTCAATCAAGCTTAATTTACATAATAATTATAAAACTTTTCATTTCGTTTGTACTGAATAATAAGTTTTGAGTTTTGGAGAGAGAATCGTGGAAGTTCTCGAGCTAAACTTCTGAATTTGAACCTAAAATCCTTCATCAAACAAACAATAAGAAGGTTTAAAATGAATGAAATTTTTATCTTCCATAAATGGATGGCATTAAAACAATTCTTTTCTAAATTAAAATATATATATATGATGAACCAACACGGTGTTATTGGAACTCTGCATCACTTTCGCCTATATTTAGAAAATCAGCCAAAATCGATTTATTGATTTCTGAGAGAGCAAGAAAACATTATTTATATGTTGATTTCTAAGAGAAATTTACTCCAGAAGCGCTTACTTGTAGCATTAATATGAATATTTTAACATAAACTTTAACATAACAGAAATGGATCATTTTAATGCTCAAACATCACTGTATCAACTTTAACGCTATCTTCTTTTTTGCTTGCAGCGTCGAAATCGGAGAGTCTGTGCGCGGCGAGGATGTGTATATCGTGCAATCGGGCTCCGGTGAGATTAACGATAATCTCATGGAGCTTCTCATCATGATCAACGCATGCAAAATTGCATCAGCTCTGCGAGTCACGGCGGTGATTCCTTGCTTCCCGTACGCCAGGCAGGACAAGAAGGACAAGGTAAGAATCTGAGCGTCCGGAGCGCCTCGGAATCCTTAGAAATTGAAGAAATTGTTAATTTTTCTTATTGATTTTATCAGAGAATATTTCTTCATTTATCGCCTTTGCTCTTATTTTCTTTTCATAATGAATTTTAATCTACTTTCTCTTTAATTGATTTCGGAATAAAATGTGGAAGCTGATATTTTTATTATAGAATTTATAGTTAAGTTTTTATTTTGTCTTATGTTTATTTGAAACGGTGCAATTTCTATATTCTTTTAGCTTTTTCTTGAACAAAAAACCCATAATTTGATTTCTTCTGTAAGTAACAAAACATCAGACTTTTGTGATGTCAAAGAAAACACTATCGAAATGAGTTTCTTTTTATATTGTAAAATGTTGAGAGATTTTTTCTTTATATATTACAGTGAAATGTGATCGTCTAGTTGTATTTTATCCTTATTTTCTTACCATATTTTTCCCTCTAGTGTCTTTATCTCAAATTAAACTCACACTTTTCGCTCTACATTACAAATAATAATAATAGTAAAAGAAACATTCTTTCCCTGAGATTTTTGGTGAATGTTTTTTTTTGTTGTAGAAGAGAATCTTGAGAAACCTTGAATTCAGGCTTTAATTTGGCTAAACTGCTTTTTCTCTTTTCTATTTGGTAATTGTTAACACTCACAAAATTGTTGTTTAAGCTTTTATCTATGCTTTTGCATTGATTTACATAAACAAAAATTGGTGTTTGGATTTCTTGAGTGTGCTTTTTCCGTGTGTTATTTTTACTCCTCTTGAATAACAAACGTTTTGTAACGAAACCTTTGATGAAAAAGAGACGAAACTGATCTATTTACTCACCCTACAGACCGGTGGAGAAACCCAAAAGGTGAAAACCCTTAAATACAACGAATGGAAGTTTCGGGTATTGCTTTTCTCTTATTTCTACTTTGTTTTTCTGTTTTCCTCCTTTTTGTCTCTAATCCTTTGTTAATTTGTCTGTCTTTTTTTTCTAATCTACTTTAACACTTCACAAATTTGTGGATAATAAAATTTGTGTGATTAACGATGAAGAAAAAAAATGTGTGAATTTCAGAGATTGTGTGTAAATTTTGCATGCGCTCAAATCTAACATGCAACATAATTCATTCATTTCATTCTATGCAACATGGAATATCATAAAAATTTTGGATGAAGGACATAAAGAGAGAGAGAGAGAGAAAGAAGCGATAATTTCGTTTATGAACACGCGAGAGTGAAAGAAAACAAAGAAAACAAGACAGCTTTCCACATTTTAATTGCAAATTTCTTCTTCATTTCTCAATTTTTATTGTCTCTTGACGAATCAAAGATTGACATGAAAAGAAGCATGGAATTTTGAGTTTGTTCATAAATGAAATTATTGTGTCATTTTGCAAATTGAAATTAAAAAAAAAAAAACACAATTGGGAAATATATTCTTTTGGCTTTCACTTTCTTCTATCAGTTTTGTTTGATCACTTCTTTTCTTTATTAGGATTTTGTACCAGATTTGCATACAGTGAGTAAGAGATGATGAAAAGTGATGAATAGAAGTTGAGATAGAAAGAAAGAATTTATTGAGAAATTCAAGGTTTATTTTTTCTTACATTTGTTAACAAGTAAATTTAGCAATTTCACCTTTTTTACTTTTTTTCAATAGATGAGCACAGAAATTAAGTGACTTCTAATCAAAATAATTTGATGGCAACACATAAAAGTGTTAATTTGTGTAAATCTGGCTACAAAAAGGGACAAATTAGCATGATTTATTCCTTCTTCTTTTTTTTTTCTTTTTCAAAACTGCGTTGCATTCTTTTTAACTCTTCTAGGTTGTTTCGATTTTTACTTCACTTTGTGACACTTTTTTCTTGTTTATGTTTCTGAGTCAATGGCGGAATTTATTTGACATTTTTTTGGTTAATTCTGTTTGTTCAATTATTAACAATTTTATTTTTCAGGATTTTCTCATTTTTAGTCATTCGATTTTGATCAAATTGAAAAAAAAATTACAAAATTACACAGAACACAAAACAAATCGGCGTGACGAAAAAGCGGCGAATGTTAGTACACAGAAAAAACAAGCGGCCAATTTTATTGCATTACTTCATTGAATGAAGAAAAGTGTTTCGATTCCATTTTGAATTAATGTCTCATCTTTCCTTCCATGTCCGTGTGCTGCAAATCTAAAGAGTCGCGCTCCGATTTCGGCTAAGCTGGTGGCGAACATGCTTTCGGTTGCTGGAGCTGATCACATAATAACAATGGATCTGCACGCATCTCAAATTCAGGTAAGATTTTAGCATATTTTTCAGCATTTAGTAAAGCGGAGAAATCAGACAAAATTATGATAAAGAATTGCTTGATAAATGGCTTCATTTTTTTTTTTAGTTATTTTTAGTTCTCCTCTTCTTTTCTATGGTCTAAAAAGAGGACAATTTAACTTCATTTGTAGTCTGAGTGTTGACGGATTTTCAATATTTAATCATTACAGTTCATTCTCATTGCTATCAAAGTGATATTTAATTGAGCCTAAAAATAATGATATCAATTCTGTGAATATTTCTGTCAAGTCACCAAACGAAAAGTGTGTTTTCACCCAAAGAGTCAGAAGAAAAAAAAATTCGGAATAGCGAGATAATGAAGAATAAATACAAAATAATAATATTTTGCGGAAAATTTCAACCTCGATTTTACAATCATTTCTCTCTTTTTAGGGCTTCTTTGACATTCCTGTGGACAATCTGTACGCCGAGCCGGCCGTTCTCAAGTGGATTAAGGAGAATATTCCGGAGTGGCGCAACTCGATAATCGTGTCTCCGGACGCCGGCGGCGCCAAGCGCGTAACGTCGATTGCAGATCGGCTGAACGTGGAGTTTGCGCTGATTCACAAGGAGCGCAAGAAGGCCAACGAGGTGTCGTCCATGGTGCTGGTGGGCGACGTGAAGGACCGTGTGGCCATCCTGGTGGACGACATGGCGGACACGTGCGGCACGATCTGCCACGCGGCGGAGAAGCTGATGGAGGCTGGCGCGACGAAGGTGTACGCAATTCTCACGCACGGCATCTTCTCCGGTCCGGCGATTTCGCGGATAAACAATGCGTGCTTCGAGGCAGTGGTGGTGACCAACACAATCCCGCAGGATGGTCACATGCGGGACTGCCCGAAGATCCAGATGATCGACGTGTCGATGATGTTCGCCGAGGCAGTTCGTCGGACGCACAATGGCGAGAGTGTCTCTTACTTGTTCTCTAACGTGCCTTACTAAAAAGGAAAATGACACACAGGAAGGCAGGAAGAGAAAAGATGTAGAGTCATTTCGGGGAGTGCTTGACTCTCTCAGCGACGAGTGGGAGAATCTCTGATATAAATTTTCGATGAGAGTGCGTGAGAAGGCAGCAAAAGTTGTGAAATTGCAAGGGAAAAAAAGGAGGGAAAATTGTATGAAAGGGTGCCATCAATGGATGTTTTTATAGCTAAGACATTTTCAGAAATCATTTATAATTTGTAAAACTGTATGGAGAGCGAGAGAGAGAGAGAGAGAGTAGAGCAAAGTGAAGAAATTGTAGATGGGCTAAATGAAACATTGATATATAATTTTGGATTGTAAATATTCCTCTTGCCTCTAAAGTGAGAGAATTTTTGAGAAATTATCATTTATAGAAACTTCTGTTTTACGAACTTTTATGCAGGAATATCATAGTTTTATCAGGCATTATAAGAAGAAAAAGATTGAGAGGGAGAATTATTGACGATTGTTGATAAATTTCATGCAGAATTTTTATTATCTCGAGTCTAATGAATATGGAAAATAATAAAATGACACCATTTTAGATTACTATGAGCGAGATTCTTTCAGAGCGCGTGAGTTGAGCTTATGGCAAGTGACTAGATTCGGGTGCTGGAGAGATTCGGCTCAGTCCCTCGTGTGTCCCGGCGGCAGCGTGATATCGAACACCACCGGCGGGTTGCTGGGCAAGTAGTTGATGTCGCACGTGGAGGCGTTGATGAAGATAATCTTGCCGTCGGACGTCACGCCGTAGCCTTCGTGGATGTGCCCGAAAACGTGATATTTGGGCTTGATGCGCTGCTGCACTGACGACAGGAGCTCCACGCATCCCGCGCGCACGCCGGTGCAGCACAGGTCGCCGTGACCCAGCGGCGGAGTGTGGCTGATCAGCACGTCCACGCCGGCTGGGATGGCGTCCCACTTGGCCAGGCAGGCTTCGCCGCGCGGCAGATTGAACGCCCACTTGCAGAACTCCGGCTGCCACGGCGTGCCGTAGAACTTGAGGCCATACAGCTCGATGCACTCGTCCTGCAAGTACACCGCATTCGTGAGCTGCCGCTTCACGTTCTGCACGCGTACGGCCTCCGCGAGGCTCTCCTTGGTGTTGCCCAGCGTCGGGAGCTCGTCTATCAGCGCCGTTCCCGCGTGCTTCCGGCGCTCCGACGACATGCTGTGCACTGACTGAAACGTCTCGTCGAAGCTCAGCTCGTGATTTCCGGCCACGACCAGCTTGTGCTTGTGCGGGAGCTTCTCCAGCCACGTATTGAATTCCACCACTTCGTCAAGGCCGCCGCATCGCGTGAAATCGCCCGCGTGCACGAAGATATCACCATCGGGAATGTTGAACTTGATGTAGGGCGTGAGGCCGTGCGTGTCACTCATGCACACCACCCTCACCTGTAAAGAACAATGGTCAGAGGTGGCAGAATCTTGTTGGAACCCTGAAAGACCTAACCTTATTCTGCGGAACACTTCCTGTCGGCGGTTTCACGGCGATTTTTATCACTCTCTGACTCTTGGAGATCTCCGCCCAGGCCGCTGTCGGATTCCCACTGAGATTGTGCACCGGAACACTCATCTTTCCGCGTCAATTAACTGCTTTGTGCTGCAAAGAGATGGTAAACATCCTCCCACTCTGATGCACTCAACAACATTCCAGTTGGAACTTCCAGATTCCTTCCAATTGCAACGTTTCTCCGACACCCTGTGATCATCAGCTGATGTCGCAACATTTCACTCGCATTCTCTTCTCGATTTCACACAATTATCTCCACACAATTTGCAATCATTTAACAAAATCTGATAAATGACTATACTTACTACGATTTTTCACCCAAATTGATGGGTGTACAGAGGAAAAATCCAATGAAATGTGACCTCAAACTCACCCTCAATTTTTCCTTTCTCTCGGTTGCAAAACAGCTGTCAGGAATGTTGACAGCGAGTCAGTTTTCAATTGCATTGGAAATTGGTGAGTGAAAAAAATCGGTGTTCGTGCAAAACAGTGTGTTTTGGTGAGAAAAACCCAGTTTTTCCCGTACTTCTGCATCCCACGCGATGGAGAATGTACCGGAGAACACGATGGATGATAGCATTGACGAGCTGATTACAGGTAAATGGGAAAATTCGCAAAAAACTTACTTGTGAGGTTAGGTCTGCGAATGCGATAAGTTTTTCACAAATTTCCGTGGTTTCCGCACATTTCCTGATTGATTTCCTCCTGATAACTGTTGAGCAGTATCTCTGAGATAGTTTCCACAACAATCGACAATCAATCGTTGAGTATTTCTTTGGGAGGAAAACAATCATTTGGGGGCGTCTTATCTCTCGTTTTTGCCACTGATAAGTCCCCTATTTCACTGTAAATTCTCCGTCTGGATGATTGTGTTTGTTCACGTGATTCACTTATTCAATCAATTCGCGGAAGTGATAAGAACACATCTGCAGGTTGAGGGGTGATATTCGAGTAGGTCTTCTGGAATTCCCTTGCATTGTCCGGAAAGTTGTAAATGAATTTCAAGAGGCATTTTGTGAATTGAACGATAATAATGACCGTGACTCACTCTGCTGTGCTCTAGAGCTTCATAACAACACTCTAAAAGCCATTGAGAAAGAGAATAATGTGCATTGACAAAGAAATAATGCGGGATTAGGAAGGCAATTGCGTGTTAAAAATAGTGGCACAGTTGGGAAAATCGAGCGGCAAATCATCAAATTTTTTTATTGAAATTCAGAATACATCAGGATTTTGTCTTCAAAGGATTCCTTAAAGATAAAAAATAGTTGTTATTATCTGCTAGACTTACAATCTGTCGTATGCTTGCGACTATGAATTTTATACGACAGTCGTGTCATTATCCAGTGGAAAATTTTAAGAATATCTCTAGACAAACCAATAAATTCGGTTACTTTAAAGGAATGGCTTAAAATTTCACTTACAAGATATTGATTACAGCAGCGTTTGTCCTAAATTTCTTAATAAATTTCTTTCAAGTGCAAAACTTGAAGATTCTTCATCATGACGTTTAACTTTCAGCTTTGAATAACTTAAATATTTATACAGAAAAACTGTGAAAAATTCATGCAGCAGCATTGATTAACATGGAAATATAATTCATGTTTTGATGAAGGGAACTTCATGGAAATTATGTGGCTTCGAAAACTCGTGTTTACCTGAAAGTTTTCCACTGAATTCCCAAAACTTTTCTCATCTGTCACTCTATGGAAGGTGTGCAAAGGCTACAAAATTATCCCATATTTTTATGGAGTCCTTTGAGACTTTTTCAGCGCGTGAATAGCAAATGCATACAAAATTCATATTTTTTTTTGTCGAGAATAAAAAATTGTTGCTCAGGCAATTTAGCCAGTTTATTGGTGGAGTTGTTCATTTATTCCTCAGCTGTTGACAAGCGACAGTGACCGTATTCAAGAATTCGTGGTGGTGAAATATTTTTGTCACTCCCAAGTTATGTGAAGAATTCTGCGATGTTTTGCGCATTTCTTCTGAAATTGCGGTCTGTTTTCACAACATGATAGACAGAAAAGCGTCGCGATAAGAGGATTGGCTTTGAAGAAATGAGAATGAGATTGCGCTAATTTGCTATCTCTCTCTCAGGTTTTGTGCGTCTGTCCAAGAAGCATTTCGTGGGAATTCCATTGAGGAAGTGAAGTTTTATGTAATTCACGAGGAGACATGATTAGTTTGCATTCGATGTGTTTTTGCTGGGGAATCGAAAGACTTGCAGAATCGCATGAAATGATTCTGACGAGAGTGGACGAATTTCGTCTGCATGCGTGGTTTTGGTACATTTTAAAATAGCCAGTGGATAAAAGAGCATAAAAAGAGAGGGAGAAAGAGAGATACTAACTGATATTTGACGAAAATAAATCGGATTTGAGAAACAACATGTGATTTTCATGGGGGAAAAACGGGGAATAAAGTGTGTGAAACGCATGACATTGCTCTGTTTATTTCTTCAAATCGATCTCTCTAATCTGGATTTATCTGATCACAGCTTTTCCGCATGTGTGCGAGGAAAACCAATACACTATCTTCTTCTTCGCCTTCAGTGTGGGATTAAGAAAAGTTCAACATCGTCACTTATCGCGATCATTGTTATATTTTGCGGGCTGATCGTCGTTGAGTTTTATGATCAGATAGATTCTATTTGAAGGCGAAAAGGCGACACGATCACATGTGTGAGACGCGTGCGGTGGAAGAAGTGTAAAAAAATCGACAGGAAAAACTGTCGATCGGTGTGCGATTGTGCGTGTGTGCGGTGGAAAAAGGAGGAGAGAATTTCTTTTAAAAATACAACGCGATCAGTCGATCGCGAATCTATCTGTGGCCTGGACATCGGTTTCAGTGCGAAGGCCGCAGGCGATTGAGGAGATGATATCCGGCATGAAATGTATTATAGGTGGAAGTTTAGAAGTACGTGAAATCGCTATGAAAAAAGGGAGTTTTCTTGCAAATGTGTGATGATGATCTTGTGTTTGCCACTCTTCCCATATATATTTATATTTCTGTGTGTGACCTATTTTTGGAGTGATTTTTTCTGGTTCAACTCGCTTCACTCTTTTGTATCAATCTCACATTTTGAGGATGTTTCATTCGCGTGTTAATTCTGTGTGTCATTTTTCTTTTGCCATATTTTTGTGCAGCTTGAGGTGAAGAGAATATATATTTCTATTTATGACACTGAATGAAGGTGATATTTTTGCTCAATCGCAAAGAGCAAGAGACAATTTACACATTAGCATTATATGCAGAAAAGATTGTCAAAAATAAAGTGTCTCAGTTGTGCCAAGAATTTCTCAACCTCATCAGCAAATCAACATCTCTATAGAGAGAATTTTGCAGTGTGTGAAGAGGCATTTTTGTTCATTAAGGGATTTCACCGTCAATTCTGTCGCTTAAAGGAGTGAAAATGCCTGAATTTCGGCTCTCTTTGCATTCACAAATGTCATGCTTGATGAGATGTTGGTTCTCCTGAGCGATGCACTATCAGAAGGGTCTTATGAAACGCGCAAGAAATGGAAATAAGTGTTGCTTGTCGGCGAAATTGTTGAATTTGATTGTACGTCTTCGTCGCAGATTTTCCTACAATTTATCATCATCGTCACGTGAGTTTGTTTGTTTCCAACACACAAGCATAATTGATTTTGGGAGTGTGAGAGAGAGTGAGATTGATGTGCAATAATTTTAGCCACACTTTTGAGACAATTCACAAGAAGAGGAAGTGCACAAGGGATTTAACTTACATAAGTAGCAATTGTTGATAGTTTCAAGGACATCGAGAGGGGGATTTTGTGTGTTCTGAGGAGAGCCGAAGCTTCTTGTGCAGGGAATGCAGTGTGGTCTTCTCTACTGTTTGTGGACCAGAAGAATAAGCCTTTGTCAGAGTAAGGATATTTGGGGGAAAACTGTGTGGATTTCTAGTCATATTGCAAGTTATAAAGACGTCTAATTGAAGAGATTTTCACTCAATTGGAGGCACTAATTTTCCATCTGGATTTCGATGAAAGGAAGAGGAGAGTGAAATGACGTTTTCTCATCTGTGGGCAGTGCAAATGAGATAGAAATGCTTTCATGTGTAGGAAAAATTATTTATTTTACTGGCAACATGTTGAATTTGCCTGTGAAACGATTCAACAGGAAGTTATTTATATATACTAAACATCTCTTGAACACTCCTCAAAATGATTTTTCCTCTGTGCGTCCGGAGACGAAGATGAGCTTCGTGACGACATGAGAAAAATATATGTTTGTGGACAGTATTTAGCATAATTGTATTAACCATTTGTTGATTGGGGAGATTTTTGGCTGGTAAACATCTCTGACATCACTCGATAAAATGGGTATTTTTTGAGTGTGATTTTGAGGTGAAAGTTCACTGGATTATGTGAATTTGGAGTAAATGGATCCCCCCCCCCTGCGATTCTTATCACTAATTGTGCAATTGAATACATTTTGCAAGGAGCAAATTTACTGTGGTGAACTCTAGATTTAATCTCGTTAATACGTTTTCCACGTTGATGGTTGTTTAAGCAGTTTTTCCCTTTTCGCTCTCGTCAAATGCCGTGCTCAAAGGGTGTTTATTCTCGGAACTTGCTATGAAACTGTTTTTAGGAAAGAAAATATAAAACTCTGGTTAATTTTTAAAGTAAACTTGATGGAAAGTTGGATTTAATTTCATACCTTAATAGTACGTGTTTAAGTTACATGACAATTTTGCTGAAAACATGAATGGAATGTTTGTAAAATCACGTTTTTCCAATGAATAGAAGAGTAAATTCTCCTAAGCTAGACAGATATGAGCTTTTATAGAAATATTTATCAATGCGAAACGCATCCTGTGAGATAAATCCTTTATATTTGGACTATTTTCGCTGGTTAAACTCTTCTAAGAAATAAAATCAATTTCGAACGTACAAAAAATCACGTGATTTTCACGGAAAAATAACCAAAAGATATGAGAATCTCTCAGGAGTTTTGAAGACTATCATAAAACCAATATTTCTCTAAACTTTTTAAAGTGAGGTTGTTATTTGAAACTTAGTAGATGAAAATCAATTTAATCAAGTGGAAGTTTGAAGCTTGTTTTCGCAAGTTTTCACAACACTTTCTGTTGTACATATTGAAAATCAGCGTAAAAAATGTGAGTGTGAAAATAAACGAATGAAATTTCCATGACCTGAAATGAGGGCATTTTGTAAATTTTTATCATCATTTGTGCCAGAGTGTAACGGCGGCAGAAGCGAGGGAGAGTTGGATGGATAAGAAAGGATGCGATGGGAGTCAGGAAGATCATTTGAAAGAATGGTTTTCAATCTCTTCGCATGTGAATGTTCCATTGTCTAACACATTCATTGTGATTTTTTCCGCGTTCAATTTTTCCTTCCCATTGTCATTCATTGATTGCGTGCGACTGCTAAAGTCCTGGCAAAGGACGCAATGGCAAGGGTGCTAAGTGGATTTGGCGCTGGGGATGAAAGTGAGCGCCAAGTCTGGGACACTTCGTGAATTGTGCCCTATTTGTATGATTGAAGAGAATGAGTGTTGGAATGAGAGATTTTTGTGGAAGTATTTTCAAGTCATTAATTTACACTTTTCTTTCCCCACGTGCTTTGATAAAAGGGCGGCTGAAAGAGTGAGAGAGAGAGAGAGAGGGAGTTGCTGTAATAAATTGCTTATCATTTAGTGTGCTGAGAGTTTCGCCACACCTATTCAACACTTCATCACTCGTCATTTGTGTGCGCCTGAAAAGGGGTGAAAATTTAAAGTGTGTAATGTTGTTTCTCTCGGGATTCATTGCAGAGAATCAGCAACATGTCGTGGAGAATGGCTCAAATGGGGGAAACGTGGAGAATCTCAGTGAATCCATTTGTTTTGGCGAGGCAGATGTGCTGACGAGCTCGTCAAATGTGCGCCATTCGGCGAATTTTGCCCCCTTCGGGGCCATTTCTCGGCCCTTGGATCGCGGCTACAAGCACGCCTCGCACGGCAATCTATCACCACAGGACAGCGTCATGACGTCTAGTGGCCCGTACTCCGGCGCCTATGGTGAGGAGCAGAACGCCGTGATGGCCGTGAGTGGCAATGAAGTGGACAGCGCGAAGGTGATTACAGCCGCCACGGCGTCGTCCACACGCTCGAGCCTCTTGCCGTGGGGTCAGCACACGCGCTCCACGATTGCGGCCAGCGGAACGAGCTCCGCTCCGGATGTGAGTGGAGCAAGCGGAGCCTCTGAGAGCGTCCTGCGGCCGGGAGAGATTGTCATGCGGTCGCTGTTCGCGGACTTCACGCAGCAGGCGGAGAAGAAGATCGAGTCGGTAATGATTGAGGGCTCGGAAAAGAACCTGTCGAAGTTCCTGCAGCGTGGCGAGGACAGTCAATTCGATCAGTTGCTGTCGGCTTTGGGATCCGTGGCGGAGCACTGTCTGCCGTCGCTACTGAACACTCTCCTGGCGTGGCACAAGCGGCAGCTGTCCGACGCGGAGATCAAGAATGACTTGAAGAGAATGGAGAAGATCAAATCGAGCATGGATATTGATCTGCAGCTGCAGAGGAGAGAGTCTGCCGTAGAGTTTATCTTCTGTCTGGCCCTCATTGAGATCCTGAAGCAGTTGCCCTTTCATCCTGGTCACGAGGACATCATCAAGAACATTGAGAATCTGGCGTTCAAGCACTTCAAGTATCGCGAGGGATTGCAGAACAATCCAAATGCTCACAACATTCACATGATTGCCGATCTCAATGCTGAAGTCGTGGGCGTTCTGGCGCAGAGTCGTTTCAGTTCTGTGCGGAAGAGATTCATGCTGGAGCTGAAGGAGTTGCGAGCCAAAGAGCCGAGTCCACACACGACGCAGAGTATCATCAGTCTCCTCATGGGCATGAAGTTCTTTCGTGTGAAGGTGAGTGAAGAGAGGACAATTGTGGTTGAAATGAAATCACCGAGGCTAAAAGCACTTCCGAATAAATTACCTTTGGATTATGTCGAATTTTCAGCATAAAATGCTGCGGGTAAAAAAGTGCTCCAACAAAGCAATTTTCTCTTCTATTATCTTTTAATTACCCTCGCAATGTGGCGAAGTCGGAAGTGAAAATGAAAAGCTTCGCTTTTTCACTCTTCCACTCTATATATTTTAATATTGTTTAATTCTATTATCTGGCAATTTTCGAGTTGGAATGTTGAACTTGAGATTACTTTGGAATCACGCAGTGAAAAGTCGAGAATATACTGCAATATTTTGATGAATGATAAAATCATTGCGAATTACAAGTAGGATTAAAAGATAAAATACGAGAAGTTGTGTATCTATACTTAAATGTGCCACTGAATATAGAGTTTATTTGCAGAGAATAAATATTTCTACGCTCTTGCTTGCATTTGCAGATGGTTCCAATTGAGGAGTTTGAGGCGTCTTTCCAATTTATGCACGAGTGCGCGCAGTATTTTCTGGAAATCAAAGACAAGGATATCAAACATGCACTCGCTGGTCTGTTTGTGGAAATCCTCGTGCCCGTGGCTGCTGTAAGTATCAATGAATTTACTGCTCTTGTGTGCATTCTCGCACTGAGAGAGAAGAAACGACTTTACGCATTTTATGGACATCATTGAATCTACTGCATTGAACTAATCAAATGGTCATACCCCCGGTGTCCCAGGATCGATTTTGATCGTCGAAGTTGATAAAGAATGGCAATAAAATTCTCTACAAATTTCTTTATTTGAGCAAAAGTTGTCAGAGCATCAGAAACGAAGCTAGAGTTGAATCGGTTTCTATATTTGAGCGATAATAGTTGCTTTTCTGTTGATCTGATGACTTTTCATTAAATAAAGTGAATTGTAGGCAAATTCATTACTTTTCTTTTGCGTTTAAAATAAAGAAATTCGGTCCAGGGACGACGAAGATTTTCGTATTAGAGTCGATTTATGACTCTAAGTTTTCGAGTTAACGTTCGGCAATGTTGCCATGCCAATATGCTAAGAGAGTTTAGAAACTTTGAGGCTCTCCATTTTTCTCAGTGCATTTGTGGACTTGAGAGGTCCTTGCAAAGAGTTCAGCATTCTTTATTCACTGCCTGGAGAAGTCAAGTGCTGTGAAGTGGGAAATAAAGTGTGCAAAAGCGTGCATGGATATTCATGCTTTGCCGCTGCCGATGGTAGAATATTTTATTTAATGGTGTTCTCTGCAAAATGCAAAGGAGGGACTGATTTATTGCTAAACTGTTGATTTTTTTTCTCCTCGACAGGCCGTGAAGAACGAAGTGAATGTGCCGTGTGTGAAGAACTTTGTGGATCTCCTGTATGCCCAGACGTTGGATGCATGTACGAAGTCGAAGCACAGACTGGCGCTGTTTCCGTTGGTCACGTGCCTTCTCTGTGTGGCTCAGAAGACGTTCTTCCTCAGCAATTGGCACTACTTCCTGGCCATGTGTCTCAGCAACTTGAAGAATCGCGACGCGAAGATGAGTCGCGTGGCCCTGGAGTCACTCTATCGATTGCTGTGGGTTTACATGATCAGGATAAAGTGTGAATCGAACTCGGCGACGCATTCTCGCCTGCAGAGCATTGTGAATTCACTGTTCCCGCGTGGATCGAAATCGGTTGTGCCGAGAGACACGCCATTGAACATTTTTGTGAAAATCATCCAGTTTATCGCCGCCGAGAGACTGGATTTCGCCATGAGGGAGATTGTGTTTGAGCTGCTGCTCGTGGGACGGTCGATTAAGGTGATAACAACGCCGGAGAGGATGAGCATTGGGCTGAGGGCATTCCTCGTGGTGGCGGACTCGCTGCAGCAGAAGGATGGCGAACCGCCGATGCCGAGGACCGTTGGCGTTCTGCCAAGTGGCAACACGCTGCGCGTGAAGAAGACATACTTGAATAAGATGCTCACGGAGGATACGGCTCGTACAATTGGCATGTCGAACTACTTTCCGCACGTGCGACGGGTGTTTGTCGACATGCTACGTGCTCTGGACGTTCACTGTGGCCGACCACTTATGATGACAAACACCCAAAATGTCAACAAGGAGCCTGACGAACTCCTCACGGACGAGCGGCGACCGAAAATTGACCTCTTTCGCACATGTGTGGCCGCAATTCCACGTCTCATTCCCGACAATATGACGGGTAAGTTTGCCAAATGTGTGAACAAACTTAATTGCGTCTCATCGCACTTCTTCCTCTGTCTTGTGCAGGTCATGAACTTGTGGACCTGCTGTCACGTCTCACCGTTCACATCGATGATGAACTGCGGGGTCTGGCGTATCAGTCTCTGCAGACGCTCATGATTGACTTCCCGGACTGGCGACAAGACGTTATTCATGGCTTCACACAATTTCTCGCACGTGATGTGGCCGATGTGTTCCCACAAGTGAGTTATCATTGGGGGTAGTTTTGCTCAATGAACCCAAATTTGCCCGTATGATTAACTCCGGTCATTAAGGTTAACTGCCTTTTGAGTGCCAAAAATGTGGCGCAATAAATCTTCAATGAAGGAATTCGAAGAGAAGATTTATTGACAAAATCGCTTGAGGCAACTTATTGTGCACTTTGTAAGAGAGACTGCAGAAATATCTATTTACCTTAGTTAAACACCGTACGATTCAAAAGCAATGTGTGCAGTGTAGAGAGTTTTGCTTGGAGGAAGGATACTTCACTGCAAACGACTCTGATGCACTTTACATTCGCTGTAACTTCCGTGTAATCATCCTTTTGTTAGCGCAACTCAAATGCAATTTTGTGTCATTTCAGTTGGTGGATAATGGACTGAGAATGCTTGTGATGTTCCTCAATACCTGGAGAAATGCCATTGCCAGCAATGCTCAGGGAAGTCCTTCGAATACCATCAATAACAGCAAAATGAGCTCAAGTCATTCCACAAACACTGTGAAACAGGCGCCAGGATTCGTGCAGCAGCAGCAAACGGTTGCGAGCACGACCACGTCGAATTCAAGTGGAAATTCCAGCGTAAACTCAAGTGGCGTCTCGAGCATAACGCAGCAAACGACCGCGACAGTTGTGGACGCTGTGAGGAAGTCGAACAGCATTGAACAGCCACTGGGGACGACTTTCCACTTGGTGGAAGGCTTGGCGCTCGTTGTGCTGTGCAACAGTCGCCTCCAGCCGAGAAAATTAGCCGTGCACATCATGAAGGAGGTGAAGAACTTGAAGAAAGCACTCGGCATTCCCGAAACAGAACCACCGCTAATTGATGCTATCGACAAGTGCTGTCCAGCGGTGAGTGGCTTCTTTTATTCCCTTCAAAGTTGAGGGCAAAGTCTTGAGGAGTGTCAAAGGCAGAATCTGCTGAAGATGCTTGATTTTGAGCAATTTCGTTGTCTGGAAAATCGATTCTTGCTTAAAGTATGGCTTAAAGCCAAGAAATGTGTATTGATTCGATTCTGTGGAGTTGATATACTGAATTGATCTCAAATTTCAGTGTTTTCACACCTAATTTTAAAGAAATACCGGCTCTTGAGCAATTCGTTTAGCTAGACTATAAATCAAGAGCTTCATTCGTAGTGGTTATAGGAGAGATTAGTTGCATGAATCTTCGTGAAAATCAATTAACAACTTCAACACTGAAGTTTCCACCAGAGATTTGTAAAAGTTCTTCTTTAAAAAATACTCTTTTTTTGATCGTTATCCTTTGGAATATTTGGATCAGGCGTGAAAAATTATGTTTTGAAGATTATTTATTCAACTTTCTAAGTAAAATAACTTGTATAAATTGTAAGTACGTCTGTCTTGACACACTCTCGTCTGCAGCTGACCGACAAGTGCCTCCACATGCTGCCGCAGGCCGAGCGGGCAGCGATGCTGGCGGCCAATGTGATCGATCTGCAGTGGATTGCGGATCGCACGAGTGGAATCTGGACGGTTGGACACTCTGAGGACGCAACGAAGGCCTCCACGCTGACGTTGAATCTGTCGCAGAGCGCCTCAAGTCAGCAGTTCGACCCGTGGGTGGTGTTCCTGTTCGGTTTCATGGAGCGCCACTGCGTGCTGCAGCAGTGTCCGTCCGTGGTGGCTCAGGCGTGGCCCGTGTGCTATCAGCGCGTCACGAGTCTCTACTCCGTAATCGATCCCACGTGCGTATTGTGTGAGCTTTGGGTGTCTCAAGATGTTTGCCTAATGCGCGCCACGTGATGCTTATCTTGCAGTCCTGTGAGTGACAATCGAGCCTCTCTGTTGCGGAGCTCGGCGCCGCCGAAGAAGAATCCACTTGAGAATCAAAGGGATTCGCTGGCGCATCTGTGGAAGAACCAAGTGGCGATGGCCATGAGAGTGGTTCCGCCCATTCCCAGTGTAGCTGTTCGCTGTGCGTCTCCTGACTTGAGTCTGAGGTATGTTGGATTTCTGATTGATAGGACTTTTATTGGACTCTCTCATCCCCATGAAGTTTCACCATCATTCGTATTCGTAGCGTCAATTGGAAATTTGTATTGCATGCAATTTTGGAGCATAAATTGACCAATCAGTGTCTTCTACAGCTGTGAAATATAATTACATTGTGCACAATTGCGAATGAATATCATGTACTAATACTTGAGTATTTTACAGTGTTTGATAGTTTATTGCATGACGCTAGTATTTTCCATTCTGTTTTCCGCATTTATATTTGCCAAATACTCAACTATATGATTCAAAATTTTCAATGAGGATCACAAAGGAAATGCAATATTCTGTTGGAAAACACCCAGGAATTATTTCATCATACACATTATTAAAAAAAAAAGAAATCATAAATTTCATGAGTTATTATTCCATGAATGCAAATTTTTCCACAGTTTTTTCTCGCATTTTTAATCAAATCATTTTATTCAGAGCTCTCTTAGTGACGGCATGACACAAATGAAACACACTTTATTTTGGATAAATCAATTAATTTCACATTGTGTTCCTGTTTCACACATATATAATTACATATATTTTCCCCATGTGAAAAATGATAATTGAAACCTTCATCATGAGTAATCTGTTCGCCAAAAAAAACAAACAAACACCACGCATTCAACAAATTTGTGATATGAAATAACGATGACAAAATGAGAAGTTTAATACCGATCAAAACCAAAAATTCTCTTCTGTGTGCAATAGTCTGCATGAGCATTCCGATTCACGGTCGTTGTCTGATTCTTTGGATAACATACCGTCAAATGTATTCGGCCCGGAAGGAATGATTACCAGATTTACTTTGCCTCTCTCGTATGGACGGAAAGATTTTCGTAATAAGCGGCAAGGGTAAAGAGCATTCTAATATTTATCTTTATTTTGTTACTAATATGATTTTCACGTTTGTCTGATCCCGTAATCAATGTCCGTTCTCTCTGTCTTTACTTTATGTCGTCCCTTTGTGAATTTATTTACCTCTGTTTAGTGCAAATGTAGTGATATTTACTTTCGCATAAATACTTTACTTGCCCTAATTCTCCTGCTTTTATTTGGTTTTCCTAATTGTGTGTGAAATAAATGTGTGGTAAATTGATGTGGTGGAAACTTTATTAGATATTTTTAGACAAATATGTAGAATATAATTTCCCTTCTATCTCAGTTCTGTGTACAAATCCAATGGCAAGTTGGCTTCATCACCCGTTATCGTATCTGCAAATTCGGGATTTTCCGTATTTTATGGTCGAATCTATTGAAATATACACGATTTCAATTGATTTCAAGCTGAACATTTGCTCAAAAATTAGATAGTTTAGTCTTATAATCTAGCTAATTACTTTAATGTGATTCTTATTAAAAGCTTCACATTCATGACTTAGACATGACATTTCACCTCTATAGTCTAATTTTAGAATTTGCTATTCTCTTTCTTCTCACGCGGTTCTTTCAATTCGAATTCATGGAATTCATAAATCAACTGTTGCTTTCTCCTTACGAGTTCGGCGACTTAGAATAAAGATTTGGTTTCTCGATAATCTCTGAATGGTTAGGCGAATTTTTCCTTTGAATCAACTTTTGAGCGTTGTCTTAAAGACGAAGCTTCAAGATGTATTTTTGGGGTATAAAAATGTTTAATAATCATCTCAAGCAGGGATCGAAGAATAACGGATGATGAAGGTGACTGAAATTGCGTTTGAGTGACTTCGTCGGAATTTCATTTTCTGCACAATTTTTTTGTGTGTGAAAATGAAATTTGTGCAAAAGAGACCTTTTGATAAGTGAATTGCTGTATAGTAATGGGAATAAATCACAACCGCAAATATGCCCAAAAATTCCTACTAAATGCAGTGGAAATTGAGTTCATCTGATAATGCGCTTACCTTTTTTTCCCTGTGTTGTTGTTCCACAAATTTTAGCTCATCTCCTGACTCCCTGACGGCGGACCGAAGCGATAAGTCCGGCTCGGCGGCCTCGACGTCGCCCGTAGCCCTATTCAAGTTGGTCGTGCCGCTTTTGCGCTGCGAGGTCACGGATGTTCGTGATGCCGCCGTGAACGCGCTGGGCATGATAAATCACGATGCGCTGAAGGATCTCATGGACGAGCTGGTGATTTACATACGTGAGGCGATAGATAGGAAGCAGGAGAACATGCGGCGGCGGCGTCGGCGGGACGCGTTGCGTCTGCAGCTGGTGCGCGTGCTGGAGAGGATTGCCGACAATGGGACATACGGGGTCAGTCCGTGGGTGCTAGAGCGTGAGAGTATGTCCCTCCATCCGACTTTTGTGGAGTACATCGATGGGGCAAGACTGTATCTCGAGGCGGAAATCGATAAGGAGAACACGAGCATTAGGGATGTGAAGACCCACTTTTGTGATTTCATACGAAAGCTCATCAAGAATTTCCCTCGTAAGTGATTTATGAATACCCTTTTTTCCGTTTATTCCGTTTATGGGCTCTTTCGAGGTGTGTTTCGTCGAGAGAGAGAGAGAGTAAGAGCGGTAATTTTTGAGTGGGTAATCTGAAAATATATAATCTTTCGCCCTTTTGTGCGGCAGTTGAGGTGTGCGGAACGCTTTTATCGAGGGATCTCAAGAGGAATTTATTCAACTTATTCGCCTCATGGAGTGGAGAATTCGCAAAACCTCTCGGCATATCGCATAATTCTGTATCAGCAGGAAATTCGGGAGTGGAGGAGAAACTACAGTTTAGCGCACTACAGGTAATCAATGCTATATACTTTCCATTTTCTCTGCTCTATGTGTAGTTCAACCTGACATGCCGTACAAGTTTTCCCGGAATTTTCATCTGCTTTTCTTCTCTTTTCCCAGGCCATGTCTGTCCTTCTGTGCCGTGGGTTCTGCTTCAATACACACTACTTGGCTGAGGAAGGACTTATTTATCCTTGGCTCGACATGCTCCTCGAATCCAGAGATGAGAAGGTAGGAGTGCTACACAAATTATTTACCCAAAACCCAATGCTTTTATATCGAGGGGTGGATTGACTATGAAATAATATAGATATGACAAGAGTAAATCGCTCGGAATGGAGGTAAATTGCGAATGAAAGTGAGGCACAATGAATTCACGCAATGAAGTCATTAATTTGTTTATAAAGCGCCGGGTCGAGGCGGTCTATTGGTTTTTTTTTTAGCGATATTTGAAGAGGCGCTGGCGAGAATGAAGTAATGAAGAAGTTTTAAGACGTTCAGTTTACAGAGGAAAATATGTACTTTAGTCATCAATATTTTCCAATTTCCGCTCATGAGCTTTTTCTCTATAAACAATTAATAAACATGCTTCACTTATTATATGAATTTCTCTTGAAGATTTATATTTAATTGCACTAATAGTGCTGATGTTTGTGAGGACGTTTCCGCAGAGAATTTCTCATGAAATGATGTTCATAAAAGTGGTTTCTCTGATGATGTAACTTTCAACACAGAATTGAATGTATAAAATGAAACATGTGAAATCGTTTCATGCAATAATTTGATTGTCATTGAGGAGACAAAAGGATCTCTCGGTAATTTAACATGAAGCTGCGTCAATGAGTGAGACTAAAAAGACCGAGAAGGGTTTCGTTTTCTCGAGTGGGAAAAAGTGGCAATTCTAGAAGAGATTGAGAGATAGTACCTCAATGGAATGGACAAATTAATTACAGTTTGGATCGTCGTCACGGCAATGAAAGACGCACATGAGAAAGGGTTAAACTGTGCTTCTTTTTTAATGCGAACATTTGTGAGTGAAAAGAATAGGAATTTTTCAGTCTAGCGAGAGTATTTTGCTGACTGTGAGCTTTGAAGTTTTCCTCTGTGCTTAACCGCGAACTTCGTACCTTGTTTATTGTGTCGGCTTGGAAAGCAATTTAGCCCAGCATCACTGATGCCACGGCATCTGCATTACGAGTGTTGTATGCATGGAAAGGCAGGCGCATTCTGTGTGTAGTATTTTCTCATTAATCTTACATGTTTTTCTTCTGATGGAATTGTTTTTAAGATCCGCAGTCTTGCAAACATATTCGTGTATGTAAAATTGCGGTATAAAAAGCAGAAGAAACTCCTAAACATTGCCTTCACCGCAATGTTCTGGGAGAGAATATGATTCTAGTGAACGTGTTTGCTTAGTTACATTATGTCAATAAGGATTAAATGGAGGAGCACGAAAGTGCTTTCAGGGCGCTTTCGTCTGTTTGTGATAATTATGTGAATGATTTACATACTTGAGTGACTATTTTTAGATTTACCAGCTGGCGAAAGACACTGTTGTGCTGCTATTCGAGTCCAATCCTGATATGGGTCAATTGCTGGAGTGGGCCATTGATCGCTGCTACACGGCGCTTCCTCGACAGGCAGATGCGTGCTTTCTGGCTCTTGCGGCAATCTTCAGTGCAAGGTAAGCTTATGGGTTTCATGTTCCGGCTGATGTGGCATTAAAAGTGCAGGAAGATTTCTCTTTTCGCCCACACGACACTCACATTCAGGGATTCATTGTGATATCTTGTGTGAAAAGAGAGAAGTTTTCCTTACTCTGCTCTTCTTTGCCCATTCAAACTCAAAGGATATTTTTATCCTCACAAAAGATTTATGTTTCTTCTTCCAGTCTGTAAATTTTATTCTCCATTTGCACACGACGAAATCCCTGCTATGAAAAAAAAACGACCATAAGAATTGCAATTTCAATAATGCATCAGAGTGTAATCCCTCAAAGGGGTTTTTCAACTCTCTTTCTGCGCAACATAACGCTTCAGAGAAGAACAATATCGAATTGGAGGAATCATTTCAATAATATTGCATTCTTGTTTATGTTTCCATATTTACATGGATGCAATATTTTGAAATCTTTGATGAAAATATGAGATTTCTTAAGAAGAAAGAATGCAATTCATTTTGAACCTATTTAGGCTTATCATGTTTGATTTACAGTGAAACTAAATGGATTTTTACGCAAATTCTCTATGAGAATTTTCATATAAACAACATTAAGAGCAAATGCGCATGCAATTCGAGGAGATTTCCTGGAAAATTTGGATCGTTTTCAACTCTCAGTTTGAGAAGTTATTTGAGGAATTAGGAGCTTTGGATTCGTGACAGATTCTTCGCATTGTTCAATTCGTTTATCAGACTTTGTTGACAGGATTTATGGCTATCAATTAGCTGTAATATATTATGTCTGAGACGTATAGTTTGTCTATCGAAGGAGTGTAGTTTGTGTCTTTATCTGGAGGCTGAGGAAAAACATCGCAAGTTCCTTTTGCGATGCTTTTTCACCATGCATGCTCATGTGGGCATTCATATGCGCAATATCGGGGGCAGTGGATGTGAAAAGAGTCAGTTGAATGAATTGGCAAGAAATAATCAATTACTCCAGGACAAAGAGGGAAAGAGAGACATTACTGACGTTATTGCTCAATTGTGTTATTAATGATATGGCTATTTATGTGTAGTGCGACAAAAGAGAGTCCTTTCCGGGCAAATGTTCCATGGCCATTTAATCATTTCCTCGGGAGGTTCGCATATATACACAAAAAAATTCAATACATTGAGCTTTGTGGATAAAAAAAAAGGCCGAAGAGGTGGAGAAATTTTGTATGTTTTGTTCTCGCACGCGCGTGGAAAGATATGAGAATTGGCATATTTTGAATATTTTTCTGTTATTGAACAGGTGAAGAAAGGGACAAAAGTTCCCAGTGAAATATGACGAAATCATGATGACAATTTTTCATTCTCAAATTAAGTCACGAAAACAGCAAAATCACCATAAGAGAGCGGGGCGATTTGTGTGGAGTGTGAGTTCGATCAAACTTCTGCCTATATTTTTCACACTTTTGCCGCACAGAATTGTGTGTTGAGGAAGCGATTTTCTTGTAGGCTTTTCATCGCAATCGATAGGAAAACAAGATGACAATGGACACGAAAAGAGCGTCTAATTTTTTGGCTGTTGAATGGAAAAAGGGTGGGCTTTTTTTTGGGGGCGGATATAATGTTGAAATAAAAGTAGTATAGGAGAAATGGAAAGGCGCAGACAATTGTCCATCAATCATTCATGGATCGTGTTATGGAGCTACTTTGGCGCTGTGTGGAGTTTAGGGGTTGATTGCCCATTCTTGAGAGGTTGTGGAGAATGGGGAAAATGGTGTACATGTTGTTTTCATTTGTGGAATTGAATACAGGAGAATTCAGGTCTTGATTCAGGTGAATGAATATGAGAAATATTCATTTGATTTGTATCTCTTGCATAAACATAGTTTTGGAATATGAATTTCGTTGGCTTCTGAATAAAGTTTTGCAGAGCAATTAGAGTGTACATATTTATGGGGTTTTTTGTAATTTATTCCTGTGCAATTGAAAGGTTTGTTTACGTTGGGATATTTTCAATTTTGCACCTTTTTCCTGGTCAGTTTTTTATGTGTTTTTTTCCTGCGACGTTAATTAAGATTTTGCGTGACAAGTGGTTGAGCGGCGTCAAATGACTTTCCTGCTGATTAGCTTGCAAATTTTGGTGTAAAATGTAAGGAGTGAAAAAGTTTCACATTAACCGCCGTTCTCTTTTGTCTCTGGAAAACAACAGGTGCAAAGTTGACGGTGTTTAATGTTTTTTGGGGTAGTTTGTGCAAGAAATAGAGAGAATGGAATAAAAACAAACACATTTCAGTCGCAGATGTGGTTTCCATGGAATAGAAAAGTTGATTAATCGTGGCTATTCGGGATTCGCGTGGGTGTGGAACTTAAAGTTTTATTTAGAAATCTCTCTCTTTCTCTCCCCTTCAACCTTTTGACCATTGAACTTTTGCAACACAATTCGCAGAGAGGATTAATGAAAATTGAGTTATGTAGCATTAGAAGTTGCCTGGATTCCAATTTTGTTCAATTATTTGAGCAGAACAGTGGGAATAATGTATGGTGAAGGATTGATTGTTCGCAAGTGCACTTTTTCATCCAAATTCTCGTGCTTTGGAGAGTTCACAACATCTGAGTTTCAAAATCAAATACTAACAGAAATTTTTCTCTTTCGCTGAATTTTTCGCTTTTTCATCGTTGAGATATGCAAAGATATTACGCATTTCCATTTCCGAGTAAAAAGTGTTTATCTTTTTATTCTGACGATTTTTCTTTGCTCATTGCCTCTCGTGGCAGGAAGAGAGGCGCAGAGCAAGCCACTAAATGTGTAATGCTCCATTACGTTCTGTTCTTTCTGTTTGCAGAGAATATCCCTGCGATCATTACACATCAGTCATAAATGTAACGCTGCTGATGACAGGATGCCCCAGAATTGCCGTTCACTCCACTGCCATTCAGCTACTTCAAGTGCTCGACAAGAGATTCTTCGGCACCGTCGGGCCACTGCATCCGGAGAGTGAGAAAGGTAAGTGGAGAATAATTACATAAATTCCCTATTATAACTGAACAGACACTGTGCTACATAAATTTTCACTAATTTATACAATTTGTGGTCATGAAATTTCCACTGACGGTGTTTTAAATTCAATTCTGCACACTGCAAAATAATTTCACTCCACTTTTGGGTGAAGCAAAAGGATGATTTAAACGCTGGGCGAATCTATGGATTCTCTGCATTTCATGTTCCATATGTGGTTCTTCAGTTACACGATTTTTCTCTATAAATACACTTTTATGTGAAGTGAATGAAGTGCAAATTCGAGGTATTCTGTGCTTTGGGCTCATTTCAGTCCCTACAATAGATGGATAAAGTGAGATTTGGTATTTTATTGCTATTCTCATACCCCTTAATTATTATGAAATTAAGCAATGTGATATTTAACTGAGTCCACCGAGTCACATTTGAAGTTTGGATATGATTGCGACCTAATTTTATGTGGAATACGTGACTATTTTCCTTGTGGATGTCAGTGAATTTATGTCTTTTATGAACAAATAATTAGGCAACTTTAAACCATGCATTTTTCCGTCAAGGGTTTATTTCTGCTCTAGAAGTGTTCTTGTGGGTTTTTTGGTTAAATGAAGTGAACATAAAATAAATATGAGCAGAAAATTTACTCTTCCAATGAATGTTCTTGAGAGTATTTTCTGCAATATTCATACACTTTTCTTTGGCATTGCTTAAAGAAATTCTTCTGCAATGACTTGTAGAAGGCATTTAATTGAAAAAAGTACTGCAAAGTTATTCAATACAACATTAAAACTCTCGCAATTGCTTCTTTTTGCATTCATTGTAAAAGTTTTGAAGAGCACAAATATACTTTGTGGCTTTTTCAGTACGCGTAAAGTTAATGCACATTTATTTACAACTGTAATACATTGAAAGTTTTGCTTTAAACGTTTAAACAGATAAATTTCTTGTTGCGACGTTCAATGAATTCTGTCTATATTTTATGGTTTTAACTCCAAGAAGTATTTTGTGTGTGTGTGTGTGTTTCTGTATAAATAATAGTTGTTCGGATTAGCTTGAGGGCTTTTAGCAGAAGCAATAAACCACAAGCTTTCCATTCATGTGAAGCTTCTTACATTGATTCATTTAAAGGGAAAGCAAGAAATCTCATTTCTTATCTGACACCAAATTATGCGAAATCACCCCTTGGCCAAAATAACATTTTCGTAGTATATTTTCATCACGTCTTCCAAGTCATCTAATTATAATTTCGTTCTAATTATGATGTTGAAGTCAAGAAGACGAATTTCCAATCACGTTCTGTATTTTTTAAGTTCCCAGTGGACACAATTTTCTGACGTATTATTTGCTTATGAATGACGACTGATTAGGAAAAAGTGTGGGACAGATTTAACTGAGTTTGGGTGTTAATTTAAATAGCATAATTTCTGCTTACCCTGAAATCTGTTTTGTGTTGTTGTCATCTCGTAATGAAAGCTCCTCCACTGCTCGCTTTGTCCCTTCAACTAGCTCAGAACTCGTGCTATTTGCTATGCATGAACTGTGTAATGCAATGAGAGGACTTCAATGAAATGTGACCAGCAAAGCGCACTCATCTTTCCTTGTCTCCAGAAGTTTCCCAAAGTTTCCATTGTATTGAGTTATTGCATGAAAAGTCCAAGTGCAAATGTTCGAAGATGGAGTTTACAATGAAAGAAAATATGTTGATAAACTTTCTCTTGAACCCCTTTTATATTCTCTCATTGTCAGATACTTTTATGTACATAAATTTGTTATAATAAAATAAAATTTACATTTATCAATGCTTGGAAAGTCATGCACTGAAGATGCACTCATGATGCAGAGAAACCAAGCATACAGCCATTGAATTTACTAATGTTCTCTTGTCACTAAACTCTTCTTTGAAACACTCAACACGCCTCTGCTCGTGTGGGCTTTAGGCCTATTTTATTTGATGTTCGTTGTGAGGAATCGAAGTTCGTGGGCATCAGTAAATGATTCATTTCTTGCAATGATTCGCCGTCTTGATGCTGTTGAACCGGTACTTCTAACGTATTCAGAAACTGCAAGAGGCAGAAAGAGTTGAGAGTGGCATTAAATAGACGTCCTTTTGTCACGCGGAATTTGCACAAGAGCTTATTTTTGGGATTAGGACGTGACGGGGAAAGTAAAGAATTCTACTTAATCTGCTTGTATCTGCCTAAATTCCGCATAATCACATCCTGTATCACATTTCTCATATTCTTAATTACCTGTTACCTGTGTATTAGCTTCTTGGCGATGCTGAGACACTCTCTTGAACATCCCAACGAGAGCTTTTCTGTTGTATTATTGCAATGAGTTTTTTTTTGTGTGAGTGTGCGTTTTTTGGCATTTTCCACAAATTCGTCGGAGAAAAGTGAGCAAGAAAGAGAGGAAATTAGATAGATAAATGAGTATGAAATTAAGGGCACTAAGCCACCCTCGACGTCAAGTGTAATTACACGCAATATTTCGTATGCTTTAGTGTGTAATTATTTTTTCTATATCTTTTTGGTAAACACAAGTGCTATTGACTCACCTGAAATTTTGCCCACTGACGCAGTACAGAGCGAAGTTAATACCGAAATTCGTGATGAAGAACAGCCAGCTGTAGTATTGAATAACTATCGTGGTTTTCGTTGGCGCTGTCTATGGAAGATAAGGGATGTTTTTCACACAACGTGTTTTGATGTGGAAAATGTTATTGGTCATTGTAGAGAGCATAACATAAATTTCTAACGCGAATAATTTGCATTGCAAACATTGATAATATTCGCGGTATTTTAGGTATTTGTGCAGTTTCCCAATTTCTTCGCTTTATTAAATTTCATGGGAAAATAAATAGTAACATTGTGTACGTTGAAAAACATTGTATTCACAAGTAAAAATATTTGTGAGGGTTTATTTCTACATTTATTAAATCCACTGAGGATTGTTTTATTAAAAGACTCCCTTTTCGAAATTGTAATGGGAAAAGCGTTATTTCCACCAATTTTAGGGGAATGTGAGTTAAATTGAAAGAAATGTTGGACGCAATTTGCACGCTACACGACAATTTATTCCCACTAATCTCTCGTTTTTTTTAGGATTAGAGGGCAAATTTCTTGTGTTAATTTGTAATCAACTCAATTCCCAAAAGTATTGTTTATCACGTTCAACCAGATGCAACAGAAAAAAACGTCTGGGAAAGTCGTAACAAAGATTGTAAAAACTTTAAGGACGTGAACTTCCGCAATAAACACAAACGGTTTTCAAGCAAATTTCAGTGAAACTCGTGTCAAAATCCAATTTTATAGCGCGCCCTTCGGCATGGATACTTTTGTGTATTGTTTTTGATTAGAAAAAATTCTACGGATTTTCTAGAGTTCGATGCTCTCATTAATTAGAGTGAAATCCCTCTTACCTCGATGTATGCACGGACTCTCATCACATAACTGGGTAGATTGAGACAAACGAACACTGTTGACACCATGAGGAGCATTTTGGTGACTTTAATTTGTGAATTGGCGACTCGATGCTTTGCTGGAATACAGAAGATGATTTTTTTTGACGTTGAGAGTCGTTAGACACTGTAATGATGCTGCTGGTGTATTAATTCAATTATAAAGTACACTCTCACTTGATCTCTGATGAAGCGAAACAGTGACGCTGTTGTGCCCGTTTGGGTGAATACAGTGTTGATGGTTGGAGTGGGACTTTCGGAAATCATGCAGTGAACTGCTGCCCTGTCTGTTGGGGGTGGCGAAAAAGGGGTGGAAGAGAACAAACAAGACATTAGGTACACAAGTCATGTGGAAAGTGCCAATGACTTATGGGTGTCGTAAAAATGATAGAAGGCATTTCATGAAAAATTAATTGTCGTCTTTGCAATTGCCCATAATGGCTTTATGGCAGTGGAGGATGTTATTTTGATTACTGTAATTACACATAGGTTGATATCTCTTTATGTTTGCCTAATGCATATATAATGTGGGAGAATTGTATTACCTCTTCTGAATTGTCATACTCCTTCGCACGCCTGCTACTTTCCATACAGTGAATCCCGTAAAAGAATTCAATATCACAATAGCAGTGAAAGGAACGACGAAGACAATGACGGTGTCGATGTAGTTGAAAACCGTCATGTGTCCCTAAAACAATGAGCAGAAGCATTGCTTTAAAATTTGGTTCTCTGGGGGGGAAAAAAAGAGATACAAAATCATTCTGTGCCTTTGAAATCTTCAATGTCACAGGAGTTTGCAAAAGTTCAGATTGTTCAGAAGTTTACACTCATTCGAGTTGACATAATTTCACTCACTCTTCTGTGAACCTCATGAATGAATATTTTATCCCAAAATGTTAGTCATGCGGATCAAACAGTGATTGTGACGCAAGTGTGTATGCGCTGCATATATAGATTGATAAGAATATATTCTGTGTTTCTTAAGCAAAACATAAACGTGACAGCAATGCAAATTATAAGGGCGCATGCAAGTGACACTGTTGCAGCGACAAATTCATATCGTATGCACTCGTTCGTGTGATTCTCGTTACACAGGGTATATATTTCGAATTAGTGCATACTGAGAATGAAAAGTTTATGTTTGATTTGATTAACTGCGGCTTGAATGTGATATACGATGAAATTGATGTTTGATTATGCTTTTAGTGTTGACAGAGAATAATCTGTGAGTGACATGTTATTAAATATAACAAATCATTACATTGCATATTTGAGAAGAGCGAATAAAAGAACTTAATTCCCATTCTGAATATTTCACGAAGAATTTCATGCTTGCAAAGGATTTATTTATTCACACACTCTATGTGCGCCTTTAATTAATAACGAATGAAACATTTTGTGCCCTAAGCTCTATTGAATGGGGAAAAATGATAGTGAATTCATATAAACTGGAAAATCAAACGAATGAAAAATCAATGTTATTTTGATGATGGAAAAGAAACAAGCAAATCGGATTTGTCATGCTTTTTCCAATTATTGTGATATTTCTGTATTTATCTGAAGTTATTAAAAAGCGCATCAAGCTTTAAGGATTTTATCACATGACACGTCGTGGGACTTTCGTGCGAGAATTCAGTACAATGTCTTAAACGTTGTCTATTGTATGTTTATATTAAGATTCAAGGGATTCATACAGTTTTACGTAGAAGTTGTAAGAAATGTCTTTGTATTTTAAATATTATTCTATGACATTCTAAAAGATTGTTAACATTTATATCTTTCGATGTAATAGGACTTTCTTATGAATTTCCGTTGGATTATCGTATGACATTCGGTATTTAACACACTTTAACATAAAATTTAGCACTTTTAAAGTAAGGGAATCAAAATCAATAGAAATTTATTTTTGTGGGCTACAAAGGTTAAAAGTTAAGAACCGTTGGCAAAGAAGGATCGTCTCTGCTATTATATAATTAATGTGTTGGGTCACCCCAGAAAGGTTTCGCATTATTTTTAGCTGTAAAAGTACGTGAAAATATATAGATAGAGGAACTTTCTAAAGTGTATTTGCATTGATGAGACAAAGGTTCTTTCCACCTTAGAAGGTCCGCAGATTGAAAAAGAAGCCATAAATATTAGAGAGAGATTGGAATGTTTTGAAGGGAAAGTTTTGGGAAGTCACAAAGATGAAACAATTGGTTTGGCTTGTCAGATGCAAATATTGAACTTGTCAATCAATCGAAATTGCCCTAATTTTGGGAAATAACTCAAAAATACATCAGTCGGTATTAATGATAAAGTAAATTTCACACAAAAGTCACGGGGCGAAATTTCATCAATTTGCTTTAATTAAAGCATCATTGGATTGTGCAATAAACAGATATCGAGAAATATCATCTGAATTGCAATCTGGCAGAAAATAATTATCAATATTTCAAAATATAATTTGTATTGGCAATATTTCATTTGCATTCTAAGGCGGTTTATTGAGATTTTTTTTCTCATTTTGTGTATCTTGTGTTGAAAATTAACTTGTTGATCTGTTTATTTTGTACTCTCTTCCGCTCGACAACATCTGTGTTGTCTTTCGACCCCATTATCCTCAAGTATTACGTATTAATATGCCGTGATAGTCATAAAAGAACTTAACACTGAGCGCTCATGAGAACATATTTGTGTGATCCTGTTGAGCGAATGATGGATTGGGGCAATCCGAGTCTAATAATGCCAATTTAATCTAATTTCTTGGGTGGGATCTTGTAACTTTCTCAATATTGTACATCTCTTGGTAGTTAAGCACAAGGGAATGATTGTCTCCGCCCATTTGTTCAAATCAGCATAAAGGCAAGAAGTTTCCCTGGCGAAATTGAGATGTGAAGTGTGCGATAGGGAGAATTTTGGCCCACTTGGAGAGGGATTAGAAATGATTTTCATCTGTGTGACACTTCATACATATTACATCCTGTGGATAATTTGAACTTGTCGTGATTGTGAGATGGAAATTGGAAATATTTTCTCCCTGTGCTTCATTTCCTTTTAGTGCTCCTCTGATTATCATACGAAGGGGTGTTCCGGTGGATGTTGATGAAAATTTCATTCTTAAAGCCGGAGTGTGTGTGTCTTATCACACACCGGAGGAGTGCAAATTCTGTGCGGCCACATTGAGAAGATATTGAAGGTTAAAGTGAAAAGATGCGGGGTGGGTTTAGTTTTTGGTAGGTTATGAATAAAGTTTTGCTAATCTTCACCTATAACGTGTCCTTATAGGTTTATGTGGATTAATACGTTATGATATGGGGTGAATTTCGGTATGGTGCGTGTGTGTGGGTTCCCACCGTCTAATACATCCTATTATATCATTTTCCCCTTGAGTGTGGAGCATCAACATATTGTGGATTACAACGCAAGGAGGAGAGATATGCTGTACGTTCTCATGGGCGGGATGTGTATTAGGAAAAAGGAAAGCTGATTTCTCGTGGTGTGATATATTATATTTCACTCACTTTGTATTCCTCTCGTACATCACAAATTGTGGTGTTGAGTCGTTCGGAAAATTGTGGGCTGGCAAACATAATGAATGGGGCGCTGTGAATGCCACCCAAAAGTGTCAGACCGCAGAGAACGATTTTTGCTCTCTTCACGGTGCACATTGTTTGTCTTTTTAATGGATAGAGCACAGCTATGAAGCGCTCCACTGTGAATGCCACCACAAACCACACGGAGAGGAAGCTGCACAGACCGCTTAGATATGTGAAGGTTTGGCAAAAGATGTTGCGATTGGTGAGGTTCACATCGACAAAGTTCAGCCACGATATGAAGAGTCCGATGAGGAAGCATGTATCGCTGACACCGAGAGCCGCGAGATAGTAGCTGGACGAGAGCTTTCGCAGCTTTGTCTTGCAGAACACCAGCACGGACAGCATATTGCCGATACTTCCCGTGAACACAAGGATGGGCGTGTAGTAGGTGATGAGGAAGTCGCCAATTCCTTCGGCAACACTGAGTATTGTGGATGATGGCGACTGGACAATGGTGTCATTTGCATATGACTCGTTCGTGGGGTTCAATTGGGTGGTGGTGGAGCCATAGCCGTCCGCCGCCACTGTGTACAAACTATACAATTGCCCGAGCGATGTGCCGTTATCGACGGCAATATCCATTGTTGTGGTCCAGAAGAAGGACCCCTCGTCACGGATTTGGGGCTTAATTTCGGACTGGCGAGTGGTTTTTTATCAATGTCACTCGTAATGGCGAATTATATTCATTGTCATCCACTATCATGTCACCCACTGGCCATTTCGCACAATGTTGATAAATTCTCAAATACCTCTGACAGTAATTTATGTAAATTCCATTTCAATAGCTCACTTGCCACTGGGCCTCAATGCGCACAGAACACTTATTCAAATTACATAGTTGTATTATTCGGCGAGGCTTTTTGTGCTAAGCTTTTATCACTGGGGATATTGATTTGGATTAGAGCGTCCACTGCGATATTTTCTTCACATTCAGGGGTTTTTTTTATATTCTCAGCAGCAAGCATAAATTGCAAGGGAGTAACATCACGGTTAAAATTGCTCTGCAAAAAGAGCTGTCTTAAATCACACTCATTATCCACAATTTCACTTAAGATTGAGTGAAGAAAGCCTCAAGTGGGTGTTGAAAATGCACAAATTTGTCTCAGTCGATGGATTTGTTGGGCCAGATGGTGTGAAGTATCCAATTTGGGTGTTGCGTTTGAATGGTGTCCTCGCGAAAGCCGCGACAGGACGAAAAGGGCTCGACGGGGAGCGTCTGCACTGAATCGTGGTCATAGAAAGACTGAATGAAAGTTCTGCTGGCGCACTCATGTTTACTCTTGAGGGTTGAACTGTGAGACAGTGTGAGATGCGCCTCTGCGTTGGTATTTTCCCTATTTTTCCCCAATCACTGAACTCAATGGTGATGTAGGAAAGCCAATTTGCAGAAAGTGTACGCTTTTCCACTGGGATTTTACCATGTTAAACCGGTGAAAATGAATTTGCAGTACAGATATTACCTTGCATATACGAAAAAAATGGTTTTATACCAATGATTTCGTGAAATTTCCATAGAATTAACATTTTCGCAAAAGGGATGAGAATGAATACGGCGAGCATGAGCTGAGATTTAAAAAGTGTAGATATTTATCGTGGTGCATTTGTCTGAAGCATAGCATTTTTCACGTCCACTTTCTCAGCCATTTCCAAGGCGAAGACATAATGAGGAGGAATTGCAGATGAAACTATATATGCAATGAAGATGTAAATATTTTTCCGCACGCGCTTCGCTGCAGCAGATGTATAAAGTTTGGTATGTCACGCGGTGATTTACACTCTCGAGATTCAATTAGATCTCATAAACTTGCATCTTCATTATTACTTTTATCAGTTTCTGTGTGCAAAACTTACTTCATACTTGTTCGATCAATCTTTTTTCAAACCTTGGTATCTAATAGTGGTAAATGGAGTGAAAAGTTGTCCTCAGAAATTAATTGAAAGAAAATAGACACGCAGAAGAGCAGAAGGGATCAATAAACTATGTACTTTAGGGGATGGTTTACGTAAGAATTCATTATCACATGGTTATTCCAGTGAGGTCGTGCTGTGCTGATGCACATAACGTGATACTCTTCTAATTAAAAGGTGTGCAAAGTTAATTTTGATAAAGCGACAGGTGTCTGCACTACTTTTTCTTACTTATGCATCAAGATCTTCTGCTTTTTGCGCTGAATACAGTTAACAGGAGCTTTTAAGGGCATTTTGTTGGACTTGTATGTAGGAAGTTTGGAGTAAAATTTACATAATATGTTGTAAATCGTGTGAAATTTTGCTGTAAATATTAAAAAATAATTTAATTTGATTTACTGAAGCAATTTTACTAAAGCTTCTTGAGAAGTTTGCATTTTTGAACGGGCAAATTGGAGTGAAATGATATTTTTTGGCAATTGTTCAGAAATAACATTTCAGGCAAATTGAATTGGTTAGCAAAGGATGATTGAATTTCAATTGGAACTAAGGCTGACGGGGAAGGTTAAAAGGAAAGGGGTGAAAGCGGAATTATTGATGAATTTGACACCTTTAAAGGGAAATTGCATGGAGTCTTTGATGATTTATTTGCCTCACGGATATTGGCAATTAAGAGCTTAGCGGTGATGAAATGAGTGAATAAATCAAGTCGCGTAATATTATTATTACTATAACTGTGTCGTGTGATACATTTTAGTGGTGTTTTGTCTTGTTTCAGACGAGGAACGATTGGGCACTTTGGATGCTCTCCTGAGCAATGCTTACTGCCGATCGCAGATGTTTCTCTCGAAGCAAATGGCACAATTGCGTCCCGAGCTGACGATGCCCATGTTTTCTGGTAAGAATATCACGAGTGTTTACAATCTATATTACACTATAATCGTGGCACATTGGCCTAATTGACGTCATTTAATTGAAAATTCGCCCTTGTCACTTGCACTTGTCAGAGATTACTCATCGCTTTCAAACGGCCAGAGCGGAAGTTCGAGTGTCTCTTCTGCAGTGTCTTCTGCCGTGGCTGGAGAATGTGGAACTTGTTGCCGCAAGTGTTCCGCCAGCCACACCACTGTCCTACATCATGGTAAGTGGGGATTTTGCCTTATCAGAAGGAGGACTGATTTTGTGCGCCACAGAAAAATTTCAGTTGTGGAAGAATGGAGAAAAATCTTGGTTAAGCGATATTTGATTTTCAATTCTGTGGCGACATTGAGGAGAAAATGTAGGAGTTTGGCGGATATTAAACCGCGCGGTGTGCTTCAAATATTTCTATTTATAATGCGATTGGCTTTCAGTACTATCCGGATACTGGCAATAAAGGACGTCGTGAAGGTTCGGGATCCACTGAAGCCACAGAGATGATATTGAATAATCTGTTCTACATCACAGTGAAGGTATTGTGCAGATTGGAATATCTTATCATAAATTATGTGTCACAAGCGTTAATTCCTCTGATAATAATCAACATATTAAATTGCACAAACTGGGAGATTAATGGAAAGGGAATTAAGATGCCTGAGTACCGAAATTCATGCATTGAATTTAATTATCTTCACCATTGTCTTGACATATTAACACAATTATGTCACCTGAGAAGGCTTAATAGGGTGTGAATAGGTGAAAATCGCGGCGAGAGAAATTCATTAGAAGAATATTTGTAATTAATTTTTTTTTCTCAACTTTCACGGAATTTTGAATTTAAAATAAACTTTGCTGACATTCTTGCGATTTCTCATATTATTCTTCTTTTCTGTGCCACTGCCAAAATTGAGGGTGAAAAGCTTTTTCTCGTTTCTCGCTCTTCGCTTTTTCCGGAAGACACAGAGTGTATGAGTGTGCAAAAGTTTGGCTTTTTTGCCTGTCAGCTGATTTAAATTTGGGCATTGTAACAAATTCATTTCAAAATTTCAGCCCCTGTGAAATACTTTTTACCCAGTTGAGAGTTGGAGAAATTACATTAATGCTTTCTTGTGGATTAAAGGGTGTGAAATTTTAATTTTCCTGCCGACAAGAGCGGTAATATTTTAATGACTTGGGATTATGTAAAAGATTACTTGTGTGAGATTGCGAATTGAGGCTTTTGCGGAGATAGTTTGGAGATTCTAAATTGTGTAACTTTTTAATAAGAAACAATGTTGACGCTATCGTGTTACGGAATCTTTGACTCCCTTTTAGGCATTTTCGCCTGTGATAAGACCTTTGCTCTGTGATTGCTGAAGGGGAAGAAGTTGCCCATAAAACACCCACGAAGAAGTTGGAAGATATGGAATTAAAAAATTGTTGAGTGCGTGGTTGTGAAAAATTGAATGACCGAGAAAAAAAGAAATATTTTCCATTCCTTTATCCTTGCTCAAATAAGATTGCGGCATGTTTTTTCTTCTCTCCTCTTCTTCCATCGCTTCGGTGGTTTGAGATTCAACGACAGAGTGTTTAATTTTCTCAAACCTAATATCCTATTGAATTAGAAATGTGTTCAAGTTCAATCCCAGCAGAATGAAATATTTATAGCCTGAATTGAAGAGGGACAAAATCGAAAAGAAGTGAATCTCACAAGTAGTTGAAGTGCGGGTGTTTCTCAATTCTGTCTCTGCATTATATTATACATTTAAGTGTTCTTTTGGGTTATTGAATATTTCACGGTATAAAAGGACACTTATTGAATGTGAGATCAATAAGAAAAGGTCGTCGAAAGTAGCGTGTTTCTTTCTCCGCCAATAATTTTTCATCTCTCTTTATTCACATAAAAATCTGTTATTAAAAATTTTCTTGCTTGTATAATTGGGAGAATATTGTAACTAAAATATGCATTTCCAATTATTTTAAATGATGAAAATGTTGTAAAATTTTCATTACTCTTTGCCGAAGACTTTGCCTAAATTTCCTGTGGTTCTGTGAAAATCCACTGAAGACTGTTGATGCATTTTATGGCATATTGGCTGCTTGGTGTTGTGGAAAATAGTGGGAGTTGAAAGTAATTTTCAACTTTGATAGTCTAGAGCCAAATGCAATTTTATTGCATACATATTTTAAGTATAAAGGAAGAAAATTACATCTTGCCGAGCTCTGACGAGGTAGAAAAGCTTTTGGGGGCGTTTTTTCTTCATATTCTCTTCGTTATCCTGGATTGGAATCTCAAATGTAATTAGATATTTCGAGGAAGCATTCCAGGTTTTATCGACTCTACATATTTCCAGCGCAAGTCTTGGAATTCTGCCATTAATTGCTTTGTCTTTTGAAGATGAAAAGCAAGAATTTTTCAGTCTACTTGCCAAGTGTTCAAGATGTGTAATATTTTTTTTTCCTGGAAATATAAGTCTCTTTTAACCCTCAAAAGTGCTGGGAAAGATTGTAAGCTTAGCCGGCAAGTGTGATGCGATTGTCGCTGCTCTCTTCGCGAGGGTTGAAAGCGCGACTTGTTGTGATGTATGAAAATGCGAGAGAATGCTTTGTCATTGTTGTCATTCCAATACTGATTTAATTTACTCCAGCACTTTACCGTCTTCTTCAGTTTGCAGATTCGCACTCGAGAGACATTGAGGAGCTTTGGGGCACGCTGTGCCAATTCTGGCAGAATAATCTCAAAGTGATTCTACGATATCTGGTTATCATCTCAGGCATGGCGCCAACGGAACTTCTGCCATACGTGAGTATTGGATTTCAGTGAAGAAAAAAAAAGTGAAAAGATTCGTCGTCTGCCGATGCTAATTGAAAAATTACTACGCCAGGCAAAGAGGGTGGCTCTCTATTTGGCCAGAACGTGCCCCAATCGGCTGCTCGATGAGCTAATGGCAGAATTGCAAATTGTGGAAACACTTAATTGCCTCATCGAGCGCACTGAAACACCCCCGTTTTATCGATTGACCAGCATGAGGAAGGCATCGAGTCACTCAGACGGTAAAATATTGTGGCTTGTGTGAAGAATGCGTGTTTGATTTGCACATGTGATCCATTGGGATGATTTTTGCTAATCCGAAGTAATTTTTTTTCCGCCACTTCAGGCCAAGCGACAGGCGCTAATGACGCGCGCTTGCAGGAATTGGCCGTGGAGAAGGGGACAATCCACACGAAGCGCCACAGTGGAGAGGATCCAATTAAGACAGGGTGAGTTTGTGCGAAATACAAGAAATTGCCACTGCGAATGCTGTTGATTGATGTTCTTTAATTGTTCAACTTGCAGAACTTGCAAATCCGACAGCGGCCTGAGATCCTTCTCCACGGGCTACAGACCGCCGCGAGGCAGTGACAAGATCCGTGCTGCATCGGGACCGTCAATTCTGCCCAGGCCAGAAGATGTTATCCCAAATGAACCAGAGGTATGTGAAATTACTCCACACAACATCCCACGCGTGCTTCTGCTGAGTGAGAGATTAAGCATTAAATTTTCATTCCAAGCAACGCAAAGCGCAATTCATCACTTAAATTTTAAACCCCAGAATGAGAAATCTTGCAAATCTCTCTCTTCTCTCTCTCTCTCTCTCGTCATTCCATATAAATTTATTGCGAAATGAGGGCAAGGAGAGAGGCAATTTTTTTTCTGCTTCTCCACAAAAGAAGATTACGACGGGTAAATTGAAAGACTATTTGTTCTTCTCCTGTCTTCCATTCTTATCTGGTGAGGCACGCATTTATCTACAGATACCTGTTTATATTTTCATATATAATTCACGTATAAATTCCTCAAAGTCATGGTTTTTCAATATTGAATGCGATATGAAGAAGAAAAACTCAACTTGGCCTTCTGCCTATGTTAACTGTTGCAATGGAAAAATTGTTTCTAAGCTGAAGTTGTGAATATTTTGAGATAAACAGGAAGAAGATAAGTTTTGACGTGCGTGTGTCAGATAAATTGGCTTAGAAATAGCCCCAGAACGTCAATATAGAGCTCCCAATGCGATATTACCACTAACTTTGCTTCAATTTTATCACATGCAAAATCGTGAGTGCTTAAAGGGGCAAAATATTTAATTGTTTCTGTAATAACTGCAATCAAAACACAAAAATCTTCTACACTTTTTTGATTAGAATTCGTGAAGAGAATTTTAATGACGATTTCAGAGAAAATTGGGACAATTGTGTTTGCTTTCGAATGGTTAAAGATTCGAATATTGCAACACATTTACATTACCCGTGCTTTTCAATTTAATTCAACCGACATGGGAAACCTAAATCTTCTCTGCATTTTGATTCCCTTGCGCCCTTTTAGCTCGTTAAGTGGCTTTTTTGCATCACTAAAGCACTTTTCCCTTTTATTGTGGACTTTTCTCATTTGCCCTGTAAATGGATGTCGCCGCATGTTTATATTGCAGTTGACACAGGATGAGGGATTCGAGCTGAGATCGAGTGCCGCTCCGACTGCGCCTCATCCGCTGCCCATGCCCGAGTATGGCGGCTATTTTGCGCCGCTGACGGAGTTTTTGCCGGACATGAGCTTGCCTATTAGTGGCTTTCATCGCTGCAACGTGGCGGTGATGCTCTTGACAGACATCGTCGTTGATGGCATTCCCAGCATTGATTGGACACTGCATATTCCGCTGATGATGCACATTCTCTTCCTCGGACTCGACCATACGCGGCCCATTGTCAGGGATCACTGCAAGCAGCTGCTGCTGAATTTGCTCGTGGTGTTGGCCGAGCACAGTGACCACTTGAGTGTGGCGCGGATTCTGCTGAACAGTGAAACTGTGCGACTCGGACTGGGAATTACTGTGCCAACTTTGCCGGTGATTCTGCACAACTTCACTGAACCGGATCAGGAATTCGACAGTTATCTGTTTGGGCCGCTGGTGCCGCCTGTGGGTGTTCCAGCGGTGCTGCCGAGTGGCGGAGCGCCGCCGGAGAACTACGAAGTGCCGCTGATTGTGACAGAGGAGAATGCTCCGCCCCAGCCGGGCCCATCAATGCCCACGGCTCACGTGATCAAGAGTCTTGTGCACTTCTTGTCGCGTGGCTCATGCCAGCCGTTGTGGAACTATGAGGACATCACCGCGAAATTGTGGACTATTAAGTCAGCGGAACAGCTCACGTGCTTCCTGCATCACATACTCAAAGTCTTCTCGGACAGCTATCCATTGGCACGGATATCCGAGCGATGGGCACAAACTGCTCTGCAACTTGGCCTTAGTTGCTCCTCACGCCACTACGCTGGCAGGAGTCTTCAGGCGTTCCGCGCTCTCAATGTGCCCATCAATTCACGCATGCTGTCTGACATTCTATCACGCCTGGTGGAAACTGTGGCGGAACAGGGCGAGGATATGCAGGTAAACAGCAATACATCAGTGTGTTGAATATTGAAGTTATTTCTCAGAAGAAATTTCCCATGAGCCCTCAAACTTAAAGACGTGATATTCGATGCAATATCAATACCAAAGACTCTCTCATTGCCAATTCTGAAGTCTCCTGAGCCGTGGCTCTGAGGGTGAGGCGAAATAGTGTGTATATTGGAGGGAAAACAAGCAGTAATCTATGGCTGTTGCCACTGAATTTGGCGCACACTACATTATACACCTTAAAGTGTATCGCAGGGACAAATTTAAGGGAGCATTAGAGATATTTTTACGAGTTTATTTTGTGCTTCTTTGCGATACTGCAGCCAAAGCAATTACTGTAAGCGCTTTTGGAGGGAAGAAAAATCGATATATACTCATCGAGACATGGATTTGCGTATGCTATAATTTTCAATTTGCATAAATTGCCGCTCGACAAGCGGGGTTTTGTGTGATGTTACAAAAGCCACTACAGAGAATTCCCTTTTGCTGCAACTTGCTGTAAATCAAGAGATATGCAATGCAATTAATAATATCTTGTATATCGATTCCTAAAAGGGTTACGTGACTGAATTGCTGCTGACTTTGGAAGCTGCTGTGGACAGTTTAGATTCTGACTTCAGACCACTGGACGTGATGAAGGATATTTTCAAGAGTACGCCCAACCTGAACAACAAGGATGGCACCAATATTGCAGCAGGTGGTTAGCTAATATTAATCAAGTACCTTTTGAATGGTCATTTAATGCTGGGTGCTTTGCTCTGGGGGATATTTTACACACATAGGAAAGAAGTCTCCCTCGGGCGTTCCTGGCTCACCGCTGACCACAAACTACTCGGTAAACCAGGGCCACACGAGAAGCACGAGTTATTCAGTGTCTTATTGCACACGTAAAACTTCATCGTCGCCCAACGATAAGCAGGGTGAGTGGGTTTTGAGTGGTGGAACTTGAGCTTTTTAATTAAATGCGACATAAATTATCACTCCAACCACCCACAATTTGCGGGTGTGTGTGTTTGTGTGTGAGAGGAGTTGGAAGGTGTTTGTTGCATGTTCTTGGTCGGGTGTGTGTATTTTTGCATTTAGCAGAGTGCACACTTGAAAGCGAAACTTGTTATTTTCAGTGGAGCTGAGAAACAGAGCAGCTGGTCTTGAGATGGAGCGAAGTGGTGGGAAATTCGGTTCATCCCTATCGAGATCAAGAAGTGCCCAAAGTTTGAAACATCTTGGAGATACTGGGACGCAAGTGAGTAAACTTTTTCCATATGTACACCTAAGTTGGACACTTGTGCGATGAGAGAGGCGAAGAAAAGGGGGGGAATGTAATATGAGTAGCACTTTCGGGACATTCTCTTATGATTGATGAGAGTTTCTCAACACTTTTATTTTTCTTTGATCTCCTCCACTCTTCGCCAGGATGATAAAATGACAATTTTGGCTCAACTATTCTGGCTGGCAGTGTCACTGCTCGAGAGTGACTATGAGCACGAATTCCTGCTGGCACTGCGTCTCCTCAGTCGTGTGCTTCATCGTTTGCCACTCGATCGCCCGGATGCACGTGACAAAGTCGAGAAGCTGCAGACACAGCTCAAGTGGACGGGCTATCCAGGTGTGCATGCTCTACTGTTAAAGGGATGCACTCACTCCTCCACCTACGAGCAGACCATCTCCGTCCTCTCGCAGTTCTCTCCGCTGCTCAGTCTGCCCGTGTGCGATCCCACGCAAAGCTGCGCTTTCCCGCTCAACGTCATCGCCTTGCTGCCCTACATGCTGCTCCACTACGAGGACGCCAATGAAGTGTGCGTCCGGAGCGCAGAGAATATCGCTCAGGTATGCTGAATATTTGCATACTTTCCAATTCCACCAACGAAATTATTTATAGATGTGGTTTAATGAACCACCGTTTGACGGAATTAATTATTTGTGGCAAAAAGAGAAGTCAAATCACGGATTCCTGACGTACATGGATGCAAATAGTGTGAAAAGTTTCCCATTTCGCACTATATCCAAACAAATTATTCACTGCTTTTACGTAACAACACTATCGTGTTTTTTTGCAGTGAGATTTGCGCGAAAGTTGAGTTGTTATTCGCATTCTGCACTTTTGGGGCACAATTTTGTAGTGCAGACTATTTATTTTTAAGTAACTGAAGAAGAATAAGGCGGGGCGTCAAAAGGGGCGTGTCGCTCATGTGGGCGGGGTTAAGAACCTCAACAGAAGAGAACAATAGAGAAATATGGTGTTATTCCCACGACAAAGTCGACAAAAAGCACATTTATTACTTCATATTTAACTCTTTATGATTCGGAACTTGTAAATGAGCTTCCCATGTTATGAATTCCATTGTGCAGGAGAGAGAATATGAGAATCATAAAATATGTCAGCCAGAGAGTGTGACGAAGTGTTGAGCGGAGCGAATGGAGAAAAAAAAAGTCCATTGAAAGTTTCCGTGAATGAGTGGGTGAATAAAAACGAGAAACGTTCGTAATTTGCAGGTTTCATCGGAATTGGGGTCGAAATTGGAGAATCTCGGCACGGTGATGATTCTGTACAGTCGTAAAACATTCAGCAAGGAGTCATTCCAGTGGACAAAATGCGTTGTAAAATATTTATATGACACTTATGCGCATATGGGTGAGTGTGAAATCCAATTTAAATTGCATCATGAATAGATTATAGTGTGAAATCATTCTCATTTTCCCACATTCAAGTTCGTGCCTTTTCTCTTTTTGGCTGCTTTATTGCCAGCATTTGTAGCAATTTATGTGTAAATTTGACCGTATCGCGCTACTAAATGTGTTCTTGCAGGACTCCACATGCTGGCATTCCTAATTGAGGTACTGGAGAAAGGCTGGCAACAAGTGCAATTGCAAGTGCTGAGTGTCCTCCACTGCATGCTACACTATATTGATCTATCGTCAGTTCAGGCCCAACCAATAAGTGCGGATTTGCTGCGAGTTGTCGCCAAATATTTGGATGTGAGTATTGTGAAGTAATGAACGCGTGTTCGGACTGCTTCAATGGGTGATTGTGGCGTGTGAAATGTCGGTAAATTGCAGAGCGCGCACTGGAAGGAGGCGATGAAAATTCTGAAATTGGTGGTTACACGGAGTTCCAGCCTTCAGGTGGTGCCGCAAGGACCGCCCGAGAACAAATCGTCGTCCTTCTTCATGCACAGCAGCTACAGCGACAGCGAAGTGTTCTACAAGAAAGAATTGGCGGGCAGAACGATGGATTTCACGTTCGATGTGTCGCAAACGCCCCTCATTGGGCGGCGGATTCTGCTGAAATCTGACTCGGACAGCGTTCAGTCGGCTTCTCAGGCGATGCAGAAGAATGGGCAGCAAAATGTTGGCTATTTGGTTCACGCCGGAACTCCAAATTCGCCGAGACGCAGCGCGAGTCTCTCGCCAGCGGACACAATTCCGCTGAGCGGCTGGAAGCGTCCGTGGATGTCACAGGGACGCGTGCGTGAGTGCCTAGTGAATCTCCTGACCACGTGTGGACAGCGTGTTGGCCTACCGAAGAGTCCATCGGTAAGTTTTCCTCACGCGCAATTCGATTCACTTGTTTATCTTGGCATGAAATTTATTGTGACTTGTGAGCGACGAAATAACAATTTAGGGATTCTTGTAAATAGGTTATTTTTTATGGTTTTTGTTCACATTCAACTAATTTTTGTATATTCCTCTTATTCAAGGACGATATCATAAGTTCTCTCTTTTCAAAGGTAATTTTTACCCCTTGTGATGAAGTAAAATCCAGCACATTTCACATCTACACCATATTGTATGTACACTAAAGAAGCACTTTTTAATGGAAAAGGGTATAAATTAGCACACAAAATGACGCGTATACTAGAGTCTGTAGCAATTAGAGGATTTCACACCCATCAAGATCAGACGTGAAGAAATCTGCGTCCTTTTATGCGAAGACAGATATAAAGAGTAATCACATATAATTGCTAAACTGCACAGATTCTCAATTAAATATACCATGTGTGCAGTAAACATAAAATTTTTATCACAGAAATTTAGTTGTTGGAATCTTAAATCAATATTGATATATGAAATTGTGTGCGTGGCGCTAAAATTAACAATGAAACTACACGTATAAATTTCACACCGAAAAATAATCCTTCCTGAACATATTTTGCCCCATATATTTTTATTTTAATGCAACTGTACAATTCTGGGTATACTTTTAATACGTTTATAACGCTTCACATTCTGTAATGTAATTAAATTGCACGGTGCTGCAAAACTCTCTTAGCAATGCTAGAGATTATATTTCATGGAAAGCGAAATAATTCTGTTATTGTGAATCCACTTATAATTTTCCTCACTTGCACAACTCCCAAATTGCTATTGCATGTTGCAGGACTTCTGAAATGTACAGTGTCATTGATAATAGTGTGTTGGGATAAGTGAAATTACACTCTGGCTCACATTCACTTCCGCTATTGAAGTTCAAAGAGAGCTTTTGACTATTCTTTCACATGCCTTGTCGCTGTGTCAATGGAATATTTCCGAGAATTGTATTTCCAGAGGGATTTTTCAGTGTGTATTACCGATTTTGTGCTTCTTTAGGTCATCTTCAGTCAGTCCTCGGACTTGATGGAGCGCCAATCCTCGGCTGCATCGAGCACGGACGAGACTTCTGGTCCACAGCAGGATTTGAGCGGTGGTTCTCGTCGGGACGATGGTCAACCGGACTTCGGGGTGTTCAAAGACTTCGACTTCCTGGAGTACGAGAGTGAGAGCATCGAGGGTGAGTCGACGGACAATTTCAACTGGGGTGTCCGTCGAAGGCCTCTGTCTGAGGGCGACAGTGAGCCTCTGACTAGTTCCAAGCCACATTCCGTCGTGGAAGAGAGTCTGAGCGAGAAGACGCCTCTGCCGCGAAGAAAGCGCCATCCGGCTGACGATTCCTCGGACGAGGAAGTCGAGTCGGAGTCTCCGCTGGATGAGGATCAGCGTCCGCTGTTCACCAAGCCCTTCCTGAGTGGTCCACCGACGTCCTTAAGCCTGCGAGAGCAGCGACAGCGGCGCGATTCTGTGTCCAGGAGTGACACGAGTGGGTCAAGTGCTGGAGATTTGGGCGATATTACGCCCTGCAACGCTTCACCACACTTGCCGGGCTTGATTTCCTTCCGGGCGCCGATTCGCGATGATGGCGAGGAGGCGTGGCGCCAGCAGATGCAAGCGTTGCTGGTCAATCAGCCGTCAGGACACGCTCCTGAACTCCTGCACCAGCTGTATTTGCTGCTGAGAGAGCTCACCAACAAGACCATCAGCATCTCGAAGGAATCCCTGAGATTCTTCACGGGCATTGGCCAGCAGATGGGCAGCAGGATCTCAGTGATGATGGATCTGCTGGTGTCCAAGGGACAGCCGCCGCGAGTGTGGCATCATCAAGGCATTGTGACGACGCCAAGACTGTTTGAAACCCTCCGATTTGGTGTTCTGGAAGTTCAGGAGCACCTCGAGACGTTCTTCGACCGCAAGGATCATGTGCTTGAGGTGAGTTCAATTGAGCCGCTGAGATTGTGTTCTCTGTTGCATGCGCTAATTTGACTGTTGCAGTGCCTGGACTCAGTGAAGACATCATGCAAATTAGCTCTCTTTGGTGATATTGATCTGCAAGTGGAAAGTCCCGGAGCGGCTGGATTGTCATTTGATCCGGGCACGGCGGAGATACTCATTGATCTGGGACGTGGCCTGTATAAGCTCATGTTTCAACTACTTCTGCTAATTGAATCGAATAACAAGATTCTCGTCAGTATTGTGCAGAATTTGCGACAGAATGAGAAGGTGAAATGTTGAAAATATCCTCTGTCAATTTCATAGTTGAATAGCAAAGCGAAATGTGCAATCTTTCAGATGCACGACTTCTCAAAGACCCTGGCAATCATTCGTGGAACACTTTTGCGCTGCATGGACGACACGGAAATGGATTCTCTGGATACATCAACGTCTACTGAGGGTGAAAATACACCCACACCGTCACCAAGTGTCCCAATGACGAATGCTGAGTTCGAGAATGTCGCCGTGGAGTTGATTGAGAGTCAACGGTGGTCAGCGGCTCTGGCTCATGTGCGCCAACATCGGCAACTCACGGCAAATGCGCCGCCAACGTCTCCGGGCGGCGAAGTATCGCTGAAGCTGTGCCATCACGAGAGTTGCTCAGCGCCCGACGATGTTTCCCTCCTGATGAATATCTACTCGCAGAGACTGACCAGAGATCGCCAAGGTGAGTGGATTTATTGAGATTCATTGCTTTTCATCGGCTATGATAAATTGCTAGATTGAACTTCTCTTTTGGGCAATCTTGCTTCTTATCGACATTCATACGTCTGGTTAAATGAATGTGAAGTATCTCCATCAGTTATGAAGGGAATTTTCTCATTTTAAGCTGTGTAAATTTACCTTTGCAGATATGAGAGTGTATTTTAGATTAATTTTACGTCCTTTGGAGGCTTAAATCGACATTTTCTGGTGTGTTTTTTCCTTCAGATCAGGAATGCTACCAACATAAATTCTAACGTTGAAGAGCATTAAGAGGCATTCAACCTTATTATTATCGTGATTACATGCCTTTATGCGTAATCAAAAGTGGGTTTATGCTCACATCATACATTTTATAACTGAAAGTTTCACTCCATATCTGTATAGTTGAGTTTATATATTTATAAATATTCGTGTGAATGTGCGGCTTTAAGCTCCCCAAAATCCGATTAACATATTGTGTATTCTTTCCCTCTCTTTTGGGCAATGCGAACGGTGTAGACGTCTACATAATTTCACGAGCGGAAAATGAACTCAGTGATACGTATACGATTTTAATGGAAAATCTCTATCATGTCTCATCGGCGCTGAATGCGATGGAGCTCACGCTGAAGAATAGCTCATCAGGGTCGTCGTCGGGCGGCGGCAGTGGCGGCGGCGGTGGGGGCGCATCAAAGGACACAGTGGATATTATAACGACACTCTAGAAGTGGGAAAGGGCACCCAAGAGGCGCACGGTGCGGAGGCGGAGGCGCAAGCGGCGATGCCTTAATCTCAAACACCCGCAAAAGTGTCTAATTCCATTTCGGAGATTCTCAGACTTGCACGACGATGAATGATAAACTTTTTTAATTACTGCTACACTCTCTTAGTGGATGGTTTTGCCTGTGTGCTAATGATGTCAGGAGGTGAGTTTTTATTTCAATTTTATGTCTTTCGGTATTCCTAAGTTATGAATTTTTTTTATTGCTCTGAACTGCGTGAATAGGAATCTAAGTAGTGTAGTATATATAGAGAGAGAGACAATGTGTAATGAAATAAAGTATTTCTTAAAGACAACACGTGCGTCGGTAGCTTTCAATTAAGGAGGTTTAGTCTGTGCTGGGCTTTGCCGGATTTTCTCTGGGAGACACACTGCAAATCCACTCCATTTGCCTCTTCTGCGTGGCGGAAGTTGAGCGCAGTTGAGGACAGAAATAAGGTGGAAGAGGCAAACATGACGGGATTTTCCCTCAGATGTTCTATTTTCACCTCTCCTTGGGGCGGTTTTTGTGTGCGCTCAGCCACAAAAAGTGAGTGCGATGGGCTTGAGAGATGGATTTCTAAACATTTCTGCTGGAACTTTAATTTCCTGCAGGGAAGAGCGGGAAGAGTGGCATTAATAAATGGGGGGTAAGATGTCTTCGGAATTCCATTAATTTGCTCACCTATTCCCATCTTTTTCACATGCTCACCCCAGCAATCCGGAGCGCGCGCTAGAATCGGTGGGTGGGTGGATGGAGTGGAAAACAAGTGAGAAGCGAGGAGAAAAGACGATGAAAGGTTTTCTCGATGGTACATGAATTTTGGAAAAAATTATGAGGTGAGAAGAGGAAAAACAAGTGGGTGTAAATTTGAGGAATAAAATCATCTTCAATCTTCAATTTACTAGCTTATGTAAATTGTGTGTATCTTCTTTGAGGGCTATTCTAGGCAAACACTGAATATAAATGATGTTCTCCATTTATTGATGATGAATTGTGACAAGAATGCGAGGATAACGTGACGCTAAAGTGCGTGATAAGTCGCTCACTTTGTGTGTGTGTGTATGTTGAGATTCTAGTGAATTGTGAATGCAGTCGAATTCCATTTTTGGCGAATGTTCGTGCAGCTTGAGAAGGTTGAAATAAGACATAATATCGAGCTTTACGAGGTCGTTTTGTACGACAGTGAAGAAGTCGAAGAAGTCACTGTTCAGTGTTTATCTGTGCTTTTTCGGCAAATTTGCGGTAAAACACAAAATCTGTGAATTCAAGGTTTGCGGCTGAGAATGCAATCTGTGCCATGTGCTTCACAGCTCACCTGACAATCCATAAATATTTACATTCACCAGCAGAGAGTGGAGAGAATCGCGTTTATTTTCCCCTACACGCAGAAAACAACCGTCACTTTCTCAGGATCGCAGTTAATATTTTTTGCGGGCACGCAAAAACGATGCTCACGAAGAAAAGAGCTTTTCACTGAAGAATTCTAGCAGATTCTCTCGACTCTTTGGCAGTTGTTGGGGTGGAAAAACGGCGCAGTTTCCGTGGAAAACAATCCCTCACAATGGGGGTATTGTGGAAGTTTGTGCAATAAAAGCCTTTAAACAACTGTTGGAATATTAGCGTCATTTCCTATAGAAAACATACTCAATTTGCTATCGTTTGGCTGCGCATTGTTATTCTCTAATCGGGTTACATAATGAGGAAGCAATTGATATGTGTAATTCCTCGGGACAATCGCGCCTGGAGCTTCATCTTAATTACCCCAATTAAATATTGCCTCGTGCCTTCCTTGCGACCGGGCATGTTTATGTGAATCTCTGTGGAAACGAATTCGCCCTCTTGTTAGTGGCGATGAGTGTGCAGAAAGAGAATTCAGCAGGAGGCGATAAATTAAATGTCTCGAAATTACATATATATTTTCCTCCTATGTCTTCCCATTAAAGGTGAAATATTTATCATGGCCGAACCTCTCAAACATTCAATTGACTCGGGCATCTGCAGAATGTGTATGTGCGGATACCCTTTTGCAGAGTGGGCGGAATGTATTCCGCCTGCGGCTCTGCATTCACCTCACGTTTTAAAGGTGTACAACACATGCTTCCTGCGAGGCCTTCGGGGGCTGGTGTTGTCTCAAGGGTGCACCTCGCCTGTGCCACTCGCCTGCACAGCTACACGATTATCGTTTTATGGCGGAGACGCACACAGTTGCAAAATCACTTTTTTTTTCTTCCTCACTCGCCCCGCAAAAGCTTAAGTTGGAAAATATTGTCTCAGCATTACATGTTTGCCATATGAAAAATTGTCCGTTTTGAATCAAATATGGAGATAGAATGTTAGGGAGATTTATGTAAGCACAGCCATTGAATTAATCAGTGGGTGAAGAGGGATGCTAAAGTTTTCTCTTAAAGAGCTTTGACTGCAGCTTTTGGCTATTTCCCATTCCTGAATCAATATAACTTTCTATCTATATTTATATTGATGCTACGGTTGTTTGAATTTCAATCAATTCAACCACCGTGCATTAACTTTGACTGTTTGAACAGCACATTCGATGAATTCTCAGCATTTCACAAATTGCAATATGCCAATCAGTGATTACACAATTCGGATCATGTCGAGGTACAAATCCAAGTGATTCTAAGACTTCTGTTTCAGTTAATATCGCAGCCAAATGGACGGCTAAATGGCGATATTGTACGAAATTTAGAATAAAGTGATTCCAAGGCTTTGTGACAGAGAAAGATTCATAGTCAAACATGAGAAAGCTTTTTCATATATTAGGAAAGGTCCTTAATTCCTCATAATCAGTAGAGCGAAAGCACGAGTGAAATGCAGAAGTTGACTTCAAAGCAGATGGAAATAATAAATAAAAGGCATTCTTAATTACTTGATGCAAAATCATGAAATATGTACAATTCTCGAGATTATTGCTGTTTGAGTAAAACTTTTATCCTCTCACTTAGGATAAATATTTCTGTGTCATTCTTCATTGCAAAAAGCTCGTGAAATTCCTGGAATAGCTCAGAAGGGTGAAACTATTAAAGCTACAACAAAAAAAAATCCTTTGTATAAGGAAATTATTTAATTACCATGGCATTAAATTGTTCCCAAGTTTATTCCATGCTTTGCTTTATAAATATTCATGTGACTTATTGCTTACATAAATTGTACACTAAATGAACAACACGCTGTTCATAATCGTAATTCTGATAAATTTCTGGGAATTTCTCTGACATTGAAGTGCTAAAGGATGGGCTGAAAGTGCGTATTTAGTGCTGTCACATCGATTTGGCTGTGGCTTTAACCTGAATCACGTGCGCCAGACGCTACATATAGTTGGAAATTGATACTCTATAGATGTCACATAAATTCACACAGTTCAATGTATCTCAAAGTGCACTGAATGTGGCGGCGGAATAATGGCTTTCTGGGGTTTTCACTTGAATTCTGCTGTGACGGAACGGAAATTTGTCCAGTGGAAAAATGATGTTGCAGCACTAGAGGCCTTTAGATGCGTTATTTGCTACACCCGAACTGTATTTTATCGCACTACAATAACTGTGCGCACACAAATAAAAAAAACACACTAATAGCTGATGAAATTTCCACCTGTGCGAAATGTATTTGTAATCGCAAATGAAATGAAAACAATAACACGGACTTTTGGGGCCTGTTTGTGTGTGTCATTTGGGAAATTTCGTGAAAATCACTGTGCCAGATTCCTCAACATGTTGCGTGATTGTGGATATCTCTTTTATGTACAACTCCGCCCAACAATCTGTGCTCGTTGGGGATGTGGCAAAGGCATAAGATTCATTGCCTCGAGGAACAAATGGTCGATGAAATTCTTAAATTTTATAGCGTGCCCATTACTTGCTACACTGTCGCTGGAAATTGTCTTACATTTCGTTCTTCGTCTTCAGTTGAGCTTTTTCAGTGGAAAAAGAACTGCCTGAAAGCTCTCTCTCTCTCTCTTTCTGCAATGGACAAATTGTATTATCAATATAATGGCAATGAAACAATTTATCCTCCAGTCACAAACTCTCTATTTAATTGATCTTCCAGCAAATAATCTCAGCAAATTTGCAGTAGAAAGCTCTTCGATCAGGAAAGGAGTTCGAGGAATTGTGCCAAGAATCATCTTTTCGTCTGACGACAAGTGGGTAAATATTTTCGAATAATTTCTCGAGATGATGCTGTAAAGATTGGAAAGCTGGATGTGTAAATATCCGGTCAAATAACTTATGATGTGAAAAATGTATTTTATTCTGCCATGAAAATATCTCATTGAAAGCTCTCTTTAAGCATTTTCCACACCCTATCGATTGTGTGTGGACTCGAAATTCTTGTGTCAATGAAATTCAGTTTCTGTTCACGACAATTTTTCCATAGGCAGAGAATTCTCGGAATTATTGATTTCGATTTACTTACATATGTACATATTGTGCGTATCAATTTATGGGGGGAAGGGGGGGTCCAAATGATGGTCACATTCTGAGCAATCGAAGCGGAAGAAGCTGAATTTCCCTCCCGCCGTCCATCAATCATGAAATAAACACACTGACAATGGAGAAATGAGATTTGACTTTTGCAGAAAAGGCAATTAAAAAAGAGCAGAAAATGTTTCTTTATCTTCACGCAAAATTCTATGGAAGGTTTTGTGGTAAAATCTGGATTTGAAGATGGAATATGGAAAAGTTGGTAATCACTTTCACATACAGAGAAAGCCTTTTGCGGTTTCTGTGCTAAAATTAAATCACTTACAAACATGCTAAGGGTACAAACATAATGGCACTTCTGCAAAGGAAGTGTTGAAGCATGAGCTGTTCAAAGGCACTCGCAGCCTTACAGAGTAATTTGCAATTAAACTGGCAAATTGAATTTCGAGTGCAATAACGCAGCTGAAGCCTATATTAAATCGAAACGCCCCTTCACATCAACAGTGTGACTTTTCATGCGCTATTTGCACTGCAGGAAAACTTTTCCTAGCAATCTAAATGCTCTATTGTCACAGCGCAATCCAAGGGACACCCCTAATATTCAATTACAAGCAGAAATTGGGTCTCTTTTTGGACTTTGTGAACTTCCGAAGGGATGCAAAGTTGATTTAAGATATTTAGCCAAAGGTGTGGTCTTTGGCTATTTGCTCTCTCATCCTCATTCGCTGGTAAACCACTACGCGCCACAACAAATGTATGTAATGTTTGTACGAATTCAAATTTATACGAGAGCAAATATTTGCTGTTGTCATTATATATTCTGTTTTGTGTGCCTGTGAGAATTTAAAATTAGATTTTGACTTTCCTCAGACATGCGGGAATTTGAAAATGGGAGCAAGAAATTCAAAGGATTCCTCCTTTTTTTTCCTATTGATTTCACCATGATACGCGATCGCATTCGCGCTCCAGTTGTGTGAGCAAACACTTCAATGTACACGCACCATGATTTAGCATAGATATCCTATTAATTTGAGCCCCATGCTTTCACCCCTCGCGCCCCAAAGTTGAGGGGTGGAAAATCGTGTGTCTATCAATATTTGGTTAGGATGAAAAATTTCTTCAAATAAAGGCGAAAATCGTATATCGAAACGTCTCCGTCTGTGCGTTATGAGCTTATCCTGTGGCAAAATGCTGTACGTGATGTAAAATGTTTAAGTACTCACCACAGAAGACACATAAAGTGTGCAATGAGCTTATAATCAAAGCCAATCGTCCTCCAAATTCATGTACTCTATAATCACAAGATCAAATTTACTCCTCGTGTACATAAGCTAAGTACTTATTATGTTATAGTCTCGGAATTCAATATTGAGAGTTCAGCCAAGTGCGGTGAGAGCGAAAGGTTAGATAGTATAAAATCCTCTTATGAGCATTATATACGATGCTCTCATATAAAGTACTTTCGGAAATCGGAAAATATATAGATATGTTGATGTAATGTCAATATGGAATCGAAGGTTTTCCTGTTATTCTTCGATATACAGCAAAGCGGGGAAGTTTAGCACAAAACATTCATAACTTCTGCTGTGAAATGTTTCACATCTTATCTTAGTTGTTGCCTTATCTCCCTGTTATCTTCACAACAGAGAGGGAAATAATTGTTTTCACAGGACAATCGTGTGACAAAACTCTGGGAAAGTCAGTTTCCTTTTCTGCATTGGAAGGATTGTAAGTAATAAGTTTAATGACAAAGTTCTGAGGATCAGAGAGTTCAAGGCAGATTGATTGAAAGCTCAATGAGCATGAAAGTAATTAAACAATTGTTCAACTGCACAAGCTTCTATGCTGGCATCAATTACGAAATTACATGACGAAACACTGGAAAGTCATAAAATGGCCATTTGCTTAATGAACGACTGTAAAGGTTTCAGTGCAAAATATGAAACGAAATAAAACACTTCTTTCATTAATCATTGAGTTTGTTATTGGTTCATATTTTTTTCCCTGGCAACATCCAAGAGCACCAAAGACACGAAACAGTTCGACTATCGATTTATTATTGTTTAAGTTGGATTACATGAGATGCTGACCTTGTCTTTTCGTACGCACGGAGAATCTTAAATTTTCGGCACCTCAAGGAGCTTCTTGTTTGCCAAATTATGCCGCAAAGAGCATAGATTGTCTTCTCTCAACGACGATTTTCATCGGCACGTCTTCGCGCTTATCTGTAGAAGAAAAGCAATAAGTAAGTAGGATTCTCAACAATTTCCCGCTTTGTTTTCTCCATCGGACTTGTGATTGTGTGTTTCGTGTGTCTATTTTCGTGAATTGCGTACACACAGACCAACAAGTTTGCGTCTCAATTGCGGAAGATGAGCAGAGATGGAAGTGATTTTCTCAGTCGCTTCAGCAAGCTTTTCCCGATCAGTTGGACAAATTGCACGCTGCCGCGATCGCGAATTGAATCGTGTGGATCTTATCAGTCGATCGCGGATCTTCAAGACGGCGCGCGTTCTCAGCGTGATTATGCAAAATGAAAGTTGTGACGGTGAATAGTTTCTGCGCCCTTGGGCTGCTCCTGATCGCACTGGCAAGTCCGGTTGCCAGTCAGAGAGGCCAGACGAGGACGAATCCTCGGGATAACGCCCTGCGCTTCGGCAGTTCGAATGCGACGCACGATTACGCGTCTTCTGGCGACTCCATTCTGGCGAGACTTTACGATCGCATTGCTGGCATTATGGATGTCGACGAGCAGATTCTGAAGCGCTTGGAAGCACTTGAGTACAAGTAAGTCGATGCCAAGGGGGAAATAACACGCAATTCCCAATTTGTGTGCATATTTTGTGAGACAAGTAACAGTAGAATTAATAATGAAGAGGTTGAATTAAGTAAAATCTTTAGTAGCAAAATAATTTTAATGAAAAGTTCGATCGTAAAATCTCCTCCTTAGTCGCTACACTTCATCATTCGGAGCTCTCAAACTCTGAGTGAGAACATTTCCATCCGCAAAGCGCAAAAATTGGCCATTTCATCAAATTATCCCATTTTAAAAGCCAAAACGACAATTACAAGTTATCCAATGGCAATATTCCATAATAATAGTTTGAATAAACTCTTCAATGAGTAGAAAGTATAAAATTTAAATGCAGAAGGTTAATTTTGATGTTTGAACACTGCAAAAAAGGGAAATCAATTATTCACCAATTTGCGTGCGTTATGCAATTTACAGTGAATGCGAAATTTGATGTGCTTTTATTTAATGAAAATACCCTTTGATCTCCATGAAAAGGAGAATTAATTAGTACGAAATGGCAGTGCAATTTGTGATCTTGTCACAATGTAATTGATTTAGCACATGTCAATGCTTCGAGTTGTTCTCTAAATTGACAAATGTTAATAGACAAAGTGACTTGTAAGATAATATTGTAGTTCGCTCTTACATTGAATACACTTAGCCTTCGCCAAAAATTCTTCCATAAAGAATACAAAACATTTAGACAGAGGGAGCGAGAGAGAGAGAAAAAACTGACGGCAGCTAGCAAATAAATTACACTCAATTTCCATTCAATTAACCATTATATTTTGTGAGATATGATGTCATTTTTCGCTCCTGACCTGAATTGTTTTGCAAATTTAGTGGAATAATATTTTCGGCGCTTTATTGTTCTTCTTCTGGCTGATTTTACAGTCGAAATATCCAGCCTGGAAAGCAGTGTTTGGGTGCCAATCGGCATTTTTATTCACTCTCTCAATCACTGTTGTGTGTGCATGAAAAGAAGAGCTTTAGCCGCTTTACCATCGATTTCCCATGAGAGGTTATTCTTTGGAAAAATTATGCTTCCAATCCCAAAGAAATGTGGCATAATTTTGCGATAAAGAGTCACTCAGACAGAGAGAAAACACATTGTGCGCTCTTTTGCGGCATAAGCTGCAGAATTTCCTCTTCAGGCTTTCCCATTCAACACGACGTCCTTAATTACTCTGGGCGAATTCCAGAGGAGGCGAAAATTCTTCGCGTGAGCACCAGAAGAGCTGCGTTTTTTTCACAGTGGTCTTTTTGAAATATTGCCTATGCTAAAAATAACACAAATGTGGAGAGAAAATGGTCGGGGGCGCGCGAGAGAGTAATGACTTTTATGTCTCCTAATTTGATTTATCACGAGGCAATTTTGGAGAGAAGATAGAGAAGCGAATCTCAAACATATTTCCCAATTAATTTCGTTAAAAAGGCAGCCAAATTGAATTCACTTAAATGCTTTTCACCATCCAGCGCGCTCAGCATCAAAATTCTCACATGTTTTCAGCACTTGGCAATTCGCTGGATTTGTTTACATTCACCAAGGAAATTTCTTACATCAATATAACCTTTTCACGTTCAGAGATCTCTTGCTGTGTGTTAAGGTCAGTGGCACATGAAGAGGCGAGATGTTCCGTGGCGAAAAAAGGCGCTTCATTGTGTGTTTTTCACCTAATTCTCCTCTTGATCCTTTTCTGCTCGTGAAAATCAATGACTACGATGAGCATCCGTATCAATTTCAATGATTACATCATCCGCATCATTATTGTCAGATGCTTCGATTCAATTAGCATTTCCCTTCGCTCTGGCGTGTTGGCATTTATGATGCGCGAAGGAGGTTCATTCATAGTATTACTCTGATGATGTGCGCTTCATTGAGGCACTTCCATTGATTGATTCCCATTCACGGAATTGATCTCTACACAGAGAAAATCCAACTGTATGAAGTGCTGTCGGCGGGAAAATATTTCAGTGTGTATTGAGCTTGGAAAATGCACGGTATTTCACTGGGAATACAAGCAGTTCTCAATATTAATTACAGAGAGGAGCAGATAATTGCTCTTATGTCATTGTTCTTGACTACTATTTCACAGTCAATACCAAAGCACATAAGAAGCGTAGTAAAAGTGTTTTCAGCAAGGTTTCAAGTTTACAGTGAACCTAATTAATCTTCACACTTTTTATCAACTCTTTCATTTCCTATTGGAAATTTGAATATATTGAATTTCCTTAAGCATCATTGCTAGAGGGAATATTCTTATCTTAGCACAATGTTTAATGCTATATTTAACTTGCATTTCAAGGAATTTTAAGATCCTGTTGTGAGTAAATTGCAACTGCTTCAGTGTGCAAATGCCACACTAATTCGCAACAATGGATAATAATAATAATAATTAAAGGATTATGTCAAAGCACTATAGTTGAATGGATTTTATGCTCAGCTATAGCATTTGTAACATGGTGAAATTAATTCAAATTCATGCTTCCATTTGCCATGAACATCATAAAGGTTTAAGCAAATTGAAAAATAACCATGAAAGTTTAAAGAGAGCTTAAGCGAGTGCAATGTGATTGCAGAATAACGCGAGTCGAGGTGTCGAATCAGGATCGCTATGACGCCATTCGCGCTGAGGTGCGGGAATTGTCGCGTCGCTATCAGAACGTCGATTGGATCCTGACGAAGGCGGAAGGCTCCATTGAGGAGCTGAAGGGTGAATGGGACGCCGTGAAGGGTAATTTGTATCAGGTGAGAGATGGCGGACCGGTGACTTCCGGCGAGTTCTCGGATAAGCTCAACTCGCTCGCCACCTTGCTCACATCCACGCGCCAAGCTGTGGCGCGCGTGGAGAAGGAGCTCATCTCCAGCGGGCTGAACATTACTCACTTGCAGTCCCATCTCAAGTAAGACTTCCCGCTTAATTTCCGAGAGAGACTGAAGACTCATTGGCTTATTTCCTCTGTCAGAGAAGTGTCGCTGGCGCAGAGGAACTTGCCCACAAAGGCATTTCTTAACAGTGCTCTGCTCGGTCTCAAGAGCCATCCAGTGTACGCTGTGATGCAGCCAGGAAGCGCTCGTAGTGCTGCTGAGGCTTCCTGCGAACTCTCTGTCCTGCCGTCGAGTTGCCGGGAGGCGCAGAGGAAATCGGGCATCATCAGAGTGGAGCCGAGCGGTTTCAACAGAAATCCCTTCTACGTCAACTGCCTCGAAGGATGGACAGTAAGCTCTGTGCATAATTGATTTAATTGCAGTGAAATGGAGATTCCAGGGATTAATTAATTCTGATTGATGATTTTGAAGCAATGCATGATTGTCAATTTGTGAAATTCTATTACACTTCCCATTTTCCCACTCTCGCAAATTCAATCGCGGAATCACACACACAAACACGTAATTGATGGGCGATGATTGAGGAAATCCAGAGAGTGAACTGAATAATGCTCTCATTCCAGGTGATTCAGCACAGAGATGACGGCGGAGTTAATTTCTACCGCACATGGCAAGAGTATCGGCATGGCTTTGGCAATCTCGACGGAGAGTTCTGGATTGGGCTTGATAAATTGCACCAGTTGACGGCCACTCGAGTCCACGAGCTGCTAATCCACCTGGAAGATTTCGAGGGTGAGCGTCGAGTCGCCCAGTACGACGCCTTCGCGATTGGCGGCGAGAAGGAGCACTTTGCGCTGATGCTGCTTGGCAAGTACACGGGCGACGCCGGTGACTCGCTCTCCTATCACGCCGGCCAGAAGTTCTCGGCCCTGGACATGGACAACGACTCGTGGGTGGAGGGAAACTGCGCCCAGGCGCACACCGGCGGCTGGTGGTACAACGCCTGTGATACGAGGTGAGTCGAGACGCGCACCGCTTCTCAGGAGCTTTGAGCAGCCCTGCGCCTTTCCCGCCAAAGCGTTTCCACTATCTGACGCTGCGCTTCACGTGAATTTCCCCCGCGGCCGTAAATACTCTCTCTCACGTGACGAGTGGATTGGAATCATTAATTTTCATGCTCATTTATTCATTGTTACCGCGGAATTTATTGAAAAGCAACAAGTTGATGAACACAGTACAGGGAGTCCCATGCATAATTACTTAAATAAACTATTTTCCAATAGAATGCACAAATTTTGGATTCAATCGAATAAATGCAAATATTTCAATTCTATCTCAAATATTCTTTCGAATTCAAGCATTCAATACTTCCAGCACTCTGTAAAGATCGTGCTCGTTTGCAATGCCACTCAATTTTTCTTGCAATTTAGTCACAAATGGAAATAAATGCACAATAATACTATGTTAAATCGTATTAAAAACCGTAAAGTATTCCTTACTATAACAGATTTTCATGGTCAACGTTTTTCGTCGACGTTTAATAGATAAATTACAAGTAAATTCATGCAACTGTGTCTTTTAGCTAAAGTTGCTCGACTTGCTCTAGTTGAGATTTTCATCGACGAGCGAATCGCACGCTAAAGATTCTGCTTAACACTTTCGTTCTCTGCGGGAATTGCTGAATATGAAGTTTAATTTGATGTGATTGTGGTGAGAGAAGGCTTAACTTCCTCTCAAGTTCACCCTTTCTTGACTTTGATTGTTTCCGTTCAGCTGAACTTCCCCAAGGATTCCCTTCTCTGACGCGTTTTGCGCTCTTTTTCTCCCTTTCAGCAACCTCAACGGACGCTATTTGGGCGGCGAAGTGCCTGACGAGCTGCGCTACCAGGGAATCTACTGGAATGACTTCAAGGGTGCCAACTACTCTCTGCGGAAGGTGCGAATGATGATCCGACCGGTGGAATAAAACGGCGCTGAAGATCTGCTGTCCTGTGTTACTGCCACTGTCAAAGAAGCGCTTCTCTTCTCGGCACGCATGAAATGCTTTTGTATCAGTGAGATAAATCACTTCACCTTGTTGAGAGTATTATCGCCAAATTGATTTCATTGCGACAATTTGTGTGTGTTTGTCTCTCTCTCTCTCTCGAGATTTATTCTTCTCTGGCGCGTGCACTGCTGAAAGTCCATTAAAACTGTGCCATTGTCAATGTCAGTCGAACTTGGAAGTTCATGCACTCGAACTGCACTTGTTCTCCCTTCACTGTCGTCTCTGAGCTTGCCTCTGGGTCGCGGTGATCAACACTTTGTCTTCCACCGCGCAATCGACTAGATCGTGTTTATCTAAGACTGCGGTGACGGAATGGCTCGTGCCGTGAAGTACGTGATTATCTGTTCTCTGATTATTGTGTCACAAGCGGATGAGCCAAAGTATCGCAAGGAAACCATCCGAAAGCTGCAGGAGCAGTTTCTGGAGAGCGTTAGCATCTACTTCTACAGTCCGTGAGTCAATTTAACGCTCTTCACAGCTGTTTTATATGTGTTTAATACCATTGAATTTACCGTGAAGAAGCGATTGAATTTGCGCGATCACAAATTCTGTACTACAATTAAACCTGTTTCTCCTCAAAGTTTCATGAGAAATGAGACGAGAATCCATCCGGAAGATCCCCTGCCGATTGGCTTCAACAGCAGTCTTCCGCTGAAAGTGGTCATTCACGGATGGATGGGCAACAAGAACCACATAACGATTGATCCGGTGAAGAACGCCTATCGCGCGCTCTCCTGCTGCAACATCGTCACAGTGAATTGGGAGGAAGGCGCTCGACAGAGTTACGATGTGTCCAGATATATGGTGGATATTGTGGGCAAGAGAGTCGGAGAATTGCTACAAAATTTTGTTGAGTAAGTGGCGCAAGTAATTCAGACTTGTGAATCGGTGCCAATCAATTTTTACTGAATTCAAGGAAAATGAATGTTTTGCCGGGAAATATTCACATCCTGGGACACAGTTTGGGAGCTCACATTGCTGGAAACATCGGGAAACACTTCAATGGCACTATAGGCAGGATATCAGCTCTTGATCCTGCAGGACCACTCTTTCGTAGGAACTCCACGGACGCCTGCACGCGCAATGATGCCCAATTTGTGGACGCAATTCACACAGATGTGGGCATTCTTGGGGAGAAGAATCAGCGTGGTCATGTGGATTTCTATCCAAATCGAGGATTTCCTCCTCAGCCAGGATGCTATCTTCTGGACATCCTGACCTTCTGTAATGAATTCCTCCGAATGCTTCTCTTCATTGAGCCATTGTTAATTGAAGAACATTCTCACTTTCAGCCACTTGTAGTCACTTGAGAGCTCCTCTTCTCTATGCAGAATCCATTCTTCTGCCTGAACAGTTCCTTTCGGTGGAATGCCAGATTTCTGAGCTCTTCAACTCCATCAGGAAGTGTCGGCCAAAGAACAACCTCCTGAGCAATGAGCAGAGGCCAATGATCTTCATGGGTGAAGCTGTGCCGAGAAAGTGAGCTTTCTTTATTAGGATTCTTTCTGATTTTCCCTGAACTTTGACCCACAACAAATGGTTCATTTTCAGTGTCACTGGCGTTTTCTATCTGGAAACCAACAATGCTGCGCCGTACGGAAAGGGAAAACATCTCTTCGTGTAGATATTTCCGCATATGGGTTATTAATCCATCGATTAAGAGCAGATTATCGCCTCCAAATAGACAAAGAGAATGATTCCCTTGATGCAATTTGTGCACTTTTCACTACAATATCTTTCACCCATATAAATAGAGAGAAAAAAGTGTGCTGAACTTGAACTTGGAGGTTGATCATTTTATCATTTTTTTTTCTCTCTCTCGATCGCGTAATGCAGCTAGAAGAGACTAAATTATGAATAAAAGATAAGTGGAGTCATATGTTGTAGCTCAATTCGCAATTCTATCAGTACTGCACAGATTTTCCACACACTTAGACGCTAGTTGAGCTTTCGGAGCTTTGCCAAATTGCTTTCATTCTAGAATCTTGAAAAAAAATCGGCATATTTTCATATTTCCAAAATGAACAGTGGTTTTGTGATTCTGTTACTGTTTTCGTTCGTCTTTTCTGGATTATCAGTGGCTGAAGATGTGAATTTCTCAACGATAAAGATGTTCTATTTCGCTCCTGAGCTTTCATCGGAACTTCTTATGGATAATGGCTCTGCTGAATTGCCCTATTTCAACGAAAGTGAACCTGTGAGGGTGATTATTCACGGATATATCGCCGGATACAAGCATTTCTCAATCTCTCCCGTGAGAAATGGTGAAAATCTTAATGAAAGGAGAAATTACAGTGACTAAAATGATCATTTCACAATATAGCTAAACATCGTCGAGAGGGTCCAAAGATTGATAAGCCACCGTGTGTGTTCAGTTGTCAATTAATAACACATTAGTTTGCTACCATTGCATCCTTACCTTGAAACAGTCATTGGAATGCAGATTAATTAGAATAGTAATAATATTTGTTTAATCTTTACATACAGGTGTATCAGATCAGAATAATCAGATGTTCTCATAATTTTTTAATTGCCTTGTTAGTCGCTTTATTCTCTTTGATTGTTGATAAATTTATAACTTGATGCATATTCGTGACAGCCTATCTCTCGATTGGGGCTCACAATGTGTTCTGCGTGGACTGGTCAGAAGTGTCGTTTGGTTTCTACCCAACAGTGCGATACAGAGTGGCCAAAGTGGGTTCGCACATTGGTCAGATGATGAGGACGCAGATCATGTCACGCTACCCTGACATTCCTCTGGAGCAGTACCACGTCATCGGCCACAGTCTGGGCGCGCACATCGCCGGAAACGTCGGCCGGAGCTTCAGCGGTCGCCTGGGCAGAGTCACTGGCCTCGATCCTGCTCATCCGCTCTTCATGAGCGGCGACAAGGACTGGCTGTCGCCCTCTTCAGCGCTCTTCGTCGACACCGTGCACACTTCTGCCACCACTCTGGGCCAAATAACGCCCACTGGCCACGCTTCCTTTTACCCCAACAACGGACTTCCTCCGCAGCCCGGCTGTCTTCCGCTGGACTATATGTCCTTCACGCACTGTAGCCACATAAGAGCCACCGCTTACTTCGGAGAGTCCATCATCCACCCGAAAGGCTTCCCGGCCGTTCAGTGCGATCTTGAGGTCATCACGAAGGATGAGACCAGCTGTCCGAAGCTTCGTGACGTGGACAAGAAAGTCTACATGGGAGAAAATGTGGACAGAACAGCCAGAGGCACTTATTATCTTCTGACTTACAGCATTGCTCCATTCTCTAAGGGAGCAAGTATGTTATAATAAAATAGAAAACATGACAACATTGTGTAATTCAGAAATTTGTAGTGAAACACCAAAAGGAAAGGTACCTTTTGCAAATAAAGTCTAAAAGTTACAATTTCTTACAAATCGTTATAAGTTGGCAAGAAAAACAGTCTTATTGAGTTTGAATTTTGCGCCTTTTCTACATTCGACGAAAAAGTTTTGTGCTTTTTCGAACACGGTTCTGCATTATCGACATCTGGTCGAGTCAAACTGAACAGTCGCTATTGGAGTTCAACGCGGCACGTGCTTTTATAAGAAGTAATATGTGTGTTATAAACAGTGGGAAGACATCAAAAACTATTGACGGATTATCAGAAGAATTGTATGTATGACAAACCATTGTTTCCGCACCCGTAAAACTCAATTGAAATCAGTCAAATAATGTGACAATGCGGTTTTTCTTCCTCAACGGAATTTTTGGTCGGATTTTGAGTTCTGAATGTAGAATTGATGTTGGAAAAAGTTAAAACTAATCCACTAAGTCGCCTAGTATTGATTTTATTGTTCTCTAAGGCTTGCGCTGCGATCGAAATTCAATAATCACCAGCAGACTCTCGTCTCTGGACCCCAAACTGCTCGGAGATGCACAGAAAATGGCCTCATGACCGAGGTTGAACCTGTGGGGCGATCATGGCACAATAAAGCCCATTGGGATGATTATAATGACACTATGAGACACAATGAGAAAACCCCATGATCAGCGACATTCGTGTGTGGCATGAAATCGAACAATACCAAAGGTTCTTTCCCTTTGAAAATTGCCCAATAATTAATGATCGCCGCGCCATTGTTGCGCAGACAGGATCAGAGGAAAGCCAAGAAATACACACACGCTTCACATAATCATTTCATAACTCATCAAGCATTCCCCGATGCGCTCTTCCCAATACAGATAATGACATTCTTGCAAAAGAGCGTGAAATTTTAATATTTTTTAATGATTAACCCAAAAAGAATGCAGTTTGCCTTTTCATTATTAATCGCATGTATTTTTTTTCTCCACCATCTCACTTCCACTCCTGACGCTATAATGTAATAACTTGGCAAAAAAGTGCAGCAACAACAAATTTATTGCTCTGTACATTCCTTTTTATTCACTTTGTCACAATTTTTATCTGCAACTCTGTAGCATTATGGAATATTTCTTCTCTCATGCGCAGGTAAAATTAAAATATAAAAATTATTGCTCGCAGAATTGTTTGTAACCCTCTCTCTTTCGCATAACCATACATTGATGGTCAGATGTGAGAGAAATATAAACATTTCGAAAGTCACTTCATATATGATCTTCCTCTCCTCCCACTTGGGAAACTGCGCGCGCGCGATCGCGCAGAAAAAAACGCGACACCCAGCGAAGAAATGTCAACTGCAATAATATCACTCGTAATTACAAATTTTTTATCATAAAGATCACTCAAATTGTCCCATTAAATTCGCCTCGCCAGCGATGTGATTTTGGATTTGCCAACTCCAAAGATAAACAGTCTTTCTCCTCTTCCAGCAAAATGGCAAAATCACGCACCAACTCAATAACCAACGCGCTATGGATAACTTTATCAGCGTTCACCTGCAATTTGTGCAGTAAATTTTTACAGTCTCTCATTTGGCCATAGTCGAATTGTCACTATATGTTCTATTTGATCAACAAAAACTGAAGGCAATTTTCAAAAGAAATCAAACAATGCGATAACACTTCGCGCTGAGTGTTAAAGTAACAATTTTCACGATGCAATAAATTCGTCAGTCGCCGAAAAAGTCTTATCAAACGTACATTTTTGCTATTGTGACTGACTCTTTATCCATTCTCTATTGCTTCGCATCGCTTAGCATGATTTTCGTTGAAGTGAATTCGGAATACGAGGCGAAATGAGCTAAATAAAGTCAATGTGAGCGTGTGTTGATGTATCGAAGCGGGAAAAGAGACGCTCTCATTGGTCGGTGAAATAACAATCAAAGGTGGAAAGGCGGGATTTTCCACACTCTGCAATGCCTCGCTAACTGCGTAACCCCATATTTTCCCATCGCAAAACTTTCCACACGCTCAGCTGCGAGTCCTGGGCGCCTTTTCTCCATCGCCACGACGAAGAGTGGCTGGAGCTTGAGATGACTGTGTGGCTCTGAAATGGTGTGTGACTTTTGATTAATTGCCCAATGATTGATGAGTGGAGCGAGGAGGAAAAGTTCATAGCCGATCCGGAGAGTCTTAAACAATGTAATAAAGATCACCCACGATCGTGACAATTTTGAATAGGACGAACGCAGAGGACAAAAGGGGTGGGACATCGATCACTGGCGACATGACAGGAAGTTTGTGGATCTGCCTGGAGATAGCGCGGTAATCCTATTAAAAAGATTAATTCATTGATGTTATCAATTATTATTATTACATATTGTGTCTCATACTTATCTCAATTCATCCTGAGAGGCTTCTGAATTGCTTCTGACTGCGTCTCCTTATTGTCTGTGCTGTCTTTTATTTGCCCCTCTTGAGATCACACTCTTGATCTCATTCGATATTCCTCCTAAATACATGTTTGTGCGCATGAAACTGCCTTCGTGGATATTTTGTCATTTCTGTGCGCGCTCTGAGTCAGTCTTGTGACACTTGTGAGATCTCATTCGTCATAAATCCGTGCATAGATCATACACGATCACTTGCAATAATCATCATTCTTCGTCCTCGGCTCTCATCTGTGTGCTCGAAACGAGAGGAAGAGAGCCAAAACAAGGCGATCTTGATACTAAATTCCAGAAGCTCAAAGCATTTATACTTCTCTCCATCATTCCTATCCACTCGCTCTTCCATCTCTGCACACACAAGTCAAGTCGTGAGGCATGATCTCTCCTTCATCCTCCCGTCATCCCGTATGTTGGAAATTTGAAGAGATGAAAAAGAAGTGAATCAAATGCCTGATATTCTCTTATCTCCACACTCAAATCACCAAACAACACAAGACGTTGCGCGGAGGTTCGTGATTTATTTGGAGCGATTTGTTACCAATTCAGCCACCGGCGCGCACACACGAAGTGCAAGAGGAAAAAATCATTTTCAACATCTGTCAAAATTCACTTTGTGCTCTGGGAATTAAATTAACTTTTTTTCTCCAGCCTCCGCGTGTGCTTAAAGTGCCGAGAAAACTTCCCGGCAGTTTGGAGATAAATTTAAAGAACAAAAAACCTCTGCAAGTGATTGTCATTGCCGATGTTGGGCTTCTGACAAGACAATATACGCAATTCTTGGGGAGAGAGATCACTTCTGATTACTCGTTTTTGACTGATTGACTGCAATTTGTTATTAATTATTCCAGTCTAGACGCAATTTGTTGCGATCAAGTGTTTGTTTTGATGGTCGTTGGAGTATTCTATATAGCAATATCCGGGATTTCGGTTGCTCACTACGAATTTGAGATATATCTTTTAGTATGCTTTTAGTAAAAGAAATTGTCAGCAAAAACACTTTTTTTTTAATAATATAACAAGTGATTATTAATCAAATTTCTGGTTATTTTACTTTGGAGGTGTTAATCTTACTCTAAAAGGTGTGAGAAAAGAATATTCATAATAGAAATAAAAGCTTTCTACTTATTCAAATATCGAATTATTTCTATTTCAATCCATGAGGATATAAAAATGGCTCGTGGAAACAGATTTTATTGGTGAAATTCTGAATTTGTTTATTTATTACCTTTATTTACATATATTCGCGTCTTATTTTATGTCTGAATTCAATCAATATAGTTAAGGTGTCATTAGAAGATTAGAACAAGAGGTCAACATTGAATACTGTGACACATTTTTATTCAACGCAGTCTTTTGCCTGTTCTTATTGAATTTTAAGATTTTAACACAAGACTTCAGATAAGCTAAAATGCAGCTTAATAGTGCCACAAAAGCAATAAAAGCAGCATTTTACTCTAAAACTGATCAATCGTTCGTCAATTCCACTGTATTTTTAATTCTTTTATCGATCTTCTCGTGTCTGGATTGGGCTAACCTGTCCTCCATCATCTGGCCACCTTGTCTCGAGCTCTTGGAGTCCGCGCGAGTGGCGAGAGATGATCAGAAAGCGATTAGCCGGATCGGGTGCGCGGTGCCCGATGAATTCTGTGGCGCAGACCTGGGCCTGGGTCAGGTGTGAAGCGGAGCGGAGTGTCTTGGTGTGAGTCCAGTCCACCCCCTGCGAAGCGGCGAGAGCGAGACAGCTGGCCACTTCCTCGTGGCCGCACAGAGGCCGTCTCTGTTCCAGAGATGGAGGTTCGCCACACAGCTATGTCGCAATCGCCGTCACTCAGGTGTACCTCTCGTGCGCACACCAGCACAGCCATCCGCGGTCGCACTTCATTGATTCGGGCGGAATAATCAGTCAGTCAGTCTCGCCAGGTCGATTGGAGTGGAAGCACAAGACACACTGTCCTGTTGAGATCTCTGGTTGCTCTCGTGGTTCGTTCAGAAGCTCAATATCGCAAGCGACGCGATCGATCTCTGTGTGATAGGAGAGCACATTGCGATCTCCTGGTTCTTCGGAAGACTCTGTGCCGCAGCTCAAAGAGGTCATCAAGTCAGTCATGAACAATCATCGCAGACGTGTCGCTCTACTACTTTCCTCGTGACCGGCAAGCGTCTTTGATCAGCAATTTTGTGACATTGTTCCTGCATTGCGCGCATGCAGTAAACTATACACTCTCTGCCGTCCCAACTTTGCCAATTGACGAGCGTTATCATCGAGGCGAGTGTCGCGCGGGGGAGGAGAAAATTCCCTTGTGGCGCGAGCAAAGTGAAATATGTTAATTGGTGTCCAATTAGTGAGATACTCTACTGATCAATGATCGCGATAAACGGGAATAATTGAGAAATATAGTGCATTTTCCAACTATCGGAGGTGCGAGAAAAACTCTCAAGTCTTAAGAACATTGTCGCACATCCGCGCTGAGCGTAATATTCCAAGAGACGAAATTGTGTCATGTGCAACTGTGGAGACATTGAAAGAAAGCTAGAGCGAGAGACATATCGCAAATTACAATTACAAATTCCACATTTTTTCCGCAATCATGAATGATTGTGATAAATGAAGCGTAGAAGTGCAACTGGTCGAACTGATATCTCTTTGGCTTGCAAGATAAGATTTTTCGTGGTGTCTGAAAACATTTTTCTCTCCACTCATTCTTATTCCTGCTTCGCCATCTAGCAAATACACTTTTTTTTCCTCCTCCTATGCTTGTGGCGTATCTCTAAGTCCACCTACGTGATCGTGTTGTCTAAAGAGTTTCGCAGAATATCACTTGACATACAAAGCAAATTAATACCATATAAAGGCTAGCCAGTGTGTACAATCGTAATTCGTACTTAGCAGTGATTTCTCGGTGTCTGAGTGAATGAATTTCCTTCTACACATCTGATTGCCTTATCAATCGTCGGTGATCGTGGTCGTCCAGATGTGGATGATCAAGTGATTCCACCTTGCCAACCAGCACCCGCGCACTCTATATGGATACAGTAGGCGATCAAATTGTGCCGTCGTCAAATTTGTGGGTAATGCAGGTGAGTTCTTGTGTACACATAAACAAACACTACAGATAAATACCATTGATTAAATAAAGTGGAGTCGAGAGAAAGAGGGTCTAATATGGAAGAGAGATGCCCATGAGAGTCCCAGCGGAGAAATGGCGATGAAAATGAATGAAAATTGTGGACAAACATGAAAGTGTGAAGCTTCACATTTTGTGCTCATACCCAAAGTCAAATCAATTAATCTCTGTTTGAATAATGATCGACAAATTCAAGATCTCCATATTAATATGGCGTATATGCGCCCAGGAAGTGCACAATGCGATGGAGTGAGATGCATCCATTGCAGGTTCCGTGTCGTGTGTCTGGGATTTACCTTTGAGACTTTCTAAGCAAACACCATAAGAAGGAACTCACAAATGTCTATTGATAAAACACATTTTAATATTAGTTTCGCCACTTTTTTCGTCTCCTCAGCGCGCACTTCTCTCAGTCGCACATTGACAAATATTACCTTTGCGCCATCGCCTCAAGATATTCACATTCTCAGCGTCTTCGAAGTCTTTCGGTTGCAATTGCGATTGATGTGAAATCACGCATGGGAAATCGAGTGATCAGGCGCAAGATTGAATTTGTTCTGAATTTTTTCCCTGATTGAAACACACACACAGCAAATTAATGATCACTCTTCTTGCTGGAACGTGATAATTTGTGGGCATTAGAAGTGTGCTCTATGAGCACATGTGTATTTTCACCTTCTCCGCGCTCTTTCATTTTCCATCATCATATTTAGCAGCCGGCGCCTTTGAGGTTTCCCTCTTATCTTTGGCTATAATCAGCGTCATCGCAATAAGACATACATAAGATAGTGTATCGGATTATTTACTGAGAATATGTGTGTATTTTTCCCTTTTCTGTGGATTTTATGTCATTCTGGCCGAAAAAATATCGTTGCGAAACTCCACAAATTTGTCATTAATCTCTATCAAATATTGAGAATGCAGTGTGACACACACACACACTTTGCCCATTTCGCGCCGCTTCTACGAAAAAGTAACACCGCGCGAAAGAGAGTGACTTTTTGTCCCAACGCGCAAGATTGACGATGGATACAATCATCACGCAACATTTTCACGAAATTGCAGATTGTAGATCATGAAAGTCGCCGGAATGGGCAAGAAAGTGGCGTCCTATCGCAAGCAATCTCGCCATGCTGGTGTGAAGATTTGTGGGAGAGGTGTTTAAGACATCGCAGAGCAGAGCTTGGCTTTCCTGGAATTAGTGCGGAGAGAGAGAAAAATGTCGAAAATTTCCCAAGCACTGGCGGAGCAATTCAAATAATGAGTGATCCTCAATAAAAATTCATAAGAGAAGTGCCTGATTCATGCGAGTTGACAGAGAGCATTAATGATGTGTTTTCTCTTTTATCAATGTCATTTCGGATTTCCCTCTTCGGCGCGGTGATAAACGAGCCAAACAGTTCAAATAGACACACTCACTTTTGGTAGATTAGAACTTCTTTTCTCAAGAACTTCCCAATAAACATTTCCGTGAAGTGCGACTTTGGGGCCAATAGTGTGGCCGGTTTGTCACGAGAGTCGATGGACGAGAGGGTGTTATTTTGGGTGAAAATGAATACATCTCTAAATTGTGGCAAAGAAATATGCAGCGAATATAAAGTGCCATAAAGTTATATTCATAAATTCCGAAGCACTTAAGCCAAAGATTCCTCTCATCGAATTATTCACACCACATAATAATAATAAATGCAGTTTACGTGTATTTCTCAATTTTGTACATGCCAAGAAGGTATCGATTCAAATGTGATGTGACGGAAAGGATTTTTAATGTTACGCATATCTTTTACCTCATTCTCTCCTCGATCATTGCTTACATGTTTCGTCACCTCTTTTTTTTCTCACCTGCACTTGGAATATATAGAAAGAAGAAATACGACAGTGATTCGACTTAATTGCAAGAATAAAATTTGGTATAAGACATTTCACAGAGAATATGCAAATGGAGAGATGAGTATTGAATTTTATATTAAACAAAATTAATTTATTTCACCAAGCATTTTCAACATCCCATAAAAGATGCACAATTTCCACTTTAACGATATACTTTTATTTATATCTCTTCCACATTTATGAGGAAAGTATGCCTTTTTTCGTCAATATCTTAATATTCAAATTTTGTACCAAAATGTATAAACCATAATTGGAAATGTCTTGATATTGTTTGAATGGACTTAAAGCTTACTGAAAGTGAGCCTGACCTTTCTGAAAATTGCACCTCAAGTCGAAATTATCTTTATCCTCTTTGCTTTTTTTTCACAGTTTCGTCTTACTCGATTGCCATGAGCGCAAATCTGCGCTATCAAAGTAGTTTTTGGGAATAAATCTGCAATTTCCTTAGTATTTCACATCATAATAGCTATTTTTAGAATCCCACAAGTTTCATGCCTTCACAATAAACTTTACTGGCATTGCTTTCTCGTATGATATTTCTTTATATACGCTTGCAAGCTTTAAAGGCCACTTAAAGAGGTAAAATTACTTAACTTTAGTATTCATTTTAAAAGTTATCAGCACATTTCGCCTGACAGCGAATTCACCCTTCTTCGCGGCAGGGTTTAAACCTCTTGTGGATTTTATGGTGTTTTCTGCTCAATGAATTAAGAGAGATTCAGCGATTTACGTTTGAAAACATGGCAAAACATCGCGCGCCATGCCAAAAAACCAACCGAAGCACACGACACAGAAAAGTGCTCTCGAAGGCCTCCGCAAGTGATTAACGAATTAATTGACTTTATGGATATTCTTAATTAATCGCTGGACCTCCGACAGCGTGATTATGACAGACGAGAGGATTTCCAATTCGTTTCTTCACGAATAGCGTCCGCAGAGGAGGAGAAAAAGAAAATATATTGGTTATTTTATTATTACCTTTCCACATTCTCAGCATCATTTACTCACCACTTTAGCGCAGATCAAGCTGTATGGAAATGAAGAGGGAAGGAGATCGAAAAGTGCGAGAAATTTTAAAATAATTAACGCAATAAAATTTTTACTGCAGAGTCTGTGGGTGTCCAAAAAAGTTGTCTCACATATGTGAAGTCTGTTTTTTTTTATTTATGAAATATCACATTGAATGCACAAAAAAAGAACTTTATATTGTTCATATTTGTCACATCAAATTAATTTATCGGCATAAAATTTTCATATTTTTCTCCTCCACTTGTGCCAAAAATATCCTCCTTTATTTTGCCTTCTCGACAGGGAAAGCTTGAAAAGCATGAAATGTGTTTGATTACGTAAGTTTTGTGAGGTAAAAATGACATCAATTTTTAATAAAAGAATTCCTCTGCTTTTGTCTCAAAGTCACCTCTTAATAAAATTGCACGCGGTGAATTTCTCATGCTTTTTCAGCATAAATAAATTAAAATTGCACAGATGAGTAACTTCGTATGAGCGATCTGATGAAGTCATAATTTCTTAGGGCTTCAGAGCAGCCGACGATGAAGATAATTGGGTTTTCTATACTTTTAGCACCTTTTGTGAGTTGATTCTTAAAAATACGAGGGAAATATCCTCAATTTTGAGTCCATTATTGGCTTTTCCCCTTCTATTCTACATCAATTATGTAAAGGGGCTTTTCGGAATAGTCGATCAGTCTACTTTTTCTGTTACATGTCGCACTCCCTCAATAAAGTGTGAATCCGTTTGTAAATTATTATATTTCACGGTTCGAAGATCTTCCTGTTGCTTTTTTAATACATCATTTCCCCCTCGAGCAGCAGCATAAAAGATTTTATGATCACTTCGTCTATAATTTCAAATTGATTTTATATACACATATTTAGCGTGAATGCGTGTAGAATATAAATTGTGTATTGGAAAATATTTGAGCTTAAAATCTCTTATATGATCAAATGATTGTCAATTTTTATAGTTTCATGCCTCTTTCTCTTCTCTCTTAGTTTTCAGTGATTTGTGTCGCTTCTTAGGAGCTTCGGGTTTCATGCTTTGATAGTGTAATATGAAAGAAACACATTTGAAGTGTGATTAATTACTTCTGGGCACTTAGAACAACTCAATGTATCAACTTTGTGTATTTTAATAAATTAATCGACTGACCACGAAAATATCAATATTCATTCTGCATATTTCATTTTCTTGCATATTTCTACGCACTGTTTCGCTGGGCTTGAGATCTATAATGTAATGAATACCACACAGATTATCTTCTTTTTCGGACGGAAATATGGGCAAAAGCATATAACTTTCTGTTTGGCCATATAAAAATGGAGAGATAATATTGATGAGCACCCATCAAACTGTTACAGTGCGTTTTCGAAACAGCACACAAAATGTTTAGTTCCTATTTTAATTGTCATGTCGTCAATATACTCATGTTCAGAAACCATTCCCATCCGCCTCGTCATTTGGCGAAAATAAATTTCACAATAGCGTAAAACTTGTGCAATTGTTGATTTGAGAAAATGAAATACGAAGGAAGACATGGTTGATGTTCAGCTGAGGAAAGGAGGATTGTGAATAAAAGTATGTAGTTGGGAAAAAGAGCAAGAAGATTAAAAGCTTAATGTTCGGGGGGGAGACTTTAAAAGAGCGCCAGAGCGAGAGATGCTGGGCTGAACGTGAGAGAGACAATGCATTTAAGAAAGCAATCTACTGCAATTGCAATCACCACCCACCCACAGATCCTCATAAACCATAGTATTTGATGCTTTGCAACAAGACGACTGAATTGGCTACATTAATTAAATATTATTGCCAACATCCGACAACTACTCCATTAAGATACTTTCACGGTTCACATCCACACACTCTGGCTAACGCCAAATGCGATATGACTCGTTAGGAATAAGGGCACGAGTGGCTTTAGATAATTCTTATGAAATTTGAGCTTTTGCGAATGAATTTATTGCACTCGCGTAACTCTGATTATGCGCCAAAGCAAATACATGGACGTGAAGACTTCTCATCAACTTTTACGTTAACTTTTGCAGT